AAATATGCAAATGTTCGATACTGAAATCTGCCCGTTTCATAATTTGGAAATTCGACAAATTCGAAACTCGGGAAAAATACTGTCACCATTTTTTAGAAATAAGGAGTCGAATATAGCAGAAATTTCCGCAAATAGGACAGGACAATCATATTTATGCAATCGTCTAAATATTTTAAGAATAAATATTTGTTCGATAAGCTATTAATTATGGACCAACTACCAGTTATTTGTAAGGTACTATATTTATTGTCGAACCGCGGTAGCTCGCAAAACCTGCTTTTAATCATCGATTTAAACGGGAGAGATGTAAATATCCATTTCATTTTTTATTCTTTTCAACGGAGAGAAGAGGAAAAATTTTATTTATTTACTGGCTGACGTACATCACGGTTGAAATACGTCGCTTTTCTTCGGGGTTTACTTAATATAAAGAATCTCCTTTCTGCAACCTCGAATATGGTTCTGTATGACCTGCATTTATGTTTAACGATCATTAAGGGGGAAGCAAGTCCACGGAAATCCTATATGATGCGATTATTTATTAAGCGGCCGAGCTTTGAGGTCGGTTTATGCATCGGAACATAAATATCGTAGAAATAAAAGGGGTCCGTATTTCGTGCTAAAAGGAAATGGAAACTTGATCTCGTACTCGACAAATGCGTGGTAAATACTGGAAAATATTTCGCGGAATCACCGAAAATATTTACCTTAAATTTTTCATTTCTCCAGAACCGTACCACAATGTAATTCTGCTGTTTTTCCTCTTAGGATTCATAGTCGAAAATAAAAAGAGACGAAACGTACGACCGCGTACATCGGATAAAGCAATATTTATTTTTCAATCCGTTTATACTAGCCACAAGCCAGTTTGAAAGCAAACCCGGCGATACACATCTACTCTGACGTACACAAAAATCGCCGTATCAAAAACCTCGCTAATGTGATTGTAAAACCACCTCTGAATATGTGTACACACAGTTGAAATGTAAAGCTCAGTTCTAACTAAATTTCTTGCCACAAACTAAAAATGTAAACATAATTCCTCCGCTTTTCAACTAGTTAAACTCGCAAAAGCGATTGAACCAAAGCCGATAGAACCAAATGTATGCAAGATCGTCAGCTACAAACATTTATAAATCGAAGAAACCCCTCGTTTTCCCGAGGCAACCTATCGATCGCTAATTATCATCCCCTATCTCGAAACTCGTAACCGCGCGAGATTACCGTGGTCTGGCATAAATAATGCACCGTTCGATTTCGTCTAGTCGACGATTGTCAGAAGTTGCGGAATAAAATGGGGAGAGGAAGAATGAAGGCTGCGTCGTGAAACATCCATGACGATGGTCGAGCGTGAAAACGCGTTCTTATCTGCGTGAAGGGAGGGTGAACGCGTATCGTTGCCGCGGGTATTACGAATAAACGACGCCGACGGATTCGCAAGGTTCGCGAGGGGGTTGGAAGTCGTTTCGCGCGTGACTCACGGTTACGTGGTCACGCAACCCTCGAAAACATCGCGCCACTTCGATGCCCGATATTCCCTAACTCGTCCCCTTTCCTCTTTCGCTATCTCGCCGACTCGAAATACCCTCTTGCGTTTCACGGAATATCTCTAAATGCTTCTACATCGCGATAACCGAACTCGAACGAATCGACAAACACTCCGCCATTTTACGATCCGCGATATGGACGTCGATGTGGACTATTAGAAATTGACCACCTGAATTTCCTCTGTGGTTGTTAAGAAAATTTCATTCCAAAAACACAATGTTGCTTTTTATCTTTATTGACTCTTTGTGCTCGAAGAGATTTTTAATGTTGACACGAACTTAAAACTTTTTGGTTAAAGTGTCTGATGAACTCTTTCAAGATAACTTGAAATTTAGGTTCAACTATTATCAAGCATCCCTGAATAGAAAATACAAAATTTTATTTTCTTTGTTCGTCTTAATGTTATAGTCTTGAATAGTTAATTTTTAGTTAGTTAGGGGTTAATTGCCGCTATTGTCTGTTTCATTATATTTACACGTCGTATGTACATATAATGCTACAGATTTCGTTAAGAAATATTTATATAAATCTGTCGTATTAAACTCATACAGTGATGAAATAAAAATGATGTAACTAAGTCGATACTCCAACAGGGGTCAATCACGCGGAGCTCGAAGCGATACGTAAAATTTATTTGTTCGGTTATTTCCGTATGTAAATGCGGCCGATGAACACGCATTTACGACCCGCCCTGTAAATATCCAGTACTGTACCAATCACGAGATACAGTCTGTATTCTTTGAAAGTGTTCCACCCCCACAGGAAGTGGTTTAAGTTTACGTTGCATTCAATCTTCCATCAAGCGTTGAAGGTAACAACCTCGACCATACGGTGCGATTCGCGCAAAAGTTGACGCATCCCCGGCACACCTCCGAATAATTGCGAACCGCGTCCCCCAACCTCGTATAGAGGCTTATTTATCGTCGATTGTTGTCGTGGCGGGATTCGCGTTCCCGTCTTCGCCAACTTTTTCTTCCCGGGCGCATTAAAATTTCGCGGAGGCCCGACCGGAGGAGTGGCCGTCGTTCTTGGACGACGCTTGAAATACACGGACGCCTAAAAGCTATTGCCTTTTCGAGAGAGCACCATTTTTACGCGCCGAACGCCCACCGCCTCTGCCTCTAATCTCGTCATGAGACCCGGATCATCTACACGGTGTTTCTTAATTAAAATACTGCCTCCATCTGCAGAGTACTCGTGTCTTATGTACGTTCTTTATTGAACGAATTCTTGTACACAGGAAGTTGAGTAAAAATTCAACTATTGCCAGGTGAAAAAGTCGAAACTCAAATGTTGATCCGCGAAGAAATTTTAGTACACTCGCCGTAGAGCAAACATTTGCAGAAGCGAGAACATTGTCGTAGGATAAAACGTGGGAAAAAAGACGCGTTTCAAAACTGACAGAAACGTAAATGTAAATCAGCCTTGAATTTTAAAAGAAGTTTCATCAGTTGAAATTGTTAATGCGCGACATTGAGGAGCCATTGTTTTTTGTTAATAGCGATGCGATTCTCGTGTCCCGTCTTCGCTGTCGTTTACAATAATACAAACGACGATAGTAAATAGCCTCATCTGCAATTACAATGGCCCATTTATCGTCTTATAAATCACAAAGTGGTGCTCGGGATAGAAAAACTTCTTTCTCGTTTCCGTCCAATTCCGGTTGGATGTATTCAGGAAGTTGCTCCGCTAAAGGGACAGCCGGAATTGGTGGCTATTTAATTAGCGGCTTCGAAAGAAGACCAGTTCTCGTCCACTTCGCTTTTAAACTCGTTGTGTGCACGAATATCAAGGATTCGTTGCAAAATTGAATATCTACTTATTTTTGTTTTTGGACAAACTATCGTTCGAGTAAATTCAAATCTGTAGACTTTGAATCCTTCCCTTGTTTCATAATTTCTAATAGTTTGAACATGATTGCTAAACGTATTAACCCTTTGCGCTCGAGAGGCGCCTCTTAGGCGCTATTCAATTTAATACAATAATTTAAAAGAAGCATTATTTAATTAATTCTATAATAGTGCTTATGTGATGTATAAACACAGTGAAATAGTGGAAATTATTAGTAAAGAAATAATAACTTCAAAAGAAGTCATTTAATATTTTAATTAATATTTTAAAGTTGCTGTTTGCAAACAGTAAAATTGTTTTCGACTGCAAAGGGTTAACCTACCGGCATACAATGTGTATTTAATTTGAAATTAAAAATGAAGTTCAAAAATAAACAAACAAACGATGAAACATGAATTAGTACACACATTTATTCTTTATCTTGATGAAAATCAATAAACGAAACATAAATTAGTACACACATTTATTCTTTATCTTGACGAAGATCAATTCCGATTTCAAGGAATTTTAACAAAATGTGTACCTTGCAATAAGAAACTTGTGACCGGTTTGGTAGTTTTAGCGTTAAAGTATACGCATCATAAAAATTAATCGAAATGAAAAGATTGCACACGTTGATTCGTACATCGAATAAAGTTGCTGATAAATATGTAGTCGTAAATCCATAGAGGGAATAGAATTTTGTCCGTAGTTGAAGGGAGCATTCGGGTGTAAGGGATGGTGTTTTATAAAGTATAATTTCATCGCGGCAGAGCGCGCTATCTCGTATAGGATGTATGCGCCGTCATGTGACACGCGGCCGTTTAACTTTCAAACACCTTTCTAATATCAGATATCCGGAAAATCGATAACCGTCTGCCCTCTTTCGACTCTATTAATTGCTCGTAAATGTTGGAAATTGATTTTTTAAAACCCTTCACGATGTGTGCGAGCATCCGCGAATGTGTAGAACACGTGCATGTGTATTCGGGTCGTGTATGCGCATACGAAACGCGGCAAGCCGGAAACGACGTTTAATAAACGTACGGTCGTGAAACTTTTCACAATTATGAGAAAACATCGTAATGCGGCCAGCTACGAACGGAATTTCAGTTACGAGTGCATTTTAACCACTGTATCGTGATGTTAGAAAAGAAGTTACGATAATACTTAACTTAATATTCTTCGATTCGGTGTTAAATTTAAATCGATGTTTATCGATCATTGTTAATTTTGTTACTATTTTTCGTCATATTTTATGCAATCAGTTCTTGTAATTATGAGGGAAATAAATTCAGTCGAGTGATCGATGCTTTATTGGAATTAGCGGGAGATAGCAGGATTGAAACAAACATATACTTCCGCAAATTTCAAAGAAAATCCCGCGTTAGTTGGAAAGATTTGTCAATGTTTCGCGAGGAATAAACGATCTATTCAACGAATTTAATCGCGCGTATCTTGCGCTCCTAACGAGAATTGAAAATGGTGGCGCCATCGAACGAAGAAGTCGCGAACTCGATGGCGGGAAATATCGAGTGTGCTGTAATCGGCGGTGGAAAAAGTAAGTTACGCTTTACGACTACTGCTCTATAACATTTGAATGAAAGAAAAAGAATTTCCACAAAAATTAGATTTTATTAATTGCATTTTTACAATAACACGAGTTATCTGTAATATGTATAAAAATTAATTTACATACTTGTTACATAGAAACAATGAGAAATAATAATTAAGCTCGAGTTATACTTTATTCCACGGTGAGAGGAATGCGAGTCGAGGAAAGCTTTCTTACGCAAGCGTCGTTACAATTTCAAATAACAACAACGACAGAAAAATAATAATATTAATATTACAAAAATTAACAATTATATAGCCTTTAACGATAGAAACAATTTTCATTCGCTTTCGTAACTTGTGATCCTTACGCTATTGAAAACGTGGAAATCCAAATTCGTACGAATACAAGTACGCTTTAAAAATAAACTTCTTCCAGATAATTCAGTATTTCCACGCTTTTCTGGTAGGAAAGTAACTAGAATCGTGCAGCTAGTAACATATAGCACCTGAACGGAAAACCAGTCGCAAAATTGTACACTTTTAAAAGCCTTCTAACTATGATCCCTGGAACATCCTTGTCGTTTTTAAAGACAAGATCTCCATCCAGAAACGACGGTAATTTTTCGTTGACGGTCATTAGCAGTGAGAAAGAAACGCACGTGAATGGTCACGGAAGCGATGGACCAATTAGGTGACAGTAAATGCTCATAGGCACCGAATTCGGCAACCTCTAGGACTTCATGAGGCTGTATTTTTAAAATTTGAACCGTAAGACTTAGAGACATTAGAACTTTGAAATTCGAAAATTTCCGAATGTTTAAAAGTCCTCGAGACTTCGGAATTTAATCCATCGCGTAAACAGTACAAAACGGAAAAGAAACACGTATTCGCCGAAGCGTTTGGCGACATAGCCGAAAAGGGGAAATAATAAAACCGGAACGCGTGCATAATTTATATACACAAAGCACCTCGCGCGGTAAAATAAATCGTTGATCCGATTTCCGTGCGACCACTCGAACGAGCGGGACAAAACGGGATCGCCGGGATTGGATTAAAACGAGCTCGGATAATTGGGATTAATGGTTGGAACCGGGGCGAGAAAGTTTGATTAATTCGGTCAGAGGGAGCCGCAAAGCTGGTTAACTTTTAATTGCCAACTTTCTCGCGCGAACAAACGCGAACGATCGTGGAAAAAATCGACGAGCGATTAAACAAGGATCTCGTTAAATAGAAGTTACTCTTTAATCGCGATTATGCTCGCTGTCTTTCTCTTAACGTACCTTCTCGATGATTTATCCTCGCACAATAGGCTTATCGTTATTAAACTACAAAGAACTTGGAGGTAGCGCGTCAGCTCGGAATAGTTCGTCTCTTTCAAAGTTCTTCGCACCTTACATAATGAAAAAAAAAGAGAACCAACTGTACCTTTTCTTCATAGACTTTCGTCTTGAACACCACCTTTTACGATCATCACCTTCAGCGTAGTTTCACCGGCAAGCAGAGGCTAATCTCGCAGATTAGTTCTTACGCGTCACTTTAGATCTCCGGGAGAGAAAAGAACTTGCAGCACCTTTGAGTCCATAATCACGCGAGACAATCTTCCACGACTTCTTCTATCGGACGCGTAAACGAATCTTGCTAATTCCTGTTGCTGGAATTGATCAGATACTTGCAGCAATGCGTGAGCAAATGTTTTTCACCGGTGATGTCGTGAGGAACGTTGGTAGGGCTGGTCGATTCTCTCGTATAAATGTCCAGACCGTATTGTCCCTCCTCGGGGAAGTTGATGAAGAAAGTCACCATATCGTCGTCGGCGATCGAGTGAGCTACGTATTTGGAAAGCCGCTTTTCTTCGATTCCGTTTTTATGCAGCGTCGCCATGAAATCGGTTAATGGTCGCGACATACGGAATTGAATCTCCAGCTCTCGACCGGCGAACACCAGGGCCTCCTACAATTATTTAATCACGGATTATTACATATTTTATCACTAGATTCTCTAACTGACTTTCGTCAGGGGTAGTCTGAAAATGTTACTTTTAAAAGAAATAGAAAAACAAGAACACTTATATTAAATTGAACAGAGAAGTAGCTTGCTTGTCTTTATTTTGTATATTGGAATAATTTGACCGTTTCGTACCTGATGAGTAACCGGTATGAGGCCAAACAGTCTGGTAGCTTTCGTGGGGCCCCATTCGCCGCTTGCACAGTCTGGTAATGGCACCATAACTGTTTGCAATTCCTCGCAGGCGATCTTAAATTTGCACACGCTCTTGAACTTCATGGGTTCGCCTGTTAGGTATTCTTTGGGCGTTACCGCGTTTGCAAATATATCGAGGAGAAAAGCCCCGGAGCACGGGGCGTGCACCCGAAACGCGACTATGTTTCCAACGACGGACTGTGAACAGATATTTTTTAAACGTTACACCTCTCGACTTTCTTAGCGTTTAGATCAACAATAATTTATTCAATTTTATCGATAATTCTACAAGAATATTTTCGCGGCAAGGAGCATTTAAGTACATAGCTGAAATTTTTTGATTATTAAATTCTGAACAGAAAATTTTTTATGAAAAAAAGAACCAGAGACGGAAATTTCGCGAGTCACTTACCGATATTGGAAAACATTATTATTATTATTACAAATACTAAACGGCAATGATCGACCTGTTGACGAGTGTTTTCGCGAGTTTCTGTCGTTGGTCAATTAATTTCAATTTCGTGCAATTAATTAGCAGCTCCGACTCTTAAAACTCTCCCATCAAGGATCTCCGCCTTTCACGGTATTTCCCTAATTAGTTTATCGCTGGTACGACGTTGTACGTGTAATTAACCGTGGAAATGTCGTGGAAAAAAAGGAAAAGTGTTCGTTCCGTTTGACCTATCGAGCGTTTCACCGAGGCACGACTACCTACCTGCATGACGAATCGTTTCAACGACACACCGTCGTATCCGTCGCCGTCGTTGTCGTAGAACTTCAAATTGTAGTGGAAAATCAGGGACGACTGCATGTGCGCTGGCATGGCTATCCTGACCGTCGCGGCACCCGTCGAATCCGTGTACATAACGGCATTCGTGTTCGTATCCGGAAAGTATAGCCCGTACCTGTCGAATTTACACAAATTTCTTTTCCATTGCTTCATCTTTCTTCCAGTTCCTAAATTCAAAAGCTTTAAGAGGGCCATTAATTAAGCTCTGCGAGTTTGCTTCATGGTATTTACAAATTCGGTAAACATGCAAAGGTTGGGCGAAGAGGTCAGGTTAGAATTGAATTAAAATAGGTAAACGATTATGCAAGAATTTCGACGATGTTTTAAAAAGAAGGTAAAAGGTTTTTCGAGAAGGTTTACCTGAAAAACAGCGATCGCACGAAAGGTAGCTCTTCGAAGTCCTTCAGCGAAATCGGTTGTTTGAGCAATTGCCATTCTTCTTGAAGCGGGAAGAACTCGTATATGAATTCGCGTGGGTCCGTCAGGAAGTAATGATCGTCGTACTCGTATCTGTAAATAATTGACGCAAATATATAAATAATTGAATACGAGAGTTTATATCGTACCAAGAACAACATCACCTAAATTAAGATCCAAATACTTTAGCAAAAGGAAATTTATTGCTGAAAGAGTTATAAATGTATCGTGGTTCTTGCCCTGATTTCTGGCTGAAAGAGTCACCTGAGACTGTCGTTCTTGGCCTTTGGTTGCCCGGGGCGGGGTACTTCTTTGGCATTGACGAGATGTCGTGCCCCCCAGTTGCATTGAACGAATCTCCACGCACCGGCTACATAAACTGCGTTCCAACTGTTCCGGAATCTGTTGTCCTCGAAACAAACACCTGGTTGATAACCGGCCGACTTGCTGTAACCCTTTATGACCACGCAATGCAAGCCTGCGTAACTGAAACGAACACACACTTTTAGCTGTGATAATCTTCGACTTTGAGATCTTCAAGATCGAGATCTTCAAGATTGAGATCTTCAAGATGCAATTACATTCGAGTTGCAAACCGAAGGTCGTAAATTCTTTAAGTTGCAATTTAGATTATTTAGATCAGCAATGTAAGGTCTATCTATCAAGGCACAGTTAATAGTAAAATATTTATTTTGGCAGCTGTTGGGGATACGTCGCGAGGATCGAACTCGTACCTGCACAATCGCTTGAACAGAACATGGTAACTCTCGGTTCCGTGTTTGATTCCCCTCAACAAACCCATAGGCGTGTCTCCTCGCAGATTCTCGTCGAATTGCATGGTGTTCAAATTCTTCACGGTGATCCATCGGAATATTGTCCTAGCCTTTTCTATGTCGGATCCGCATCTGCTCACCAACTGTCGCACCAGGTCCGTGAACGTTTTCTGGTCTTCTTGAGCTACCTGATTTATTGCAACGAAAACAACGAATGAAGAACAACCCTTAAAGGGAGTCATTGTTCTTACTACGCTTGGCGATAAATTCCGAACTGAAAATATTCGACAAAAGTTGCCGTTGAATTTAATCTCGACCTCCGATAATTGAGGTTTAACTGGTAACAATGAAGAGAAGGCAGTGTCGTGGCAGTTAACGATAATTTCACAAGTTCTTTGACCCAAATTACTCCATAAAAGTTCGCTCGAACCCTTAAACAGCTTGATCCTCTATCGTAAAAAATGGCCACGACTCAAAGTCGTTGTCAGGCATGATCGTTGATACCTTCCGAACGAAAGAGAGGTCATAAATCGATTACCGGCGACCTCGTTGTGCACGCAGACCGGATAAAGACACGGGATATATGAAAATATCGTCGCGGATACGAGGAATCGTTTAAAATTCCGAAGTTGTGACCCTGCCTAGGCTCGTCGATATTACATTTACAGCATGGATTCACCGCTGAAAGGGAGATCAGCAGGCTTACCGAAATAGCTATCTGATCCATGTCAGCAAACTCCAGAGGATCATTGTAGATGTGATACTTGGCTAGGGCTGGGGGTTGCGGGGGTGGTGCTCGCGACGGATAAGGCATAGGCGGTGCTTCCTGGGTATAACCGTCCCCTTCGTCGAGATACAGGCTCTCCTGACGCATATATTCGCTTCTCGCCTCGTTGATCAGCTCCAACATCTCCGAGCTTTGTTTCTCCACCAGCGCCGCGGTCGCAGCCCTGTAAATTCCATCAATTATCGATGTTATGGGACCTCCAAAAACCTCCATAAACTCGAGGTAGTATGATAATGTAACTATTTGAATGTTGGGATATGGAACTTTGACCAAAGCGATTGTTACGCCACTGAATCCGAATCTTGGAGTTCCAACGCAAAGCCGAAACTTGGAATACGGTTTAAATAAATAGCCTTGGGCCAACATGGCTGAACTTCGAGGATGGTATCGACGAGGTATCTCTAATTGAGGTAATTGCGCTCGACTCACGACATGGCCGGAAGACAAAGAACATCGGAAATGGCTTAATTTGTAACGACCTTGCGTCTGACTCCGCATCGTCGTTTGAAAAATTGATTTTAAAGAATTCAGAGCCGAAGAGCTAAAGCTCGGAGAACTACTTGCAGCTGAAAATTTAATTCCACGTTTCTGTTGGATATTTCAAAATAGCTTCATTCTTTGGTCACATTGGTTCACTTTTAGTCTCGTATTCGAAATCTTTGTAAAGCGGAGTTTTATGTATGAAGACTTCGAGCGTGTTTACACTGCAAAACTGCCCAGAACATATGCAAGGATTTTTCAACCGAGATAATAAGATTAAACAAAAATTTTGCAATTTCATATACCGTTTAGAAGGGTCGCATTCCTCGAGACTTTACGAGCGCCGTTTTTTAAATGAGATCATATGACCAGAGATAAAAAAGATATTCGAAATTCCAACGATGACTCATTCTAGGTCTTAAATTCCGAACGATTTATTTAATAGCTTTATGAACTCGGTATGAAATCGTATTCCAAGCTGTCAGGAACGTTAGAAATATTTCGGTTGAAATAAAAATGACGTACGTGTTAAAATAAACACTAGATTAAGGGGTTAACAGTAGGTCAGTTGACGCAACGGCATTGACCCCATCTTGAACCCGACATGTACTCCAAGTAGTACAGCATAGAATCAGTTTAATTAGGTAATGAGTACCGTTCGTGCTCCAGCATTTTGCGCGTGAGACTTTCCTTCTTCTTGTCCCTGCGCAGAGTCATGTTCTTCTCCAAGTCCTCTTTCTCCTGTTGAAACTGTTGGGTTCGAACTCTTCCGCCTTTTTCCCGCTCCCATCTGGCCGATAGTTGTTCCAATTCTTTCTCCCATTCGTCCTGCTCGATCAAACGTCATCTTTCGAGTCTCGAGTAATCACAATAGTATTTATCATACTCGAAAGTACGTACCCTAAATTCCTCGCGGATTCGTCTGTCCTCCTCTTCGCGGTGATGAGCAAACTTTCGGTACAGATCGTCCTCCTCCTTGCGGTGCTTCATCTCCAGACGCGTTTGCTCATCTCGGTCCTGATGATTACAAAAATTATATATTTAAGATTATTTTATTGTGGCGATTCAACTAGCTGTGTCATAAATTTCATTCAGGACTTATGTTTAAAAATTTGAAAATTGTGACGTAAAGCATGGGGTAGAATTATAACACATCGCTATCGATATAACACATGTTACCCCACATGTCAACATACAACACATTACTAAATTTCGTAAATACATATAGTGCTGTAGAACGTAATAAAAGAGTGAAACCTTGAGAAAATACAATTAAATCGAACCGTCAGGTTTATCAAAAGGTCTAGGCCGTTCCTAAACGTCCCGTAACCGTCGTTCGTCCAGTTTTTGTCCGATTTACTTTCACGCGGTGTTTCTGCTTTCATTCCGGCGGCAATCGTGTCGGAAAGCACGCGCTCCGCGATCTCAACGTGGACATCTTTCGTCTATTCCCACGATCTCGCAGAAATGACGAAACCGAACGAATCAAAGGGCTTCTTCGAGTTTGGTATCGTTGCTCAAGCGACTTCTTTGGCCTTACGAGAAACTTACGTTATGGTTACGACACGACGGTACGGGTTGTTGCGTGAAATAACCGTAAATAAGGACAATGCGAGAGCATTGACATTTCTGCGTGCTTTCTGCGTTTGGAGAGATCTTGACGTGACCTACAGGGTAATACAGCTACTCTGCTCGAAGAAATTATCCTCGAATCTACAACTTCCTTTTTACTTTAATATCTGTTATTCGTTAATACTAGTAATTCACGCGAGATTAGTAGGAAAAATTTACGAGATGCAATTGCAAATGTATTTTGTTGAAGCTAAAGCCTTGACCATGCTTTAACCGTTTTTAGAAAACCCTACATCCTTGGAAGTCATTGTCTAATTAGGGTCTGGGGGCCTGCAAGCACTCCAGGTACAGACATGTACTGTTGCAGTTTCTTTTTTGTTTAGTTCTAACCGTGCGTCCGTCTTGTATACACCGAATTCTAACATAGGTTCTTTCATCGTATATTTTTCCATTTATAAATATAGCTATTAGTCTGATTAACTGTACAAGTGTGTTTTATTTTACATAACCCCAAAACATATTTGATTAAGTCTAAAGTTACTTTGACAAGAATTTCAACTGCATAAGTATTTATAAATGTTCAACTAGATCTAAACATTAACCTGAAGGTGTTTAAAAATGTGCAACAATAAGTATAGCGAAATTTAATATTTAGTTGTTCATTGGAACTTGATAGTTGAAGCAGCCTGTACCGAAGGGGAATGTTGCGGTCGACTTTGGTAAAATTGCTTTGACGAGCATCGGGCTGTTGCAACGACAGGTGCAATTACTCTTTCTTTCTTCTTCTTTGCGAGACAAGATTCCTCGCAACAATTGAGAAGTTTCTATTTTGAAATCAATGATCGTTCCGCGAATCTCGAGTCGCCGATCCTCGAAGCCTGGTAAAAGTCTCGTATGCCCTCGAGACGACGAGAAAGCACTCTAACAGGATTAATTCGGTCAATCTGTTTACTCGTGTCATTGAAGAAGTAACTTCCTTTGACTTTTTCCACGGACCGAGTGGTTAATCAACATTCCACGCCACAGAATTCTAATAGTTCCTGTTTTCAAGAACGTTTGTTGGAATAGATAGAAATAGCTCGAGTGTCATTTCGACGATCATAATCGGTCTTGAACGAAATTTGCAAATGTTCACATTTCAAATGTGCAAATTTTCAAACTTTTATAACGTGAATTCTCTGTAGAAGACTTCTACGTCGCAATTTCCCTTAGGGAAACCTACCGTGGCTAATAGCGGAGTTCTCCAAGTCGACAGCCACTTATTTATTACCACTTTTACGAACGAGTCACTAAAACTCTGCAATCATTAAAACAATAAGAGAAACTCTGTCGCTATTAAGACAATAAGAAAGTTCACAAGATTAATTCGGTTAATGTTGCCAGTAATTTTCTTCGATGCTTGTTCGCGTGACTAGTTAATCGAGATTGAACCTCTGTTTGTTTTCCCCAGCGGAAAAGCCGCAATAGGAAAATTATACAGGTTCTGATCGGAATCGATAAACGCGGTGTCGATTTTCAAAAAAATCCCTGTTAATTCTTCGCTAGTAAACAGCGGGTTCGGTCTTGTTAATTAAATGCAAACACTGTTCCACGAGATTATCCGCTTCCTGTTTTCACCAACTAACCAAATTTTTCTACGAGGTTCTTATTAAAATTAATGAAGATTAGCCTGTTAAATTAAGATGGAAAGTAAACAAATAGTACAATTCGCTGCTTTATCTACACCTGTGCTAAAATTCCTGTCAAGTAATTTACTCTGCGATGCAACGATAAGGAATATTCGAACTATACAGAAGGATGCCATATAGCAGGTGGGGCCAACCTGCGGCTCTCTGAAGGATTATTTGTGGCTCTCGATAAATATACCCAAGCTTTTCATTTTTGTGCTATTATATTTTAAAAAATTATTATCGTTCCGTATGTGTTTCAAAATGTCTTTGAAATTACTGAGAACAAATATGAAAGACTAAGTGCAACGTTGTAACAAATTTCCGTCCAAGTTAAGAATGATATGACTCATTGGAAATTGCGGCTCGCGAAATATTTTAAATTTTGAAAAATGGCTTGGACTATCAAGGACTTTGGCCACCCCTGCCATATAGCAAGACTCGCGCACAACTTCGTTACCAGTTCGAGCCATTAATTCTTCACAATCGGTAGCAAAAAGGATCGTAGAAGAAAGTAACAATAAAACCGATAGATTCTCGTATAGCATTGACCGCGACAGTGATTCCAATTAGCATCCGTGAGTCTGTTCCGAAAGACGCGTGAGAGGTAAGCCACAATTGTTCCTTAACAGGATACGATCGCGGTAAAATGTACGTCTCTCCGTTTCTCTCTCTTTCACGAGCTACGATTCTCTAATTAACTATCGAGCGCGGTAGAGTACCGCAAGCGGAAACGATTCTGCGAGCTTTCCTTCGCGTGCACGCCGCGTCAAAGTAAAGAAGACGAAGACACGTTCTTCCGTGGTAACCGTTCGAGCTAGGTTCAATCGTATTGTTCTCGGCTATCTCGTAAGAAAGTCTGGAAACGTTGACGAAGTCCGAAGGTACGAAAACGAAGGATTTTTGCGATCGTTTACGCTTCACGGGGCCGCGCTATTCGTTTCTTGCGATCGAATGGCTTTCGACGAACACGAAATTGCCCGCTCGAACGACTCGCCGATCCTGCAGGAATCCGTGATTCCGCGAATCCTAGAAATCGGAGAAGAGAGATCATAACTAGAAAGTCCTCGAAATGAATGAAAATTTGTTTGCGCATTCCTGGAGAGTCGTGGGAAGACAGCGAACCGCTGCACAAAAGGGTGAAAAATTCTCGTTGCATCATCGTCCCTCGAATGAAATATATCGGAAAGTTTTGGCGGGTATCGTGCACAACCCACGCGGTTTTCGTTTCGTAAGAGCGTACGGGCACGCAGGTGGTCCGACGTTCGCGAATTACTATAAATAACGCGTTAGCAGCGGGAGACGTTTAGCTGGATGCGAGGGATCCGCGAAAGCGGATCGAGGAGAAAACGCGCGCGGATAGTGGAGCGACTAGCGGCTCGGCCTTCTTATATTATGCCGGCCCGATGGGAAAAGCAACGGCAATCTCATTTTCATGTAGAGTCCGTTTTCGCCGCGGTACGCATTCCTCGCTTGTCGAGCGATTTCGCGCACGAAAGTCACTGGCACGGAATGCTTCGGTTTCGCATTCCTACGAAGTAGAGTTCGGAAATTCGGCTGAACCAGGATTTTCCATTAAAATGCGTCCACCTCGCGGTGTCCGCTCGGTCCAACTAATCACCGATCGTGACCAACGTGCCACTGCGAGGATTTCTACGCGTCGTTGAACACCGGCGAAATACCTGATTTTATTGTGCCACGCTCGAGAACGAGCTCGAACCGGATATTTGGCCAGCTTGTTGCTCGACCGGTAATCGATCGGTACAAGGACGATTACCATTACGATTACGATTACAGGGACAGCGCTTTCATTAGAGCGAACTGACTTTTCAGATACTGCTATGAGTTTTACTAACTTGCATGACGTTCGCTAGTACACGCCATCTTTGCCTATGAAGCGAGCGATTAAGCGAATTTATCGATAAGTGCATGGACCAGAGTCTAACGACTTTGTATAATAAAATCTCTGTAAATTTTCTGTAATAGATTAGTTGAGGATCTTCTGTCAGACTGTGCATGATTTTAGTATACAAGACTACAATCAATCGGAATTTGAAGAAATGAATGACCTTGACAGTGACCTTGGACATTAAGTCAATGCCTACGATAATGAAAAGTAATAAAAGAGTGCAGTAAAGCTCAAGTGATAAATGTAATAAGATAACGCCCGATAACTTCACTACGTGTAACTATTATACACGGTTACCTGCACTCACATTTTGTATTCAAGATTATAATCGAAAATTCTGTAAGTGTGACTTAATAAAATCATGATTTTGACAGTTACATTTAGCACGTACGTAGAGAAATCACATATTTTGAAATTGTAATTAGCGTCCGATAAAGTGAGCAGGAATAACGCTGTCATTGATGGCTTGATAAATAATGTACCATTGTACGTAGTTAATTACAGAATTCGTTATCTCTCTAATAAAATGAATTAATTTAACTGCGCTGGAATGTTCGCAATGTTAATTAGCAGGAAGCTGCCGAAGGTAAGTAGTCCAGAAATTGTGAAAATCAAATACCTGATATTGTCTGGGTTTCGAAAGAAAATTGGGGGCAATGAAAATTCTAAAAGTTTGTAATTGTGGGTCATGTGATTTACGATGCATTTTGAACAAGACTTCCTGCTTATAGACATCTCTAGATTTCTACAAGTCTCTTTTTAACCGACTTCGAAAAAGGAGGAGGTTACTCAATTCGATCAGTATATTTTTTTTTTACATATTACTAAATTTCTACAAGTTTCAACCCTCGCCTTTAGATCTCTACAACATTAGTCTAACCTTAGATCTTTACATCACTGAATCCCTACATGCCACTATATCTTTAAATACCTATAACCGAAGATGCTTGTATCCCTAAACATCTACACCCTTAAATCTGAATAATCTTAGATCTCTGCATTCATAGATTCTTACAGTCCTGGACCTTTACACCCCTATGTTAGATCTTTACAATTCTGTAATACATGTAATGTACACCTATTCTTCTAGATGTCTACGCCCCTTATTCTTCCAGATCTCCAAAGTCTGTGTCCATAACTCCATATACAACCCCAAATGTATATTCCGAGATCGATGAACGTCTCTAGCTTGTAGCATCCATGTCGATGGTTGGAACGCGTCCGTCGGTATCGCGGGTAAGGAACGAAGCAATAATTTCGATAAAACGATCCCAAGAACGTCGATAATTAACCCGAAGCGGCTTAATTGGCGCGGATCGGCGGCGGAATAGGTAACTCGCTCCTAATATGGCGGTGACCGTGACGAATGATTTCACCGACTATGAGAATGACTCACCAGATAATAATCGATGGGTTTCTCGCGTGCCTTGCTGTAACCCTTCTGTAGCTCGGTCTGCTTAAGGGCATGGGCGATGTGAAGGGCGCTCGCGTCGAATCTGCCGTACTGGTAGCTTCCGTCACCGGAATAATTGTGGTTGTACGGCGAGGATCCTCCTCCTGCCGAATTCCCGTGGACGTCTCGTTGGGAAGAATTGGTGGCCGGTGGTGAGCCGTGTCCGTTCAGGTGCCTGGCACAATTAGGCGAGTCTACATTATCGTAGCTGCAACAAAATGATGCAACGGGTCTTCAGGGGGGCTAGGGATCGTCTAAGCGAAGGAGACACCTTGCCGAAAAAGAAATAATTGGATAAAAGTCGGTCGCTTCTAGTTGCTTTTTAATCCGCGAAGTACAGAGAAATGTCTGGGTAACCGCGATTCCTCCGCGTCCTCCGCTTCCGGTCTTTACCATGCAAATGCACCGATTATGCGCGGGAAAAAAACTGGGTCAGTGCTCTCGGCAACGACCGCCTTTAGACCTTAATGGTCGTTTCAATTTCTACAATTATATTTCCTCAAAAATCTCTGTGTTTGCAGGGTGAACCACCCCCATTCACAGATCCCTTAAATATTAATCGAAACAACTTTCGGTCTGAAAATGCAATTTTTAGTGACAGCTCGAAGTCGAAATTATTACGTCATTACGTATTATTCTAACTTTCTATCAAAGTTATGTTCCTATGCATTGAAGGTTCACGCTTGTGAACAAAATGAAGACAGCAAAAATCGTAGAAGTTGAAACGAGAAACAGACATCGAAGAAAGGATCGGTCCGACTGATTCACCCGACGAAAGAGTAAAAATGCCATAAGAGGACGTATCGTGTACGAGAGTCGCATCGGTTATGAGAAAATCCAGAGTCTCTCGGTTAAATGAATGTGTTACACCTCTGGCTCGTTCTCTCCTTCGGGGTTCATTCACTCGCGACGATGCTTCTCCGCCTCCTCTCTGTCTCGCGTGAACGCGCGCTCCTTATGTAAGCCGGAGGCAGCTCACGAAACGCGGCTACGAGAAATTCTTCCAAGTTTCTTGCACGTTGCACGACGGAGAAAACGATCCGAACGATAAATCAACGCACGGCGATTTCGGCAGTCGTGCACAAACGACTTTCGAAAAGCCCGACGATGCTGTTACTCGTTCATGCTTTAACGTCGTGTCAACGTATTTCGCACGTTCGCTTTGCTCATTTTTTACTCGTTATATCGCTACCGATTCGGATTTTCAAATTGAGAAATCATACTCGGCTTTTCGAATTTGTAAATTCTCAGTGTCTCAATTTTCGACTCTCGACAATTCGAAAATTTCTGAATTATCGAAATTTTGTATTGCCCTTTCCTGTTTTTAGGATATTAATCTCTTCCTCTGATAGCCCTAGTGGCAATGTAGAGAGAATCCACTGTATCAATTTGATGCAACTATTATACATTCAAAAAGTTTTAAATACGTGAGAATTGTATATATTTTGCAAACAGAGAGTTATTAGGTATTATTATCGGTATCGGTAAAAGAATTATCGAGATATATTCTGTTTCATAGAGAAACGTGTTCAGAGGATTTGGATGTTTTGTATAGCTGATTTCCTGATCGCTGCAACAGGTCGTCGGTTGGCTCGTTTTTTAAAGGCTGCGAGGCGCAATTGCGGTAAAACCTGGTTAATACGGAGCTTCGTTTAATTTGGAAGCTTCGTTATAGAATTAACCGAATGAACGTTTGCGGTTTGAGTTGGCTGAAATTTCATAGGAACTTTAATTCGAATCGTCGCTCTCCTGGATGAATTCGGATTAAGGATCTAAATCGCTGCTGATCCTTCGAGTAGTCTCGAATTGAAATTAATAAATTAATCACCGAGTAAACTGAAAAGATTGCAAACGATTGGTCCGACTTCTGTCACATATCTGTCAAATAAATCCACGATCGAGTAGAAATTCTATTCGAAACATCTCGTGAAAGAGAAAGAAGGCTACCAGATTCTAACAGCCTAATGAGCTTAGTTTAAAAGGAAAACAAATGACTTGACCATATCCTCTTGCATGGGCAACGAATCTGGCAAGAACAGGCTAGTTATTTCCGCGAAATCGGGTCAGCCATTGACATTCCGGTCGAAAAGCAAGTGCACTTCTTACTCGCAATCGCGGTTTCTGACTTTGTTCGAGGCTTGGTCGGATTAAGGCCAATGTGGCGATGCGTTATGTAACGAAGATGAACCAAGTGGCTCGACTGACACGTATACGGTACTCGAGCTTCACCGCGGACCAAAGTGTGTTTGTAGGAAATAATTGTCGCCAGACGTTCGTGAGAAAAATTCAGCACGGCTAGTGACTTGTAGAAAAGTGTCCGAGATACGTGAGCTATTTGTTAATTTCGATGTGAAAGGGGAGGAGTTTTGATCACGCTCTCTGTTAACATACGTGAAGAGTTCGACGGATTCGAATTATTCGTTTTTTGATTATTTAATTGAGTTGTCGCGGTAGATGTCGTTTGTGATACGCGACTTCAACGCTCGATAATAATTAACTCTAATAGCTGGTGTCATATATTTATGACATGTATTTGCATATATTAACGCGTCACTTTTTCTGATAGTATTTCTCTACTAATTAGAGGTAGCGAATTCAATGCTTATTATAGAAGTTATTAAACACGTGTATAATCATCTACCAGTAATCTCAAAAGGAATCTAGGATTTTTAAGAGCATGATTTTCATAGCGTGTATATAAATTGTGATATTCAACTCTTTTTTCTTTTGCACGGTCTTAATTATTCGATTAGATGAAATTATCGTGTCTCGCGATCAAAATTATGAAGACTTCGATAGGCACGAATGTCAAACTCGATTAACGTTCAAGGAAAATTAATAACGAAGTTCTGCAATTTTTTACACGAACCTCGCATAAAAGAGCTATTAACAAGATCGTTCGGTATAAAAAACCGATTTATACCCCGCATAAACGATCTCGATTTAACACCGAAGGGAAAGTGGAGAAACCGAACGATGTCGATCGACTTTCCGAAGTCTCGAGATCGCATTAAAAATCAGAAAACGTAAAAGAGAGCCGTTAAATTTGTCCGATTGTAGTAATTTACTTTCCAACGAATAGGCATAAGATCGCATCCTTCGCGTCGAAATAAAAGGGAAACGATCTAGTAAATCGATTTCACGATTATATCTACGAACGCAGGTAAAACCATTGGCGCAACTTGACCTGTAACCTTTTGATACCGGTTACGTGCGATCCGCAACGTCCTTGGAATCATCAAACGCGATTTAAGAGCGCTTAATTAAGCGCCGATCACGTTCCACTCGTTCGAAAATTACACGTTCCCTCGACGTGTCACGACACTTTTCCTGATACGACTCCCGACGTCAAAGTGCCCATGACTTCCGCTAACAATAACCACTCTCGTTATATCGCTACACGGACTTTCACCCACACCGTCGACGCACCTGCGTTATCGTACGACACGAAGATCTACCCATTGTAACATCGAAGTAGAAAACCTATCGAGTAAGAGAAAATGCGACGATGCAAATAACCGACCCCGTTTTCCAGCCCCCTCGAGTTACGTGTTGCTAATTTCCTTATTATGGTTACTGTTATTTAATCAAGTTCCCATTGCTCGCCAGAAGGCTGAATTGTAGACCGGGAATGCAGCACGAATACCGATCGGAATTTTTTGCCCCCGTTCGTGATGCAGCTACGATAACGAGATAGAACAGTATCGAAAGAACACCGTGTTGTGCTAATACCCTGATAAACCAAAAAACGTCGATTCGTTTCTTATTCCGTGTGCAACGATGCGATCGAGGATCGACAGAAACATGATTCGAACGTTTTTTCACAGATTTCGAGGTCGAGGCTCGATAACTATCAAGAACAGCTTCCGGTTAAGTCGATTCATCTATTATCTTGTTAATTGATTCAACCAGACTCGACCGATTTCGCAGTGGACCAAATTAACACACTCTACTGACTCCTACTCGCAATTAGCGGATACTAAACGCACATTTGTTCCGCCTTTCAACAATGAACCGCATATTCGAACTTTTTTATTTTTCAGCAGTTTGGAGTGAAAGGAGACACGCATCTCGATGACTGAAATTTCTTTGACTTTTTACAGAACGTTTTATGCAATGATACTGAAAGAAATTTCTAATTTTTGCTCACTGCTTCTCTGTCCTAGAGATGCAAAATCAGATTGTTCTATTCTGATAAGTTACCGAATGACATATCGGTAGTCCAACAGGGTTTGTGGGCACTTTCTATGGTTTATTAACCCCTTCCCGTGCTATTTATTTATGAGGTGCGTCAGTCAAAACTAACCATTCAGGACTATAACATTAACCCCTTGCCGTGCCATTTATTTATGAAGTGCGTCAGTCAAGACTAACCATTCAGGACTATAACATTAAAACGAACAAAGAAAATTAAAATGTTCTAAGTATTTTATATTTAGGGATCTTTGGCAACGCAAATTATAGTTGGATCTAAACTTCAAGTTGAAGAGTATTCAAAATTTGAGTAAGGTTTATCGCATTTGAGTTGTGAGTGCGTCACGAGTTAGACTCGTCAAAGCACGGGAAGGGGTTAAATTAACTCTTCTCGAGCTTAAAATGTTCGAAGTATTTTATATTTAGGGATCCTTGGCAACGCAAATTATAGTTGGATCTAAACTTCAACTTGAAGGGTATTCAAAATTTGAGTAAGGTTTATCGCATTTGAGTTATGAGTGCGTCACGAGTGAGACTCGTCAAAGTACGGAAAGGGGTTAAATTAACTCTTCTACAGACCGGTACCGCAATAAAATGAATAAACGGTTTCTCACCAGGGCGGATAAACTCCTCTCGGTGACGCGCCACCGGCTCTGATCTGTTCGTTGACGTAACCGCTCCTGGGCACGTTGAGCGCGCTCCTGATGCCCACGCAGGATCCGTCCAAGGTCCCCGGGCCCGGTTTCGGTACGTGACTGCTGCAGTACACCTCTTTGTCGTTGATCGTGTGCTGGTTGTTGTAATAGGTCTTCAGGGTCAACTTGGTGCCGCAGATCGCGCACTTGAAGCAACCCGCGTGGAAGAAGGTGAAGTCCTTCAGCGGGCCCACTCTGTCCACCTGGTACACGGTCTGGGCGCACCTCAGACACGTGCTCTCGTAGAAGTTCGGCCGATACATGGTCCACGGGCTATCCTCGTCCTCGGCTACGTTCCCCTGCTCGCTGGATGTCGATCGCTGCTCCTCAGTCCGCTCTGGAAGCCAGCACGTGCGACCTTGACAAGCAAAACGACTTTGAGTCAGTTGGATATCGGCGAAAAACCGAGCGAGATCGGTCATCGGCGGGGAACGCTCGACCTGCTCGACCGGCTCATAAATTTCCGTGCGTTGCAAATGTCATTTCGGAATTTTCGGAGATGCTACTTTCGGGAGTTTTGGAAACTTTCGAGTATGGGGACTCAGGAGTATGGAACTCCTGAGGAGGATTTCATATACTTGGTTACAACTGCAGGGTTAAATAGAAATATGGAGCGATATTTTCGTTCGTACAGAAGCATAAAACGATACTGGCAAAACGCGTGCCTTAATTGGAAGTAATTAACGTAATGCAAAAGTCTCGCGCGAATCAGACCGAGGCTGTTTCTCAACTCTCGATAATTACGTTTGCCAGGATGTCCAGAAAACAGAAGGAAACGAAGAAACACATGGACTACCGGTCAGTTTGCCCATCTATCCTGTTACGCATTCGCAAGATATATCGATATTTATGAATGTTTTCAATATTACTCAAACAAGCACGATAATGTTCTCGATTAGTTCTGCAGCGATTTTTACGACATCGTACGTATAATTACCGATGAGCTCACGAACGATGCGTGTTCGTAGAAAATCCACAAACGATAGTATCGTGATCGTGAGCGATTAAAGGATCAACTAAACGCATCGGTGTTGGCAAAAAAATAATCGTGCCGCCAACACTTTCCTGCCGTTGCTTTTGCAACAAATTGTTGCCAATACTTTTCATAGTGGGCGACCTAGCGGACGGGGATAATTGCAACAGATTTCACGACCTCGTTTACACGTATAGACCATATTACTGGCTTATGATAGCTTTAAGTATATACATTAGGCTTGCGGACTCCAATTTTCTAATTTAGATGGTTAGAAAGTTTCGAGAGTAGAAATTTCGAGATTTGAGGAGTTAATTTGGAAATTCAGCATTTGGAATGTTATTTAGGAAGTTGGTCGTTTAGCGAATTGGATTTACAAGGATCTGGAGATCTAGGCAATTTGATATGTATCGAATTTGGAACTTACAATTGGGAAACCTTTAAAGCTGCAAAGTTGGAGATGTAGAAATGTAGAAGTCTGAAAATTTGTGTTTGTAGGAAATATAGAAGTTGAAGAATTTGAAAATCTAGCAATTTGATATGTATCGAATTTGGAACTTACAATTGGGAAACCTTTAAAGCTGCAAAGTTGGAGATGTAGAAATGTAGAAGTCTGAAAATTTGTGTTTGTAGGAAATATAGAAGTTGAAGAATTTGAGAAATCTAGAGTCTAAGAATTTGAGGACATGAAGATTCAAGAACTTAAAGATTTGAAGATTTCTAAATTTGAAAATTAATAAATAGAAGTATCTAGAGATTATTTCAGATGTCGTAATTTCGAACCCTACGAATGTTTAAACTCTCCAAATTTCTAACCATAAAGAGTAGTAAAAAGAAGCAAACTGTACAATCGAGAGTGCAGAATGAATCTCATCGCTAACTCCATTGACATTTTCGTGCGTACGGACCGTGCGTCCTCGTTAACGCTTCGACGTCCAGCGATGACCTCCGTCCATAAAAAAAGCATATTTCATTCATACTAATTTCCCGTATTTCGTTCACGCCTCTTCGATCTCCTTTAACGTCCAACGAAATTACATCATCGAGGAGAAAAGCGTGTCCGCTCGGAGACGAAAGTTCGAGCGTGGTCGAAAACTTTCTAAATGAACCGTGTCTAATTTTTCGAAAATTACCTCGGTTTCACCGGTTCTTCTAATCCTGTTACGAGAAAGAATCCAGGTTTCCCCTTTTTTTCTCCTGCTCTTCCTTCGATTCCGGGAACAGACGAATTCTGCGTCGTTGCACGGCCACAATGGCGCGCGTTACGTCACACCGTTAGCGAGCGTGCACAACAATACCGTAATAAACGCAGGATAGTCCCTCTCACGCATCAACGAATCCTGCTTTTCCGCTCGCCACGACACGCACTGATTCTTTTTTTCAGCCGTTGCTTCTCGATCGCGATGATTTTCAGCCCGGGACAAAATCCCTGCCGAGGATACGCGCTGGATAGCTTTTCTTCCGGAGAACGGGCACAAGTGTCTGTCCGGAGAAAGCTTTTTATTGCGCGACAGGATATTAAACACCGATTCCCTCATGTGCACGCTGCATTTTTCTGCTAATTATTTAGTTCCCTCATAAACTACTTTTATTTTATTATTACTCTTCTGTTTAACGAGAGGAAAGGATGTCTAAATTTTGTTGGCAGTTCTTGTGACTTTGAGGAAACGAGAGTTTGAAGATTTAGAAACTTCAGGAATTTGTCAATTTAAAGATCTCCAAAATATACCCCAAGTTTATCATTTGGATAAAAAATTCGGGTTGTGAAATCTAGAGTCTAAGAATTTGAGGACATGAAGATTCAAGAACTTAAAGATTTGAAGATTTCTAAATTTGAAAATTAATAAATAGAAGTATCTAGAGATTATTTCAGATGTCGTAATTTCGAACCCTACGAATGTTTAAACTCTCCAAATTTCTAACCATAAAGAGTAGTAAAAAGAAGCAAACTGTACAATCGAGAGTGCAGAATGAATCTCATCGCTAACTCCATTGACATTTTCGTGCGTACGGACCGTGCGTCCTCGTTAACGCTTCGACGTCCAGCGATGACCTCCGTCCATAAAAAAAGCATATTTCATTCATACTAATTTCCCGTATTTCGTTCACGCCTCTTCGATCTCCTTTAACGTCCAACGAAATTACATCATCGAGGAGAAAAGCGTGTCCGCTCGGAGACGAAAGTTCGAGCGTGGTCGAAAACTTTCTAAATGAACCGTGTCTAATTTTTCGAAAATTACCTCGGTTTCACCGGTTCTTCTAATCCTGTTACGAGAAAGAATCCAGGTTTCCCCTTTTTTTCTCCTGCTCTTCCTTCGATTCCGGGAACAGACGAATTCTGCGTCGTTGCACGGCCACAATGGCGCGCGTTACGTCACACCGTTAGCGAGCGTGCACAACAATACCGTAATAAACGCAGGATAGTCCCTCTCACGCATCAACGAATCCTGCTTTTCCGCTCGCCACGACACGCACTGATTCTTTTTTTCAGCCGTTGCTTCTCGATCGCGATGATTTTCAGCCCGGGACAAAATCCCTGCCGAGGATACGCGCTGGATAGCTTTTCTTCCGGAGAACGGGCACAAGTGTCTGTCCGGAGAAAGCTTTTTATTGCGCGACAGGATATTAAACACCGATTCCCTCATGTGCACGCTGCATTTTTCTGCTAATTATTTAGTTCCCTCATAAACTACTTTTATTTTATTATTACTCTTCTGTTTAACGAGAGGAAAGGATGTCTAAATTTTGTTGGCAGTTCTTGTGACTTTGAGGAAACGAGAGTTTGAAGATTTAGAAACTTCAGGAATTTGTCAATTTAAAGATCTCCAAAATATACCCCAAGTTTATCATTTGGATAAAAAATTCGGGTTGTATTAAGGTAAACGTTCCGTAGGCGGAAGTAATTACAGGCTCGTACGGGCGATATGTTCATTGCTATCGTCGGTTTAACGAAGAACGGGGCATGATCGATTTGTGTCCCCCGACATACCGGTAGTCGTAAACGCTTATGAAGGCTCATAAATTTCCGCCTCGTCATCGGTAGCTCCATTTCCCTTCGTATTTTTCCGAACCAACATCGTATTTTTCCTGAACACGCGACCGAATCAGCAATTCCTCGCGTGTATTTTAATCGTACCTTACGCAATATCTCGAGAGGAAATCGTAACGATCGTCGTAAAACGCGACACTTCCAATTACGGATACTCGTCGATTTTCATTCATCGGATGCTTGCACCGGCGATCTTTCGCGAGATTTTGTCGACGCAATATGCTCGTTTTCTACGTTGTGACCGCGACCCTCGTCATTTTTATTTCCGTTCTTTGGGGTCCTCTTTCTGCCCTCTTTCTTCCTTTTAATTTTATTTCCAATTTTTATTAGAAAGGTCTATTTTAGATAACATATCTAACTTCCCAAATTTTCCAATTATTTCTAAATTCGTTCTCAAAATTTCTAAGTACTCATAAAATGTCCCAGATTTCCCACCGTCTTCTCCACTGAAATCTACCCTAATAAGAACCTTACACGGCTATCGTACATGTCCATCGCACGACAAGAGTGTCAATTCTACGAGCACGATATAAACTAACTGGGATAGTAGGTGATACTTGATTGAACAGAGAGCAGAACGCGATTGCACCGTGAACGAATCGATAGCATGGATCTGGCCTTATTCCCTCGCGGTGAAAACGATATGCATCTCGGCCCGATGACACGATCCGTCGAAAATCCGCGACGTCACGCGCGTGAAAATTATTTATCGCATTCCTCGCGTCGTTTATCACTGGATAATGCTCGCTCGAACACCGGTGTCCCCATTCTGGCCCACCTTCTCCTAGGTATTTACGCTCCACGCGCACACATCTACGTGCACTCGCGGCAACCGATACACGCATCGATAAAAAAAGGAACGCATACGATCACAAACACCGCGTACCGAGGAACTTTGTCGAGTACTTTGGCTTTCTGCGATGGAATTTTGCGATTTCGACAATTTAAATTGGGAGTCTGAAGATCTTGGACCTTTCAGAATTTGATAATTTGGGAGTTTAGAGACTTGGAGATCTAGGATTTTATTAATTTAACAAGTTGGAGATTTGAAAATTTGGGGATATAGATGAATGGGTATGTAAGGACTTGGAAATTTAAGTTCTGGTTAGGTTAGCAACTTAAAGACGTGAAGATTTGAAGGTTCAAATGCTTAGCTGTTTAGGTATTTTGGAATTTAAGACTTGGTCAATTTCTCAGCTTGAGATTTGAACATTTCGAAGAGCAGAAACACGGGAACGCACAAAGTTGAGAACTTAACAATCTGAAGATTTGATCATATCTGAATTGAGTGTTCTAACAATTTAGTGACATAAAAGTTTGATCGTGTACGATGCATCAAAGTGCTCGTGGACAAACGCAAGTCTCGAATCCGGCGAGTCTACCGGGTTAACGGCATCGTTGTCCCGCTGGAAAAAAGGCGTGTTCCCGTGTTTGCGACAGTTTGTCTGGTTACTTAACGCGCGAAAGTACCGGTGAATAACAGGCATTCCATTGAACGAGCACATCGAACGTGCCTGGTACTACTTGCACGGTTCTCCGTGTTCCTGAGATTTCAATTCTCTTGGCATTGATACTGGCACACGAGTAGAACAATTTCAGAGTTTTCAGCCTTTCGCGACCTAGTTTACCGTTTCGGACTTATGACACTGTACACTGGGACCCTGATGGAGCTAGTTACACTCTTGCTGAAGTATTTGCAACTATTTCTCTATACACTTGAAAATTTCTAGGAGTGCAAGTCCATCTTTGATATTTTTTGAAGAAGACAGAACACTTGTCAGTATTTCTGAGTTTTCTATATTCGTTAACAATACAGATACGTTTATGATACACTGATCGAGGACCTTGAAATATTAAGAGATCCATAAAAGATGTCGACCTTGCTTTTTTCTTAGGTTAATGGTTTAAACCGTCCATGATCTTTAATCCGCAGGAGTACGAGATCTTGAGAGAATTCCAAGCAAGCTATTAGATCGATGTTCTCGAGGAATGTCGATATTTCGCCTGGTATCAATGCCAAGAAGCGAATTATTCTGGCGAACTCGAGAACCAGTTCCCTGAGGCGCATCAGATTTGTCAAACACGTGTACCGACCGCGGTGGAACACGAAATAAATCGTAGCGGGACGAGCTTCGAGAAACTCGCTCGAGATAATTCGCCAGGCAAATATTGAACCGGTAATTCTTGCGAGCAGACAATTGGAGCAGGATGAAAAAAAGCGGAGGCAAGGCCAGATTCCCTTCTTTCCCCGTTGGTAGCGGCGATACTCACGTTCTCATGCTTCCATGCCCAACAGCGTGCTCCAGGAGAAACCTCGAGGCTGGTCCGATCGTAACATCTCTCCGCGAGTTGCTCGTTTCTTCCGTGTTCGCCGGGATTTACTCTCGTTCCGAGGAACCACACTGCGAAAAATCCTGCACAATACCGCGAACTCGCTTCCCCGTTCCGGTTACGGCCTCTCCGGGCATCGAAGTCACCAGGTGCCGACGATTTACCGCCGCGAGGACCTCGTGTCCGCGCGCGTGCGCTCGCGTGCACCGTGTCGAATACGAACACAGAAAGATTCCGGGAATAGATTCACCTGCCAGGTAGCCGAAGGCGTGTTACGAGGCTGAAAACTATGATCGACGCTGCGCGAAACGATCCGGTTTTACTGTTCGCGAGTGCACAACGCGAGTTCCGGTTATCGGCGAGCTCCGCGTCGACGCGTACCAACGTTTTCTGCCACCGTTTTCGTGTGTCCGCCACCTGAAATGAGGTCTCGCCACCAACCGAGGCGGCCACGCGACAGCTCGAACCTGAATATCGCCACCTGCTTCCTTCGACGTTCCAGGAAGATCTGAGGTGAGAGGGCCGGCCATTTTGAGGGACCGCGCTGGCTCTCAGGTGGCGCTATGGTTGGAGAACCGTGGCTGAACCGGTGTGTAGGTATCACTGTTTTACGTGAACTCACCTGGCGAACATTGGCGTAACGCGAGCCTTTGTCTCGGAACACTTGGCTACCCTAATTTTACCGATCTGCTCCCACACCCGCTGGGAACGCTTTTACGTTTCAGGACCCACATATTTCGGATCTTAGAATTTTCGAAACTTACGCACATAGAAAAGAATCGAGTGATTTAAGATTTAGAGATTTGGGACATGAATATCTGGAGGCTTAGAGATTTGGAAATCTGAGAAGTAAGGAATGTGGCAATCTAGGAGTTGCAGATTTGGGAACTAGGAATGTGCAACTTAGCATTAAAATATCTGGAGATGTAGAGACTTGGAGATCAGAAAATTAGAAATTTTAGAATCGATTTAATAATTGAAGGCCTATGGATTTGCATTTTAGTTTATCCTACTTATCTGACCTAACAAATACTACAAGAGTCCCATCAGTCCCAACAAGGACCACCTAATCATAGATCCCCCCTGGTCCCAGGATAGCTACGCCAATGGCGATGTTCTGTCTCCGTCACCTGTGCCGATGCTCGCACATGTTCGTTGAGAAACGTTTTGTTAGAAACGCATTTGCTTTCCTTTTTTCCTCGGGTGGTCCTTACTTATCTTCTTTTAATGAACGATTATTCGAGGCCCTAGTAACTTCTCAAGTCTCCTGGAACGCGGTCTCGATTCACTACTTTCATTCGGGCGTCTGATCGATACCCGATGGGAAAAAAGAAAGCTGGGAACGAGTCGTGGGTCTGCTTACCGAGATTGGTGGGCGCAAAGATTCCGGGAATAGATTCACCTGCCAGGTAGCCGAAGGCGTGTTACGAGGCTGAAAACTATGATCGACGCTGCGCGAAACGATCCGGTTTTACTGTTCGCGAGTGCACAACGCGAGTTCCGGTTATCGGCGAGCTCCGCGTCGACGCGTACCAACGTTTTCTGCCACCGTTTTCGTGTGTCCGCCACCTGAAATGAGGTCTCGCCACCAACCGAGGCGGCCACGCGACAGCTCGAACCTGAATATCGCCACCTGCTTCCTTCGACGTTCCAGGAAGATCTGAGGTGAGAGGGCCGGCCATTTTGAGGGACCGCGCTGGCTCTCAGGTGGCGCTATGGTTGGAGAACCGTGGCTGAACCGGTGTGTAGGTATCACTGTTTTACGTGAACTCACCTGGCGAACATTGGCGTAACGCGAGCCTTTGTCTCGGAACACTTGGCTACCCTAATTTTACCGATCTGCTCCCACACCCGCTGGGAACGCTTTTACGTTTCAGGACCCACATATTTCGGATCTTAGAATTTTCGAAACTTACGCACATAGAAAAGAATCGAGTGATTTAAGATTTAGAGATTTGGGACATGAATATCTGGAGGCTTAGAGATTTGGAAATCTGAGAAGTAAGGAATGTGGCAATCTAGGAGTTGCAGATTTGGGAACTAGGAATGTGCAACTTAGCATTAAAATATCTGGAGATGTAGAGACTTGGAGATCAGAAAATTAGAAATTTTAGAATCGATTTAATAATTGAAGGCCTATGGATTTGCATTTTAGTTTATCCTACTTATCTGACCTAACAAATACTACAAGAGTCCCATCAGTCCCAACAAGGACCACCTAATCATAGATCCCCCCTGGTCCCAGGATAGCTACGCCAATGGCGATGTTCTGTCTCCGTCACCTGTGCCGATGCTCGCACATGTTCGTTGAGAAACGTTTTGTTAGAAACGCATTTGCTTTCCTTTTTTCCTCGGGTGGTCCTTACTTATCTTCTTTTAATGAACGATTATTCGAGGCCCTAGTAACTTCTCAAGTCTCCTGGAACGCGGTCTCGATTCACTACTTTCATTCGGGCGTCTGATCGATACCCGATGGGAAAAAAGAAAGCTGGGAACGAGTCGTGGGTCTGCTTACCGAGATTGGTGGGCGCCGTTTTAGGATATGCTCGACGCGATCACTTTTAAATCTTCAAGAGCGTGAACCACGCTCTTGGTACGCGGACTTCTGTACCTTTTTCGATTCGTTACCACTTCCTTTGGTTAATTGTGGCCAGTGCACGCTCCTGATTTTCCGTTTGGCCATCCTTCTTTCTTCTTGCCTACTTCTTTTATACGCGACTTTCACTGACGCATTCGGAACACAATTCGGTGGAATGTTGTGACTCGATGTTAACTGTTTATCGAACGAAAGGTATTGAGGATCCAAAGGCAAATTACCGATCATGTCCACATTCGATTGTTTATTTAAAGTTTAAGTCTAAGAGTTGTACATATTTTATTGGCTATTTTAAACGTTATAATACGACTGCTCCTGAACGATCACATTACTATTTCACCAATATTGGGATCATTTACCTTACTGTTAGATTTAATGATGCCTGTATTTTGAAATTTTTTTGTTTGTTTGTCTGTGTGTATTTGTGCGAACGAACCTGAAGTGCGGCACAGTTGCCATTGTTTTCCAATCAAACGAACGATAATCAATTTTTTTTATTGTCTCCTCGTCAGTCGTCGCGAATAAAAAACGAGCGGTTCAATGATTTATTTTTTCTTTGTAAAGTTTAATACGTTTTTTTCCTTTAAATAAAATATTCTAAAAATTCTGTGGAAGTTATTCAACACTTACTTAATCTTACTTAAAATAAAATTTATATGACAACCCTTCTCTTTCTACTAAATATTTCAAATTTACCCTAACGAATCGTTGCGAATATTTTTAAAGAAATAATAAACATATACAGTGTAAGTTTCTAAAAATAAAGAAAGGCAACACTGCTCGTTAAGAAACCAGCGCTCAATTTCGAACGAAATGAAAATGGCTCGCCGCAATTTTTTAACGGCAATAAACGCGACCAAAACGCTAATTATTTTTCCCTGCACGAAACCGGTATAAAAATTTCGCTTAAACGAGTCTCTTAAAACCATCCGAAGGAACTATTAAGGCTTCATCAAACTGTTTATGGTTGTTTTCGACCAACGTGCCGAGATATCGGACTTCGATATCTTCGAATGAGATCATTTGCCTGAGAGAGTAGACGTAACGTAGGTGTACCGATGAATTTTTTCTTTTATTCGAATGAAAAGCAGGTAGATAAATTGCTTAAATGAATTGTTAAGATATTCCGCCTCTCTTTTTCTGTACCTACGTAGCAGGCTCCGTGTGCAACGCGTCCGGTTTACACCTTCATTTCTCCAATTATTGAAAACACTGCATAATTTTTTATAAAATTCAGAGAACACGAACTTAGTTGAACTAAGTTAGTTTGAACTAAGGATTCACTTAGGATTCACTTGAGGATTATCGAATTTTAGGATTTGATGATTTAGGAATTTGGAGATTTGGAATATTGGAGTATGAAAGTTAGGCAACCTTGGAAGATTGAACTACTTGAAATATGGAATTTCGGGATTCTTTCAAATTTCCACCTGCAAAGCTTCCGAATTATTTATAGAACTATTATGGAATAATTAAGTATTTATAGAATTACGAAGATCTCGAAAAGCGTGTAGAAAGAAAGAAGTCAAAGTTCTATCGTTGGCCGGCATTTGAAGCCCACGCGATCGCGAACGTTTCTACGCACGTGGGAAGTAAGTTGTAAGCGGTGATGCAACCTCGATATAATACAGATGCAAATATAAGAACAGGCACAGTTAGCATGTAATTACACTTGACTGTATTTAGTTTTACGACTTCCAGCTCAGTATGTTCCGCCTTTCGAGCATTCTTTGCGCTTTTTCTTTCCCGGTTTCTTCGCCGGCCAAGGAATTACAGTCAATGGAATGCTTATAATTTGTATCGTTATCGAACGTTTGTTTCTTCCTCGTAAACCGATCATTGTGCACACTTTATGGAGCAATATGTTTCATCCTTTTGATACATCGATTCTTCTCGTATTTACTTTTCTCCCGCAGAACTATAAATAACAATTAGTATCGAATGACTGCAGTCACTCTTAAAGTGCGTTTCGGAGAGTCTCTCTTAGAGGGAATTTTCTAAATAAAAATAACACCATTTCTACTTATAGTCTCCTAGAAATAAATGCTTCTGCACCTGTATATCCCAATTACCACGATCATTAAACATTTATTTCTTGTACAATATAAGTGATAGTACACACTGTAAATATTTTTACAATATATCTAAAATACGAACAATCTCTTCGACTAAAATCCAACAATGTCTTACAAACGATTGCACGAATTTTAAGAAAACATTTTCTCCTCCTACGTGAGCAAGATTACATACATGTCTTTACGACACACTTTCAGATATTAATCTAAAAGAATGCTTTTTACAATTATCTGCACAACCTCTTTATCTAGATGTGAACATATTCCAAAAGCGAAATAAAATTTCCTTCGTCCACGCGATCAAAGGTATCTCGATCGTAAGCTTCCATATAAAGCTCCTAAGGGAAACAAAAGGGTTCCGACGCAGGGCAATCGTGTCTCTACGGGCAATGGTTCCACGAATATCGCGAACGTCCCAATTTCCTCGAGGTTTCCCGTGGAATTCGAGCGAACGAAAAACAAGATCAAGATCCCCGTACAGCGCGGTTCAAAAGAGGCAAGGCACAGTATCCCGAGCAGTGGCAGCAAGCTGTGGCGCGTCGTCTCTGATATATTTACGCGAACGGGGAGACTTCGGTAAAATGGTGGCATCGGTCCAGCAGCCACGTTACGGAAATAGATTTCGGCTGGTGGCGATGCAACCAGCTCTCCTTCTAGACGAGGCAGCCAGTACCGTGACGACCAGTTCCCGAGGAAAATCGGAGAAATCGCCTCCGTGTGGTCCCACATGAATGTGAGTGCGATCTTCCTTTCACGAGAGTGTATTATACCTAACGTCGCATCGTAACGATACGTGCCACACTGCGTCCTTTGTTTTCTACGTGCTGTTCGATAACGTGGTGCATCGGCCTCTGGAACCGCTCGACCGCGTGGACAACATCTCCGACTTTCCTCCATTTCCTGCCTCCGTTCGCTCGTTAAACACGCGTTTCGTCTCATTACAATTCCATGAAGATAACGTTTTCGTTCTAGTCGTTCCTTTACGATAGACGCTTCTCGCCTCATCAAATTACTACTTTGCTTTTTTTACGTTTATCCGATTTACGGAATTTCTTCTTCGACGTCAACCATGTTGGACCACTCGTTTACCCAAGTGATTAACTCCGTAAAGTGCCACTTACTTTCTTTCGTGTTTTACTTGTATTCGAGTACTTTTGAGGACGAGGTTTAAAGAAGTCCAGAAAAAATCTTGGACTTCCCATAGTTTAATGACACTTATACAAATTCAACCCTTCTTTACTACAAAATCATACTCAACCATATTCCTCTATAAAAATTGCAATGTATGAAATTTCATATATTAAAATTTTTATAAAGTAGTGGTTACTCAATACGATCAAATTAACCAAGACAATCTATATATCACAACAAAATTTCAATTGCCATGAAATATACGATAGACTCGTTAGATATACAAAGTAATGACTACGGAACTTTAACTACACTCGTGGCCATCAATTATTCGACGGGCACTAGATCTGCCGTCACCGCCATAGATTCACAATTTTCATTCATTCTGTGAGGCGAAACTAGAAGATACACGATCTTTATGTCGTTCCGGTTGTATCGAAGAGTGGTGGTAATTCTCCAGGATTTCACACGAAGTTCGTGTTTTATCTTGTGCACAATGTACACTGGAAATGGGGACCACAGTCAGTTTGTTTATGAAGACACGCAACGATAAGTTCTGTATAACTATATGGTCATTTGTCACGGTGAAAGTTTTGCATGAAAGAAGAAAGGCATAGAAATTTACAGCTCGTATCAAAACTTGAGGGCATTCTTCAAAATCTAGTCAAGGTTATTTAATAATCGGGATACTCGTGAAGGTTCATAATAAGTGATTGTGTTTCGGAAGATAGGACAACTAATATTCATAGAAGTTCAAATTTTAGATTATGCCCCTAGATACTTCGCTCGTGTCTTGCGACACGTGACAGCAGAATGATTAATGGAAATTTAAAATTTGGAGATGAATTTTTAAACGAAGTCTGCTCGTTATCCAGAAGCGCGATAAAGTATCCGGGGAGGTATTATTACGTGGTTGAAAAAATGTTTATAGAAGATAGTCTGGTGGGCAGGAGCTAGATCTTGGAAGCCGTCCAACTTCTCTAGACTTTAGCAATTTTAGCGAAATAGCGTCTAACGGAGTACGTAGATGTTTTCCTCGAGGAACAATCCTCGTTTCCAAATGAACTCGTTAACCGACTAACGATATCATTGGAATCCGCTGCTGTTGAATTATTGAAAGGCACTGTTGCATTATTGAAATTTTCGCTATCCGCGGGAAGCCATCATAAAGGTCTGCAGCTATCGCGGTGCAATCTAAATTTATAATTCTTGGAAATTAGATGGTTTGTTGCCCGCATAGTAGATCGGACAGCAGCATAGAACAAAAGAGTGTGAACCGGCGGCAGGACAGAAGGGGCGAACGTTCTAAAGATACGTATGGCTCTAATTCGAGATTCTAATTCACGCTTGTGGAACTCGACTGGACTGGAATCGCGAAAATTAGTTTTACATCGCTGTTGAACGATGAACGATCGGTTTATCCTCGCGACGCCTTTAAATAAATGAAACTTTCCTCGATAGCTTGTTCAAATAAGTGTCATGCATTGTCGAAGAAATCTCGGTTGAATGAATGATTCGCTGATAAACTCGCGATATTTACGGATTCCCCTGTATTCGTGTCAACGTGAAATATACTCGTGTCGCGTGCCATTCGGCTCGATTTTATTTCTAGACGCGGAACAGGATTTTTTCCCCCAAAAATAGACGCGATTTTGGCCGCTTCCGGCCCCGGTGACGTCACACTTTCTCGAGGATCCACTCGAAAAATCTCGATTGTACGTCTGCGAAATCGCCTAAGTCCAAGGTGCGATGACATGAATTCACGCATTGCTTGGCAACCAAACACGAGTCATCGAATGCTGCCAGCTTGTCACCTCGATACGAAATTGCCTGTAAAAATGCGCGACCAAACAATCGACGCATTGTTGCGCCTGCAAAAATTGAATACGCGGAGAAAACTCCTGGACAAAATTAAAATTTGAAAACAACCCCCTGAGAACATTTGAAACACCAAAAGAAAATCTTCGTCTGAAGAAGATTCATATCCAAAGATATATTATACATCTGTCAATTTTTCTAACTGAAAGAGTGCAAGATTCGAAATCTGTTGCAGAACCCGGGAGCTGAAAAATGGCGCCCGATGGCCATCTCGAACCCATCGACCCGATTGCGCATGGCAAGGTCCATGCCTCACTGGGTACTGGTGCGTATGAATCACGCTACAACTTCTAAGTAACTGCATAAACAGAATTTGTCATAATCTGCAAACGTGAAAAACAATCATGTAATTGACGGTTGTTGAAGGTGACAGTTTGTAGACATATATAATAGTACTAACAATTGAGAATATTTAACGATACCTAAGTATTAACACTTTAACGACCGCACGTATACGCAGTCAAACGTCGCTAGGGGCTGGCAGTATTTTTGAAGAATTAATTTAAAAGAACTTTATTAAATTCACGAAAAAGTTAACATAAAACAAAAAACGACAACAATTTAACAACAAATTTAATATTATAAATTATCACACAGAAAGTGTGGCACTGGACAACAACCTTCGGCGGTAGCATCACACACATGATGTGTGAGCGGTCGTTAAGGTGTTAATAGTATGACAATCTAAGTCTTACTGGACACGATAATTACTGGTAGCATTGGAGCATTGAATATTTTCCGATGTCACGCAAAAATAAAGCAGACAAGAGTTATGTAGATTTGAGAATTATAGAAATAGTTGGTCATCAATGTGTATTCCATTCTTCCTTACTCATGCTCCCTTAATCATGTACGCTTTTGTCTGAAAGGCGCAGCAGCAGAAGGAAGCGGAACAGCAGCAACGACGACCACCGACCCCACCGAAGATCCCGCCACCGTCGCTCTCCGGGGACTGTGGTGACCCGGACTACGAAATCATCGAATTTCCGACCCGACCGCAACCTCTAAAATCCTCGACAGCCATCAGCAAGTGTGCCCTATGCGGCACGGAGAACGTGTTCGCCCGTTGCGACACCTGCAACGGCAACTATTGCGAGGCCTGCGACGACATGAACCACAAGCACCCCAAGAGAAAGGGCCACGTACGAAGAAGAATCCTGACGGATTTCGCGATGAAGACGCGACCACCTTTGCCACCGAAAGGAGAGAACCTGTCGAGTCCACCGCCGATCCCTCCGCCCAGACGAAACCGCAAGAACGCTCAGGTAGGATGCAACCTGGCCTGAGGCTTTCATCCCTTTTCGTGAATTTTCTTTCAGGCTGACCTCGCCGCGTCGACCTTAGGTACCGTGCGATTCTTCGGGGCGATATCGAGCCGAATCAGGGGCTCGCTACGAAATTCGATCGAGATCTCCGGAAACCACGTTGCGAGGCTCGCGAATCCTATTTTGCCTAGAACAGCTGTGGCCAGCGAGTAGGTGTCATTTCCTTTCTTTAGAGATCACGAGGTTGATCTAGATAAATTAGGTTCGATTTGTAGTAAATTAAGTTTGTCAGAGGAAAGTACTTTTGATATGTACCGACTTAGCGATAGAAATCTACGGATAAATTTACCACTCCGATACTGGAGTAAGCTGTGTATTTACTTAATACGATCTAATCCCGTGGCATTTTCATCTCCGGACCTAGTTAATTACAGGCCACCTAACCCAAATTATGCCAATTGCTGTTCTACGGTATTCGCCTGATCCTTTTATCCAGATAATCGCTCTATGTTATTATGATTTTCTTCCTCCGGAGGACGTTTTGTAAATAACAAGCAGTCGCAACTTTGTCTCCGGTGATCCGATATGTCACGTATCTGGAGATGTTATTTGTTAATCGTTGTTAGTTGTGTATTTAGCGTAGTTTCGAACGGCGCCTGATTCGTTTCTAGCGGAAAAGGGAACACGTCACACCGAGGCAACGATGATTGTTATTAAACGCACACGTCTACTCGCGTAAATTATATAGTCGTTTAAGTTGTTTTTCGCTGACAGATTTTATTGTATATTGTCGTTGTTTCTTTTTAATACACCACGTTACCGCAAAACACTACTGCCGTATTCACTGAACCCGTTCACTCTTTCACACTGTCGCAACGACCTCGGGAAACGAAGTATCAGACTGTTCGGAGGTTCCTGCCGTTTTTTGTAATGTAGTTTGCTCTGGAATTATTAACACGACGGTGAATATGGCAGGATAAATGATTACGGTGAACACGGTGAACCGATCATCCCGTATCATTTATTTTCATTGAACTTTTTTCTGTTCGTTTAACATGCACACAGTGTACATCAGTTTCAGCTTACAGCACACCGCAGCTACATTAACCAACAGCTAGAAATCCGCCATGTTTATTTATACTTTGTATTGTTTAAGTTGCTCTTGATTAATCCTCAGGAACACCGTCGTTTCATTTTATTTCATTTTAGCCGAATCAGGGGCTCGCTACGAAATTCGATCGAGATCTCCGGAAACCACGTTGCGAGGCTCGCGAATCCTATTTTGCCTAGAACAGCTGTGGCCAGCGAGTAGGTGTCATTTCCTTTCTTTAGAGATCACGAGGTTGATCTAGATAAATTAGGTTCGATTTGTAGTAAATTAAGTTTGTCAGAGGAAAGTACTTTTGATATGTACCGACTTAGCGATAGAAATCTACGGATAAATTTACCACTCCGATACTGGAGTAAGCTGTGTATTTACTTAATACGATCTAATCCCGTGGCATTTTCATCTCCGGACCTAGTTAATTACAGGCCACCTAACCCAAATTATGCCAATTGCTGTTCTACGGTATTCGCCTGATCCTTTTATCCAGATAATCGCTCTATGTTATTATGATTTTCTTCCTCCGGAGGACGTTTTGTAAATAACAAGCAGTCGCAACTTTGTCTCCGGTGATCCGATATGTCACGTATCTGGAGATGTTATTTGTTAATCGTTGTTAGTTGTGTATTTAGCGTAGTTTCGAACGGCGCCTGATTCGTTTCTAGCGGAAAAGGGAACACGTCACACCGAGGCAACGATGATTGTTATTAAACGCACACGTCTACTCGCGTAAATTATATAGTCGTTTAAGTTGTTTTTCGCTGACAGATTTTATTGTATATTGTCGTTGTTTCTTTTTAATACACCACGTTACCGCAAAACACTACTGCCGTATTCACTGAACCCGTTCACTCTTTCACACTGTCGCAACGACCTCGGGAAACGAAGTATCAGACTGTTCGGAGGTTCCTGCCGTTTTTTGTAATGTAGTTTGCTCTGGAATTATTAACACGACGGTGAATATGGCAGGATAAATGATTACGGTGAACACGGTGAACCGATCATCCCGTATCATTTATTTTCATTGAACTTTTTTCTGTTCGTTTAACATGCACACAGTGTACATCAGTTTCAGCTTACAGCACACCGCAGCTACATTAACCAACAGCTAGAAATCCGCCATGTTTATTTATACTTTGTATTGTTTAAGTTGCTCTTGATTAATCCTCAGGAACACCGTCGTTTCATTTTATTTCATTTTATTTTGTCCACTAACGCTTTGTTTATCATCGATTTAGCCTCGCCCGTCGACGCAATTTAATTTTAGCGCCGCTGCCTTCAGCCGTGAAGACGCGCCAACCCTTTTAGTTTCGAATACCTTCCTCTCGCCGTCGTGCTAAGAAAGAGAACAGAAAAAGAAAACCTTTTCAAAGACGATAAAGACCACACGTCCGATAATGGTTACAACCCCGAACGTGTAATAAAGTTCAGGTTTCGCGCTTAGGCTAAATCGACGCAAAACCAGGGATCCACGAATCTCTCCTTGATCGAGAGAGTCGGCAGTTTGAAGCGAAATCTACCGAATACCGCCAGGCCGCTCTCTGCCACCCTAGACTCGAAAATGGTCTCGAAATCCATGCACTCCGTCAACTCACCCCCTACTGACGGATCCGCGTCCGGAACAGGCACTGACAAGATGTCCACCCTTCAGGTAAATTTATTTTCACAACTCTTCGACTGATTTTATAACCTTACAAATCATTAATAGTTCCTAATAAATGTTATTAGGAAATTATGTCCGCAGTTCAAAATTTAAACTTCGAGTAGTTCAAAGTTAGTGAAATTCGAAAATAGTCTGAATGTAAAAAAGATGGAGAACTGCGTTAGAATTACGGTCATGCATCCTCTGTTTCATAGTTCGTAGATATTAATAGAGATTTTGTAATATGGTTATACTGGACACGGAAGCATAAAATATTTAAGAGAGAAATATCGGTGCGAATGTTCAGGAGAGATACAGAAAATACCAAGAAGCAATGAGGGCACAGGATGCGAATAGAAGAAGACACGCTTCCTCTGACGTTTCGAGAGACACATTAAACACAAGGCCAGTGAGCTTAGGCAGCCCGAAACTGGCGCCTCCGGTTCCACCTCCGCCCCCGCCTAGATCTATGATGCAGTCCACCAGCGTTTGCGATTTATCGTCGCCTCATATGTGGAATCCTGGAATGCATCAGGTAATTTGTGCTTATATCTCGAGGACTTGGACCAGAAGCTTCCTAAAGCCTTTACGATGATTAAACACTGCATGATCTTCATATTCAGGTCATCGTATTCAGCTTATAATTTAGTAGGTCAGCTTCAAGTTACCTAGTATACAGTACGTTACAATTAGTTTTTCTTGCTTAATACAATTTCTGAATCGTGATGAAAAGTGGTGAATTTTCATATCTCCCACACTATACAGTGGATGGATTAAAGATTATACAATTAATTGGATCATCTTTCAGACCCAATCGATGGCACATCTCGGCCCAGGAGGAGTGCCCATGATGTGGTACCCACCAAATGCCCCATGGGATATGTCCATGGGTGGTTCCACGATGAGTCTGAACCAAGCAATGCCATGGGGCTACCCCATGGGATATCCCCCGTCGCAAATGCTTCCACCATACTATCCAACCTCCCTATCGAGACCTCACAGCCCCGCCAGAAGCGTAAAATCCACCAGAAGATCGAGAGCAGTTTCACCGTCGCCCAGTATAAAATCCAGAAAATCGCTGGCCTCCAGATCGCGATCCAGAAGATCCCAGGGATCACCCTCCGACGCTAGCTCGGAGGATTCGGGAGAATCGGATTTCGATGACAGACTTTCGCGGAGCTCCAGAAGTAGACGCGGAAGCGTGTCCAGGAGTGTCAGACAGAGAAGCTACCATGAAGACGAAGGCGGTAGAGGCTTGTTACCTAGAAATCGTCGCGAGTAAGTTTGACTGCGATTTTGAAGAAGCGTTTGGTTTCTATATTCATCTGACTGAGATTTATAGAATTAAAGTTCCTCAGATTCCCAAATAGTTAGAATTTTAATTCTTAATTATCAGTGGGTAGTCTCAGCCCCTTTGACTATCATATATTCTTTAGGGACGATTTGCTCTTGACCTTACCTAAATACTTACTAACGACAGAAAGATACCTAACATGTATCTACAAAAAGACACTCGTTCATGCTTGTCCCACAAAATGAGGTCTAATAATTGATACGATAGAAAAATGCAGAACATCTGCATGAAACGTGCACGTCAAAAGATGAAATAAATTGTCCGCAAACGAATGAGAATTACGCGAAATAACGTGCTAACGTGTTTGCAGACGACTAATGTCGGAAGAGAGGATGACGAGCACGGAGGATCAGTGGTCCGAGAGTCACCCGACTAAACGGTACCCGCCATCGTCGCGAGGTTACGACGACTTCCAGAAGAGCACGCTGAATTCTCGACGACGATACGACCAGGACGAACGCAGGCTCTCGAAACCTGATTTGCGATTGGATCGCGTTCAAAACGGCAATTATCGTCGAAGACGAAGCACCGACGAAGAGTCGTCGGACCGTCGAGGCACGTTACCGGCTCGATCCAGAGTGACTAGTTCCTCGGACGACCACTTCGACAAGGCAGAAGTATCTGCTCGAAGAAAAGAAGACGACATCCCCGCGAAAAGAGCTTCGTCCGTGCGCAGAGACGCGCGTTTGGACGACTTTGAGAGATCGTCTCGTCGGGATTCTCGAAGATCCTCCATCGACAGCGACGCTCAGATCAGGAAGACTCCTGCGAGAGAGGTGTCGGCCAGGAGAAACCAAGAAACGGAAACTAACGAGGTCGTGACTCGTCCTGCGTCCAGAAATCAACCGAGTCGAGATCCCTCCCGCGATCGAGAACCCCCGAAGAGAGAGCCCTCCTTGAGGAGAGACACCCCCGTCGACGAAGTAGAAAGATCTCCCGCTAGACGAAGCTCGGGTAGATCGTCCTTCGATTCCGATAATCAGAGCAGCAGAAAAACACCCTCTCGCGAGTCTGTTCCTAGAAAAGCCCGCGAAGACGATCGACCAGTGTCGAGACCCGCCAGCAGAGCTCAGGAAGAGACCAGAGGAGAGGAAGAAAGTTCAGCGAAGAAGGTCAACGAGATCAAACAACAGGAGAAAACCGTCCCTTCGCGGAGGGAAGAAAAACGCGAAGAGGATCGTTCGAGGACCAAGAATACCAGCGAGAGGACCACGATGGAGATCCCAGAAGAAGAATGGGCTTGCGAGCATTGTACTTTCATAAACAACGTGAAGGACCGTGTTTGCGTGGTTTGCTGCAAGACCAAGAGCAGTGCGCTGCCTCCGAGCAATCCAGAAAACTCGGAAGATGTCCCGAGCGTTTTGAGCGAAGTTCCCAAAAGCGAATCGGCGGCCAGCAATCCTAGCAACCCTAGTCCAGATCTGGAGAAACGAACGAGCTTGCTAAAAATTTCGAACAGCGAAGAAAGCGGGGACAGTGGATCCGCAAAGAACAAAGGTAGAGCAAGACGCAAAATCAGCTTTTCCTTTGGTACCAAATCGAATCAGTGATCGCAATTATTGTACCTGTTGTCTTGAATGTTTCTCCTCCTCCTAGTCCACCTCTGGTCTCTCTTTTTTTTATAAAGAATGCCCTTTGTCGATGTATAGACTAGTTCCTCGGACGACCACTTCGACAAGGCAGAAGTATCTGCTCGAAGAAAAGAAGACGACATCCCCGCGAAAAGAGCTTCGTCCGTGCGCAGAGACGCGCGTTTGGACGACTTTGAGAGATCGTCTCGTCGGGATTCTCGAAGATCCTCCATCGACAGCGACGCTCAGATCAGGAAGACTCCTGCGAGAGAGGTGTCGGCCAGGAGAAACCAAGAAACGGAAACTAACGAGGTCGTGACTCGTCCTGCGTCCAGAAATCAACCGAGTCGAGATCCCTCCCGCGATCGAGAACCCCCGAAGAGAGAGCCCTCCTTGAGGAGAGACACCCCCGTCGACGAAGTAGAAAGATCTCCCGCTAGACGAAGCTCGGGTAGATCGTCCTTCGATTCCGATAATCAGAGCAGCAGAAAAACACCCTCTCGCGAGTCTGTTCCTAGAAAAGCCCGCGAAGACGATCGACCAGTGTCGAGACCCGCCAGCAGAGCTCAGGAAGAGACCAGAGGAGAGGAAGAAAGTTCAGCGAAGAAGGTCAACGAGATCAAACAACAGGAGAAAACCGTCCCTTCGCGGAGGGAAGAAAAACGCGAAGAGGATCGTTCGAGGACCAAGAATACCAGCGAGAGGACCACGATGGAGATCCCAGAAGAAGAATGGGCTTGCGAGCATTGTACTTTCATAAACAACGTGAAGGACCGTGTTTGCGTGGTTTGCTGCAAGACCAAGAGCAGTGCGCTGCCTCCGAGCAATCCAGAAAACTCGGAAGATGTCCCGAGCGTTTTGAGCGAAGTTCCCAAAAGCGAATCGGCGGCCAGCAATCCTAGCAACCCTAGTCCAGATCTGGAGAAACGAACGAGCTTGCTAAAAATTTCGAACAGCGAAGAAAGCGGGGACAGTGGATCCGCAAAGAACAAAGGTAGAGCAAGACGCAAAATCAGCTTTTCCTTTGGTACCAAATCGAATCAGTGATCGCAATTATTGTACCTGTTGTCTTGAATGTTTCTCCTCCTCCTAGTCCACCTCTGGTCTCTCTTTTTTTTATAAAGAATGCCCTTTGTCGATGTATACCCTTGGATGAATAATAAAGAGACATGCAAACTGTTTCGTACACGCTCAGTGGAAACCAAATGCATAGTCGTATTTGAAATGAAGCCACTCTTTCTATTTTTTTATTCTCATCCCGTGTTCAATCATGTCTGGCGTACTTATTATTCATTCAAGAGGAGCTAGTTTCAAGCACGAGCGTGCATTTGGCTGCTGTTCTTTTATGTCCAAAATTCGTTGTCGAATGTTTCCCTCGTGCTAGTTCGTTTTAGAACCTTGAGGTTGCTACTCTCGTTTGCTGGGGTGCGTGCGGAGGGTGCTTCGATAATTTATTTAACATTTTCAATCTACTGATAAATGTAACCGGATTAAAAATTGCTAACGAATCGAATCATCCATCTGCAAATTTATTTTATAGAAGATAGAAAGTTGTGATGATAAATAGAATGAATTACCTGCAACCCTCAGTTCGCAGCATACGTAATAATAATTTTTTCCCTACAATTTTAACGAACCATTCTGATCATTTGCAAGAAGTGCATGAATCGATCAAGACATTGTCCTTGAACCCAACCCGAATGTTTCGAAAAATGGAAGCGTGAAACGAGAGAAATATTCAGCATCCATTTGATTACATTTACAGATACGCAAGAAAATTCGCTCGGTGAATCTCCGATAACGCAAAATGCTACAGTAACGACAAAAAGTGTGTCAGCGTCTACTGACAACACCGACGCATCGAATAACACAAAAGTAAGCGTCGAAGATCCAACAAAACGACCGATGCTCGGAAAAATTGCAAAGAGCCATTCGGTTTCCACCGGAACCTCCCCACCGCCGCAGAGCATTTCCACTCAAGTAAGACGAGAGTATTTTATTTTGCGAAAAAAAATCTGTCATTTCGGGTAAAGGAGAGAAGGAACGGGAATGTTATTGGACATGGAATATGCTTTTACAGACGTACGACTACCTCCCAGTCAGAGGAAGCGCAGGTTTCGTAAGAGCTGCATCCACCTCGAAGGGATTATTGTATTATGAGGACAGCGACGCAGAGGTATAACGAAAAATCAATACGTAGATTCGTGAACTACATTTCATTTAAAGCTGAAGTTTTCGAATTTGATGAGTCAAAAATTAGACGTCAGTTACTCGATAATAATCGTGTGTGTAAATATAAGGCTACTGTAATATTGCCAATTTAGAAATTTGAAATTCCGCACCTCTTGATTTCAAATTTCTAAGTTCTTCGAAATTTAAAGTATTTTAAAATAGTCCACTAAAAGGAACGATCCGGAGCGTCTGTTCCAGGAGCAAAGCAGGTTCGTAAACAGCCCAGAACTGTACCCGCACACGATCCAAGAGCAATATCTTCAGCAACTGATCGGCGGGCCGAGCAGGGACCGTACGCGACGAAACTCCATCGACTCCACCCACCTTTATTACCGTTCCAGGGTAAACTTGACAGCTATCCCTCGAGAATCGTTGATTTTTATCCCAGTTCCTTAGCATAATTTTTAACACTATCGTAATGACAAGTTTCGTAGCCTCGGTGTGAAAGTAGGAAGGATACGTTTACACCTAGTGCGACTCTGCGACCTACGGTTCCAACGAACATCCCCAAAACATTGATCTCTACTAAATTGCAACAGTGTGTTAAAATTAATCGTGCCGATTTGTACGTTAGTCTTAATAGAGTAGCCTTAATATAGCATTAAGCCTGTAACATTTCTATTATCAGAAGGTACATCTTACGACGATCGAATCCTTCTTGTTCGTCGACCCTGCATCACATTTTACATTGTACGTAACTTACGATGCAGCTACTCGCGTCAATTATCAACGGACCAATTACTGTTTCAGGAATCCAGCCAGCCAAGATTCCTAGATGCTGGTCCCAGTTCCCAAGGCGTTTCAACTTTGACTCGTCAGGGTCTGGAGATCGTGGAGCTGCTACGAGACGCTGAAAGACTCGGTTACTCCACGGACGACGTGCAAGTGGCCTTGTCACAGGGCTCTAGCAACCCTATCGACTGGCTGAAGACGCAGTGGCCTCATCTGGTGGAAACTGTACAAGTTCTGGTAACCACTCAAGGAAAGGAGCTGAAGGAGAACAATATCGGAGTGCTTTCAGCGACCGAGGCCAAAGAAGCATTGAGATTGACGAAGGGAGATGTTTGGAACGCTGTCGCCATGGCGATTCAGCGGAGACAGCTAAAGGTAATTTTAGGAACAATGTTAGAACTTGTGGGACTAAACATTTATATTATTCGAGGCTAGATCAGTGACAAAGACAAGTGCAATTAAATATAATTGCTCGTGCAGCGTTAGAAAATTTGAAAATGTATAAACAGTGATAGGAACCTAATGTGATATGTTGATGAGAAAACGAATAACTTTGGACAGTACGAGGAAATCATGAAAAAGGGCAACTTCACGACGGCGGAGGTGGTGAAGGCGTTGGAGAATAATGCCGGCGCCGAGGACGCGGCTTTGTTCGAGCTGCAAAAGAATCAGTTGAAACCGTTCTTGATGAGGATTTGGGGTCCTCCGGTCGGGGTGGAAAACGACGAGGCTGCACCGCGGGAAGGTCAGCGAATATTGTGCGTTCGTCTGGTTTGATCGTACAAAAGTAATCAGCGAATCATCTAATGAGACATCTCATGCAAAATACGTGTGTTATGAAATTTCACATCGGCTTGTTTTCCTTTTCCTCGATATGTCCTGAGGTTTTCATTAAGTTTCATTTCGAATCATCTTTCGCACGTACACGATTACTTTTGGATGATCTTACATTAAATAAATCCTCGCTCTTATATGTTGGATTGTCTCAGGAGTCTTATAGAACTCTTCAAGTGTTTATTTCTATGAAAAGTATCGCTTGGTGCGAATGAGGGAAAAGCACCCCGGAGGCAATTCAACGGTTTAACAACGATTTTTTATTCACCGTCATCGAGTTTGATCGTTGTAGATGCGGCAGGTGCGGTCGGTGGAGAGGGTGTTTCCGAACAGGTTACCAACGTGTCGGACTCGGAAGCCAGGAAGCAGGTAATATCACCAATCGTTGAAAATTTCGTCGCGTTGCAGGCCGACTTTCAAAAGCAACTGGCAGCCCTCAGACAAATGACCGATAACTGGCAACTTGACAAAGACCCCCTTAACACGCTCGGTAATAAGCCTGATAATCTGTATCGAAATAACGCTGACGATCGAACCGTTCTAATCGATAAAAATCTGGTCCCAAGGGCCGTACAAGACCTCGAAGTAGCCAACACTGCTCGCGTTAAGACATTGGAGAACGAAAGGATGTTCGTCGAAAACGATATCAAAGCGCCGATAGTTAACGATGATACCGTAGTTGAGAACACCATCAAAGACTGTATTCGAAATAATAATTCTATGACAAATTTGATCGAGAAAGAGAAACTGAGGCTGTCGGAAAATTTGTTGAAACAGGATTCGAATATCGTGAAAGAGATTTCTGACAAGGATAATCGATCAACGAAAGATGAGGCTAAACAGACTGATGTACCCACTGTAACTAAGGATACTACAATTGACAATTCCATAAAAAGTTCGGGAAAAGAAGAAAGTGCAGAACCCTCAGAAAATTTGAAAACAATCTCAACTTCCAAAGATGACAAAGTAGAAAAAACAAATACGTCTAAAGGGAGTAGTCAAAATGCTTCTACGAACACTATCGAAAAGACCTCGGGTGCGACAGAAGAGTTATTGCAAGAAAATCTGAGGAGCAAAACAGCGGAGGTATTATCGATTCTCAAGAAAGACTCGAAGCAAACAAGGAACATCGATCGCGGTGAAAATTCAGGAGAAAAAACCGTCTCCAATGTCGAAAAAGATAAGTCGAAGACAGTCGATGCTGTATCGAAATCAGATCTAGATGAAACGGTAGAAAGCGTGAACGTAGAAGTGTATCAAGGAAAAGACAAAGAATCGCGCGTTACGTCCCAAAAGAGTTCTGATCCTTCGGAAAGCAGCGCGCTAGCGGATAAAGCTGCATCTTCACGCTCGAACAAAGACGAAACGTCCCAAAAGGTTTCAGATCCTCGACAAAGGACAGTGGACGAAGATAAAGATCCTTCATCGAGTATTCTTTCGCGATCCGACGCGCATGTGGCAGAAAATTCGTTACGATCCGAGGGGGCTAATTTAACAAACCAGAAGATGGAACAAGAGTCTCCGAAGGTCCCGATAAAACCAATTAGCGCTTCTGGTTCGTCCGATGTGACGAAGTTGGAGCAGAGTGGAAAGATTATGCAGGGACAGACAGTTTTGACGAAGGAAATTAATGCAAATGAATCGAAGGACGAGAAATTGAAGGAGAACAAGGACCAAGTTTCCGTGGAACCAGTTACTTCAGAAACATCAGCTGTTGAGAAGATTGGCGGATCAGAGACCGAACCGAGTAAAATAAATTCGAAAGAGATACCAGGTTCAGGGGCAACCAATGAAGCATCGATGGTTGAAAACGATGCTGTAACGCGATCGAATACCAAAAATGAGAACAGCAACGAAACGCAAGTGGCCTCCGTGGAAGCTCTGATATCGGCAGTGAAATCGTTGCCGGAACAATTGCTGGGTCCCTTCATATCGGCAATGCAGATGCTGTCTCCGAGAAGATCGAACCCCGAAGTTGAAATTTCCGACGAAACGGCGGGAGGCAACATAGAGGGGAAAGCAGATAACAACTCGGAAGCCCGGAGAAAAGTTGCGACGGAAGAGAAGAAAGGAGACGCTGAAATGGTGGAATCCGCAACGAGCGCAGAAGACGTCGAGAAACTGCGAGAGCTCGGAACGGTAGGTAGAGAGAAAGACAATGGCGTTTCTGGTAGCGTAGAAAAGGGAACAATAGCGGAGGCAAAATTTGACGACAGCCGGATCCCAAATGACGCGAAAGTAACGCAATCGCGGAGCGACGAAATAAAGGAAGCCGAAGCGTCGAAAGTAAGTTTGCCGCGTTCCCCGGAAATTGTCGGCCAGGATGTTAACGAAGAAAGAGCGTCGAACGTTCGGCAAACTGGTACAAAAGTATCGTTGACGAAGAACGATTCATCCGACGATCATTCGAGAGGTTCCGAGATTCGTGCGCAGAACGATCGATCATTCTCGTCAAAGGAAGCGGGCAGCTCTTCCGTGAACGACATCAAAGATTCGCGCGCTAACAATGCATCTTTCACGACCGATAACGCGATGAGACACAACGAGACCATTGCTGCACAATCATTATCGAACGAAACGTCATCCTGCGTCGGTGAATCATCATCATCTAACATGCGAACGCGTTGCGTCGCGGCGACCGACGCCGAGCGTGTGAAATTAATCGATGCCAGCTTGGTTGCTGATAACGACCGCTACGTACTTGTTTCACAGCACAAATTGCTTGACAGTAATACCACTAATTTGTCCGCAACGGTTACCGAGCCTTGTAATACGAACGACAATTCCCCGCTTCCCGTTTCTGTCGATGAAAAAGTGTCTAACGTCGAAAAGAATCTTCGAGATTCTCAACAGGGTTCTCGCGAACTTTCGATCGATTCTAAAGTCATAGAATGCGATTTTGAATCTGACGATACTTTAAGAGATTCTAAAAGGGTCGAAGAGACTTCGAACAATGGAGAAGCAGTTATGAACGAAGGTTTGAGAGATCTTGAAAAGCTTCACAACGTTTCTGTAGACTTTGAAATTTCGGAGGACAAAGCAGTTGCTCAAGAAACTTCTAATGATTCTGGAATCGTTGACCTCGAGGTAAAAGATTCCAAAATCCCTGTTTCCAAAAAACCTGAGAACGTCTCTCGCGAAATTTTCGACAATTCTGGAGTTGCCGAAGAAACTTCAGATTCTGAAAACCTTGTTCCCGGAATGAACAAAGATTTCAGAATCCATGAAGTTCCCAAAACCCTCGAGGACGATTCTCACGAAATTTCGGACGAATCTGAAGTCTTTGAAGATTGCAGTACTCTCGTGGAAGATTCTAAAGCGACCGATTTAACGACCGTTTCCTCCGAAGTTTCGAAGAATCCTGAAAATATTCCGTTAGAGAGTAAAATCCTCGAAGTGACAGTAGATTCCAAAAACAATGACGAACTTTCTGCAGATCCAAGAATAACTGAAACCTCAAAGGATTCTAAAAGTGTCCCACGCGAAGTTCCCAAAAAACCCAGCAAAAATGACGTGTTCCAAGAGTCGAAAATATCCGAAGTTCCCAGCAGACCCAAACTAATTGTCCAAGAAATGAAAACTCCGTTGCACGTATCCGAAAAAGTAGAGCAGCCCATCTCCGTCGCATGCCACATTCCCAACGATAAAATCGATACTCGTCCAATAAGTTGTGGAAGTAAGTCCCTCGATTCTGAAACGAACCTTCGGCAAATTAATGTTCAGTCGAAAGCAGAAGTAAATGATCAATCAACATCAACATCCGCGGAGAAAATCGACAAGCTGACAAAAAACGGAACCAATAACGATGTCTCGACGATCGCGAAGCAGAATTCGAGGGAAATAATTGAAACGAACGATTCAAAGGTAGAAAAATTCCTTGGGAACGATCAGAAGATTCTATCCGCAATTCCATCCTCGATATCGAACGACCTCGACGTAAACGAGGCTTCGAAAGCCCTCGCGAATACTGGATCGACAATTTTAACTATTTCGAGTGGCTCTCGTATTACCGATCCCTCGTCAAACTCGCATACTTTGGCCACCGAATTTCCCTTTAACAAGCCGAATTCTGCGAGCACTGACAAAATTCTAGAAACTCTCGATAACGTTACCGATGTGCTTAACGAATCGAAAACCGACATTAATTCCGACACTATTAATAGCGTTCAGAATAATTATGATAAGACACGCGATAACGTTGAACCTTCCTGTAACGGTATTGCAAAAGATTCTAGTAACAATACGTCCCATGTGTTACCCCTTTCTGGCGAAAATGGAGAAGTGACTGAACTAGCTCGTTCTGATAATTTCAATTTAAATGTAGTAGAAAATCCTCCTGAATCGGTTTCAGTTGTGCAAGAAATTAAGTGTCCTCTCGTAAAAACTGTTAGTGCGACTCTCCCTGTAATACCTGCGATTACAGAACTCGCAGTAGAAGAAACTGTTATTCCTATCGCGAATTCAATTGATGTCCAAGAAATTAAACCTGTCATGAAAAATGTTAATGAATTACCAGTACCTGAAATTACAGAGATTGAAGTAACAAAACCTGATACCCCTATAGTGAATTCGATTAATACCCAAGAAACCCAACATTCTATCGTGGAAAATATTAATGGATTCTGTCCAGAGGTACCTGAAGTAGAGAATAAAGTAACTGATACCCTATCTGTGAATTCGGTTAATACCCAAGAAATTAAACATCCTGTGGAAACTGTCGACGAAACACCTTCGATACCTGTAGAACTCAAAACGAAAGAATCTGTTAGTTCTATGGAGAACGTGAGTCTGACCGATTTTCGAGAAGTTAAATACTCCATCATGGAAAATGTTAGCGAAGTATCTCCGGGAGTGGCCGAGATCATAGAGATCAAAATAACGGAGTCTCCGATGATAGCAGTGAACGACTGCGCTCCAATTAACCTGCTAGAGTGTGCGGAAAATAAAACCGATGAGGAATCGATGAAATCGCGACTAGAGAGTGTAATGGCGGAAGCTATTACGATTTCGAGAGAAAGCGCGGTTAACGTCCAAAATAATAACGAAGCTGATGCAAATGAAATTGGCAAGAAGGTACCGCCGAAGGAGAGATCCAAATCGCCGGCGAAGAAGGTCGGCAGAAGGAGGTCTCCCGTGAAAGTGGTCAAAAAACCGACCGGTATACCTCGACGAAATTTCGGAAAGATTAGCCCGAAAGGTAGAATGGTCGCCAAAGTAAAAGAGGTTACGGAGCCGACTCGCAGATCGACCGTATCCAGGAGAAGTCCGAGGGAGAACCTGGCAAAGAGTTCGAAAGTCCAGGTCGGAAACGTCTCTTCGAATATCACGGCGAGCAAAACGAAACCATCGTCCACTAATCAAAAGCAAATTTCAAAGGCCTGCAACTCGAGGCCCCCTGAAAAGAGATCGACTATCCTGAGAACGCTGTCGAAGGGCTGCGAGCAAATTAGAAAATCGATCATGCAGTCTGCCGACAAAAAGACAGAGCAGGTTTCGAGGACGAAAGAAAAACCGAAATCGTTCCTGTCGAGAATCCCCGTGTTCACCGCGAGGTTTCAGCAACAGTCTCGTAAAAGTTCGCAGCCAATTTCTAAGAGAGCTAACGATTTGAACGACGCAAAGAAAATGAACGGTCAGCAAGCTGCCAGAAAAATTGGTACGCAGAGTGTTCCGAAGATTGGAACCGGACGAGAAGCTCCGAAGAAAGTAGACGGTTCCAGGCACGGGAATGTAGACGTAAAAAATGCAACTGTCCAGATTTCCGCGGGTAAGAAAACCGGAAACGAGAAGAAACCTCAGGCGAAGAATGCTGAACCAAATGTAATCGTAGCTGGCAAAGATTCAGCGATATCCAGTGACTTGGACTCGGAGAGCGACTCTAGCAAAGAATACTCGTCGGGAGAGGACTCCGATGTGGACAGCGTATCGGATTTTGAAAGCATCGTGGAGTCCGATATATCCAGCACGGATAAACAATTTTCCGACGACGCTTTGGGCAGCATGGAGGAATTAACCGACGCCGAGATCCTCCTGCAGGAAACCATCAACGCGATAAAGGCGAAGATATCGGACTCCGAGTTCGAGGGATCCGAGAGCGAGTCTCTCAGCGATATGGAAAGCCAGGATGCCTCTAATTCCAGCGAAACTTACGCGGACGTGAAAGACTCCTCGCTGGATGAGGAAGAACAATTAGAGGAGAATGATGAGCAGAGTTTTAACGACGAAACATCCGACGAAGATGAAACTTTGAAAGCGGACGAACAAAAGACTTACAAGTTAAACAAAGTTACTTCCAAGAAGACTCCTTCGGCGAAGTCCAAAGATCAATTAATATCGAAAACGGATACGAATGACACGGTCAAGAAGTCCGTCGAAACGAGTAAATCGAGAAGTAACGATATCGGGGAGAAGAAGAGAATCGATGCGAAGGGTGAGGTAAAAATGGCGAAGCGGGCGAGCGAAAAACGAACGAAAAATCGCAGAGCGAGTACGGGCTGCGACAGGGGGTCGGATCAGGGAGAAACGTCGAAGAAACGATTCTCCCTGGTAGCCAGTTGTATCCATCGGTTCGAGGGTGAAGAGAAAACGGAAAGGGAGTACGTGGATAGTAGAAGCGGCAACTCGAAGACGGGGGTATCTCCCAAAACGGAACGGGAGGTCAGTAGACGTCAGTTGTCAGAAAATCACTTGTCGACTATGTCGATCCCTTGCCGCTGACAGACCAATGTCTACAAACAGCTCGAAACGTATCGAGACACGGAAAGAAAAACAGATTAGAAACGGCTGACACCCTTTATAACCCTGTTTTGACAGTAGTTTTAAGCTCACCTTTTTTTTTCTTTTCCGAGTAGAATGAGATTGCCTATACCTCGAGGTAAGTGCTTCATTTGGTTTTCCTTCGTAAGAAGATTGTGACTAATCGCTTTTTGCTTTAGCAAAGCTTCAATAAGAAAAGATAAACCACGATTATTCGTAAAAAGTCCATGATAAAAGAAATTTGTATCTTTTTAGGGACAAAATAAACTGCGTCTGAAATTCGATAATTTCGTAAGAGAATTAAAATGAAACCTGCATCCGTGGTTTGTACGTTTCTTTCGCGAAGAACCGCGTCTGGAGTTTAATTTAATACCGCGAAACACAACTTTTCCATCATCCAGTTACTTCGTCCTCGAGACGAAGAAGACTCCTCGGAATATCTGAAACGTCGCACGAAACATCGAACAACTCTGAGAATTCGCTTTGCATTCTTCGCTGTGCATCCCATTAACGTATTAACGTTCGTTTAATACTCGCTCGTGCGGCTCGTGCGTTTAACAAGCAACCACGATATTAACATTTCGATCACGATGTCATTGTCAACATGTCGAGAGCTCGTTTCTAGACGTTGGTGTAGTCTCTTCGTCTATTTTGCATGCTGTCTGTCCTCGTATATCATTGTTCGCATCAATCTGTCCGCCTAAAGGACACTCGAATTCTGTCCTTCATGTTCGTTTATTCGAGTTCACTTTCAATTACTCCGTGTTCGTATGCATACTCGAATAGAAGTTAACTGTTACAATGTATGATTCATACGGGGTGTATCGATATACAGGGTGTTCATAGTGTTTTACAATGAGTATCATTTAGAAAGAGATATATAAAAATACTTTTTTATATAACTATCAAGTATATGCTGTTACCGATTCACCCGGTATATTTTATTTACAAAGTCTAGTATTTGAGTTCGCAAAATTTCAGAGGCCTTTCGTTTCATTCACAGAGAATAGCGCGTCGCTTGTTAGCCGAGGGTAAAGCATCAAATTACGATGAAGCGGAAGTGGCTGCTAGTTTACTTGCGCTGAAATTCGGAGATGTTGAGGCTCTTCAAGCGGCTAAAGAATGTTCCAGCGTGGAATCGGCGTTGGCTTTCTTGCAACAGGAATGCGAGCTGTGCACGGGTCGCTTTGCGATGAGTCAGGTAGAAAGAAGTACTATTTGAACAATTAATAACTCCGATGATCTTTTCTGACAAATTTATAATTTCAGATGGTATCGATGCTGAAATGCGTGCACCGTTGCTGCAACGAATGCGCGAAAAACTACTTCACCATCCAAATCAGCGACAGGAACATCACGGACGCGGTGTGTCCGTTCTGCAAGGAACCTAATCTCAAGGATGCCAACGAAGACGAAGTCCTGGAGTACTTCAGTAATTTGGACATACAGCTGAAGACACTTCTAGACCCGCCTATTCACGAACTCTTCCAGAGGAAACTGAGGGATAGAACGCTGATGCAGGATCCCAATTTCAAGTGGTGCATTCAGGTGTTTCCTTTGTGCAGGATAATCGATCCTTTCTGTTCGATCGGACGAAAATAACCCAGATGTATGTTGCTTTCAGTGTTCCAGCGGATTTTACGCGGATCCAGACCAGAAACGATTGATCTGTCCCGATTGTCGATCTGTTACCTGCGCTCAATGTCGAAGACCGGTGCGTTGATAATTGCCTGCAAATTATTTCTTTCATTTAGAAGGACGCGTATACGCGTATTCAAATGTCGGGCATGTAATGTTTAAGATATTAAAACGAATTACGCTTTCAAGAAATAATTTTAATCGGCATAATTAACTTTGTTAGAAAATTCGTAGAACAAGAAATGTACAAGCATTTGAAGTCATCGGCAACGCGCATACTTTGTCGCAAGCGCCAAAGCGAAAGGGTTAAACGCAAATTACATCCTCTCGAATAATCAATTTCACTTTCAGTGGGAGAAACAGCATCAAGGAATTACGTGCGAGCAGTTCGCCGCTTGGAAAGATGAGAACGATCCGGACAATCAAGCCGCAGGCTTAGCCAAGCATCTGGCAGATAATGGGATAGATTGTCCTAAATGCAAATTTCGCTACTCTTTGTCCCGAGGAGGTGAGTAAACTTTGCGGGACAGTTCTTTGGTTAAACTGAACTAGATTACTCGATAATGCTCATCTTATTACAAAAGATACAAGAACTTGTAAATTTGCAAAATTGAGAGGTTTGTGAATTAGCAAATTAATGAACGAATTTTGCACAGGTTGCATGCATTTCACGTGCAGTCAGTGCAAGTACGAGTTTTGCTGCGGTTGTGGTAAGGCATTCATGATGGGAGCGAAATGCTCGGTCAGTCCGTACTGCGCTAAGCTGGGTCTTCACGCTCATCATCCGCGAAACTGTCTGTTCTATCTTCGAGATAAGGAGCCCGCTCAGTTACAACAGCTGTTGATAGATAATGGAATCGCCTTCGACACACAAGGTCCGCCTGGAGAACGCAAGTGCAAAGTGCAATTACAGAAAGAAACTCCCACCGGTGTCGTGGACGCGATATGCAACTCGGACGTGGTTGACGGACACGCTGGTCTCTGCAGGTAAATCGTTTTGCGAAACTTCTGCATGTGTCCTTATCAACGTTCACTTCGTTACCGAATACCTTTTGTCTCGATAATGAAGATACAGCCAATTGGAAAGATGAATCGGTCACTCGACAGATCACTTTTGCGATTGCGACGATGACTTCATTTCTTTTGTACTCTCGTAGCATGATTCAAGTGGTATGTGAACAAAAACAGAACGACTGAGTAATTAATAATACAATTATTAGTAATGCAAGTGTACACAACGACCTTGAGCTATCATTCGCGAGTAAAATAAAGCCTGAATGCGAGGATTTATGAAAAGTATGCGTGATGCCTTCATCGCCTTATTTCCAGAGTTATTGTATAGAACAATTCTTTCGACGTCTTCAAGATCATTCTACTTCTGCCTGTTATTGATACCTGTACGATTAATATGCCATCGCAATTGTAATTCTAATTTAAGAGTTTGAAAATCGAATACGAGACATCAGATAGAAACCTTGAAGACGTTAAAGAATAATTTTCTATCACAGCGTTCTTTTAACGCGTCCTTCGATATTCAGGATCCACTACATAGAGTATCTAGTTCGATTGATTCGGAAAACCCAACTGGAACCACTGTTATTGCTAAATATAGACGATCTCGAGACTTGCGTGAGACGTGCAGGGATAAAATTGCCACCGAATTGGTACGGTCGTGATCCAGAACATTACAGGAGGGACTTGATCGAGGTAAACGAAAGAGAATCGTGCGTGGCACGACTAAATTCTGGGTACTTTTCCCCGCAGGCAGCACTACATTGAATACTTGGCGGGCCTGGTACTGAAGGGCAAACTGGATCCCGTGGCGATCTTTGACTTGAACGATGCCAAGCAAGAACTGCGCCGCCGGGGAAAAGTTCCCCCTGCAAAGGACCAGGAAATGTCCGAGCGGGATTATCTTGAGGCGTGCATTCAGGTGACTAACAACTCCTCTTCCTCTCTTCTCTTGCCTCGACATCATTGGCGTAACTAGCTACACACCAAGATGAATCTGATCCTCCCGAAACATGGACTCGTCCTCTCCACGTAATCCAAGGTTCCTGAGACGTGCAATTAATATTAGAAATTTTCAAATTCTCGAATGTCTAAATCCTCGAAACCCGAAATCCCCAAATCCCTAAATTTCCAAATTCTCAAATCAGAAAAAATTTCAATTTCCAAACTTGCAAAAATTGCTTGATCATACCTGATATGGGCACTAAGTAAAACTAAAGAAGCTTCCAGACAAAAATCTTAGTTACGCCAATGCTCGACACACTGACCGAATTAACACGAAATGCATGAAAGTAGACCTTCACGCATGACTTTCACAGTCGAAAAACGTGCATTCGTGTACCATCGCCGAGAAGGGTTGAGAATTGTTAAGTTAGAATTCCAGCTTGCGTCCGTCTTGTTTCCATTAACATGCACGAACAGCTGTTCCGCGAATAAATTACATCTTTAATAAGATTTGATCTGTTTGATATGTAACGTTTAATTATCTTACAGGTTGTACGAAAAGAGATTCCACTGGAGTAAATGGAAGGACAATTAACGCGCGACTTTGTACGATTCCCTCTTGATGCATGGTGTATAGTGTATTTATTTTATTATATGAATAGCGATGTAGAGAACAGTTTATAATTAAAGTGAATAAAAATTGACTAATTGTCTGATGTTTGATGTACAGTCAATTGTGTCAATTCAGGATAGGAATTTTGGAATTACAATAAAAGAATGTTCATTTTTTTTTTCTTTTTTATAAAAGAAATGTGTCAAATATTCCTTATATAATAAGTAATAATTTATAGTATTTTAGAATTTTTATAAAGTACTTTGATAATAAATTGATTTCTAGCAAAATTCTGATAAGAAACTATGTAGACTTTTTCTCTTTGGAGGTGTTGCACCATGATTCACAATATCTTTCAATTTATTTATGTTCAATTTTTTTAGCTTTGGAGTCGGTGTAATAAAGTTTGAAGTACCTCCTTCTTTTTTCGTGTTTATTTCTTTTAAATCTTCCTTGACATTCTCTGTAGGTAAATTTGAAACTCCAGAAATATTCAAACCAGCAGTTCTATCTTTGGTCTTTTTCTTTTTACGTTTTTTTATTTCACTTTTAGTACTCTCTGAACTGGATTTCTGTGCTTTTATCCTCTGTGGCTTATCAAAAGGAATTTTTGTACTTTGCAAACATACTGAACATTTCAGTACCAATTTGTTCCTTTTATTTTTTAAACATTTTTTTACTAGATTTCTACGAACTATAGGTATCCTTCCATTGTTACTATTCATAGTATTTACAATTTTCTTAATAGATTTAGAAAGAGGTTTACCCTCTACTAATCGAATACTATGTTCCACTGTATTCCAAAGTGATCCACAGTACCGACACATCACAGATGGACTAAAATTTTTGGGTGGTAATATTACACCTTTACTTAACTTTTTACATTTCCCTCTAAAATATAATAAAATTATTTATTATTTACATATAATTAATTATATCCACATTAGAGTTAACCCTTTCACGAGTATTAAGCAGTCTCTTTAAATGCCACAAGTTGATAATTGCATTGTGGTGTATCAACAAGACTTGTTTCTTACTTCGTACAACGTATCAGTAAAGTATGATAGTTCAAACCTAGAACATTCTATATATGCAACAAATACATTTTTTTATTACTAAACAAAGCTTACACTAAAATAACCGTACACATTTCTAAGAATTGCATACTCGTGAATGGATAAGGTTATAAAAATCAGTTATGTAAAACTTACATGTAAAATGTTTGCAAGTTCGTACTTTGTGAACAATTCAATTTTGTAATGAATTGATTTACATTCCATAAATGGGTTATTTTTTCCATATCAGTTGTTTATGTACACACAAAACAAAACAGTCCAAGTTTAAAAGATACCGTAACGCATTGTTTATATATATTATCGACGCTTACGTAAATCTATATACAACACATAGATAATACATACGTAACTTATAGATAATACAACTCCAATGATCGAATACTTCCGCTTTAAACGATGTATAATAGTAATCAAACTTTTGAAAAGCCGTGTAAACGTTGGAGAATGCAGTTGCGAATGGAAGTGATCGTATCTTGTTAAAGTGTGTCAGTATAACGTTTGATAAAAGTGGTATTGTGCCTCATAAACAGATTACATTAGTTCTCGGAAGAATGTTCAACTCTTAATATAGCGTTTTAACTAATAGCGATTTTTGTTGTTATTAGAAAAAAGAGAAAAGAATAACCTCAAAATACATTCGCCTCGGAAACATCGCTATTATTGAGTAACAGGGCAGCCAACGTGCGAAAATGTCAAAGTGCTCTTAGAATTCCTAAACCAATCTATTGAAGATCGACAATGTATTAGTACGGAACGTATCTATTGTAAGGGACGGTTTCTGTTCTACAAACAGGCAGAACCGCGGAGGGTGTTAGAAAAATTTGTATTTTGTCATCCTTGTCATCGGAGCACCGGGAGTACTGTCAAACAATAATTAAAACAAATTGTTGTCGTCAAAGATAAATTAATAAACCGACATGGGAGACGGGCGGAAAGGCGAACGGCAGCCGTTATTAAAGAACGAAAATGTCATTTACAATTCACAGATCAGCGACTTAGGTAAATAATATTTGATCTCGAAAATAGAGTGATTAAGTTTGCTTAATTCTTTTGCTTGTTTACCTGTCTCATATTTTACGTTAGATGAGACACAATCTACTGTCAGCACAGTACCTGCAATAGGCCCTGATGAACTACCACCTCCGTATGAATCATGCAATCAATCAGGTGGTATGCCTATGGTTACTTGCAGAGTTTGTCAGGCTATGATAGATATATCTGGTAAAAAAGATCAACATGTTGTCAAGTGTTGTCAGTGCAATGAAGCAACAGTATGTTCATGAACTGATTCGTTAAACCAAACAGTAATGTATCAAAAATAATAGTATTATTTTTTTTTTTTAGCCTATACGAAATGCACCACCAGGAAAGAAGTATGTTCGCTGTCCTTGTAATTGTTTATTAATTTGTAAGAGTTCTTCACAACGTATTGCTTGTCCAAGGCCCAATTGTAAACGTATTATTAATCTTGCTCCAAGTCCAATTACACCACCCGTTCTTTCTATGCCTGGAATGTGTAGGGTATGCTGTGCTCACTGTCATGACACATTTTTGGTAAGAATTCATTGAGAATGTTGTTTATGTATAAGTATATATTAATTAATACTTGTTATGTTATTTTCTTTAGTTCAATACTCTGAATAATGCTTTGGCTCGATGTCCACATTGTCGGAAAATATCTTCTGTTGGCCCAGATTTTGCTAGAGGTCGAGGTATTGCATTCATAATCGTCGGAATAATAGTTTTAGTAATTGCAATAGCTGTGACTGTAAGTATTATTTGAATATATGTGTATTTAATACATTTTTAACACTGCATTTTTTAAATTGTGATTCAAACAATTCACAATTACAGGAACACCCTGCATACTAGAAGATTATAGTTAATTGTGCTTTATTTATTTACAGGTTGGAACACATAAATATGTGAAAACTAGTGGTGGAGTTTATGTAGCTTATGTTGGTAAGTATAGAAAATTAGTTTTATCTAATTCATTGTTTATAATGTATGTACAAATCAATTGCTATAATATGTAGTAAATTAATACTGTTAAAATTCCATCTATTTTGTTATTCTTGTCTCCAGGTGGATTTCTACTGGCACTTTTGTGCTTTGGACGCAGCATTTATTATTGTACAATGAAAATTAGTATGATAGAAGGTCCCATGTAGTCCCCTAAATGACAATCAATTGCTAATATTTTAAAACCAATTCCTCTAACATCTATGTCGTATAATAATATATTTAGATCAAATGTTTATAGTAATAATAATGACATACAAGTCCTTTTTGGGCAATACTTTGTAGATGTATACATTCTTAAAGATGCATATGCGAGTTTGTATTGATAATAATAAGCAAACTCTCTTACATATGCATATACAGATGTACATGTTATGGACAAAGAGAACATGTATCTGATATATAACATTTTCTCATGTAAGGTAATATATCTAGAAATACTAGCAAGTGATGGGGTGTCCATTTTAAACATAAAGGATTGTTCCTCTGCACTTTTATATACAAGCACAGGACCAATAAAATATCCCCATTGTATTGTTTTCATATTTGAAATAAATTACGCTATATATGCTTTCTACATCTACAGTAACATATAAACTGCACATAGTATATACACAAATAAAACGACTTCGCATGATTGTTATTCCAGTTGCTATACATACAGCTATGTATATTGTGTTTTTAATTCCGTACTTGCATTGTCCTTCAAATATCTTTTCCAAAAACAAAAGAAAAGTACGAATGGGTATCATTTGAAAGACACTTCTAGTGTTATGTATTATTTGACATGCAAGTAAAATTATATAAAATACATATATTAAATGTTATTGTTTATTTTATTATTATACAAATTATTGAATCGTTTCCTTCCTTCGATCAATAATGTAGTAGAAATATTATTATAAACGGAAAATATGATTTTACCTACATTTTTTTTAACAACCGCCAAAACATTAGTTTCGCATTCTGCCATCAGATAACGTAAGTAGTTGATATACAGTTTTACTTCCCAGCAATAGATGGCGTAAACGTAACTAGAACAATTGAATTACTAAAGTGATTCTTATAAAATTTTCGTTAAATTTTAACATTACATTTTAAATAAATTTTTGATATTATATATATAAAATGTTTATAATCTTCTATCTGTATTAAAAATGTTAACTTTTTATTGAAAATTTGGTTTAAGCTTTTACCTAATCTAGTGATTTTTTTTTAAATGAATTTATACTTACATGTGATATACGCACATAGGACCAACATAGTATTTGCCGCCAAAACAATCAGTATGATTATACCCATAAAAAGGTATTATAATTCAGTTATACTGATCTTAAATGATATAATTAAATGACATATACGTCTAATTTCATTATTTTTTAGAGATGGCGAACTCGAAGAATGGGCAATTATTGAATTACAAGGTGATTTAAAATTTGACTCCCCTGATGTTACAAATAAATATATTGGAGATTTACACTTTTTGAAAACTGGTACACCAATATTTATAATTGGTATTCATGTATTACATGGAAAAGAAGTACCACTTCCAAAACCATTTGCAGTTTTAATAAAGAAAAACACAGAACATGCTTCTGAAATAAAAACTGAATATAATGTGAAAGCCATTGTAAGAAAAAAATTAATTTTTAGAACAAGGCCAAAACCTATTATAACAAATGTTCCACGGAGTAGTTGAATTTACATACACATAGCATAATATGATCTACTAAATTTATACAATTTTGAATAATTTATCATAATGTACACTATTAATAAATAAATTTAAATGAATTTTGAAAATCCGGTTTTATTAATATTATATGGTTATCTTATTTTCCTTAGTAGTAAAAAATATTAATCTAAATTGGAATATAAATATTTATGCTAACTAATCCTTCATCTCTCCTTCTTCATCCTCTTCTTCAACACCCCTTATGTACATTACATTATTACACCTGATTAAAACTTCACCAAGGTTTCCAGTACAATTTCCATCAATGTGTTCTTCTGTATTAGCTAATTGCAAATTCATATATCCATCAACAGACACAAGATAACCTTTATATTCATGGCCCCACTTTAGTTTTACCATAACAGGTTTACCGGTTAAACCATTTAAAAATGGTTTAGGATTTATTGGCATTGTTGCAGCCATTGTGTCGAATTTATTAATTACCTGTAAAAAATGTGTAATATAATACATAACAAGATTTTCTAAACACTAAATCAGAATTAATTGAGGTTAAGTTTGTGTACATAAAATATGATTGAAATAATAAACATTATTTTATATGTGGAATAATTAGGGAAACATTTATTTACAATAAGAACAAGTTTATACTTACTTATATGTAAGAAAATATTAAAATGGAACAAATTCAATTCTGGCAAATTCGTACTGAACACAATGCCACTGCTCTGAAGTAGTCCATGGTTACAATCGTGAGAATACTGTCGTTAGAAGACAAGTTTTCGTTTAGTTTGCGCATGTTGGTTTCATTTAGTTTAGAACACTGCATATCATCCATAGACTCTACACATTTTTGACAGCGAACATATATATACAGTGATCTTTTATTTCGTATACTTCTTGAACCCAATATTCAAATTCCTAAATCTTCAAATTACAGAAATTTGTACATGTGAAAATTTGCCAACCAATATGAACCCTCTTTTCTCTACGTTGTTACGTTGTTTGAGAAAAAATTTGTCATGCCCATCGATGTGCTATTTTAGCTATTAATATATTTTTCGTCACCTTGTACATGATCACGAAGCAAAAAGCAGATGGTAGATTAACAACACACTAAGGGCAAAGAACTCTGAAGTCAGCCGAGATGCGCGGAATCATTACAGTTTTCTCATGAAACAATAGTTGGATACTATGTGTATAATAGTACAATAACCTCAAACCTGTCAAAATCACGTATTAATATACATCAGTTATCATCATATAAAAATATATTGTGAATTCTTAAATTATTACTACAAATTTATGTAAATTTATAATTATTTCTTGTACAAATATTTATTGTTACAATGGAATAAAGACATTTTTAAAAAGGCATTAAAAATAACTTTTGACTTAATAAAAGTTTATTAATATATACCTTATATTTATAGTTTTAATTCTTGTAATAAGAGATATTATATTTCATCAAATATGAATATTCTACCAAAGAAAAGGTATTTTATATTTTTTGTATGCAGGCATTCAATATCAATGTTTTTATATATTATAAACTACATAAATTGTTTGCTTCAGGTGGCACGTACGTACAAAGGAAAACATAGCTCGTGTACGTAGAGATGAGGCAAAAGCAGCAGAAGAAGAAAAAATCAAACAAGAACGAGCTCAAAAAGCTGTGAGTATTAACAAAAATAATACTAAAAATAACAAATCATATTACAGATAATAAAAACTATTACATTTCACTAGGAAACTGAAGCAAGAATTAATTTTTTGAGAGAAAAAGCAAGAACAAAATATGATGGACGAGCAGAGACACTAAAAACTGAAACAGAAGCAACTACTTCTAAATTAGATCATGTTAATTTTTTTGCTGACCTTGAACAAGGAAAAGTTGATTACAATAAACCTAATGTAGAACATGAAAAGGAGAAAAAGGAAGAAAGAGAAAAATATGAAAAACAAATTGGCTATCTTACTTATCTTGGACAAGACACTAATGAAGCAACTGGTAAAAAGAACTGGTATGAACAATTACCCAAACGATTAACAGATACAGAAAAAGATGTAGAAGTAGAAGTAAAAAAGAAGGTATTAAATGATCCAATTCATGATATTAGAAAATATTTAAGCCTTATGGAAACAAGTTCTACAGAAACAGTTCAAAAACCTAAATCAGGCTCTCTTACACGTAAAAGAGATTCTTTGGAAGAAAGTGATTCAGGTAATGAAGGTAGACCTTCAAAAAGGCATAAACATAAAAAATCTAAGAAAAGCAAGAAAGAAAAATATAAGGACAAAGAAAAACCAAGCATTGATATAGAAAAATTGAGAGCAGAGAGATTGTTAAGAGAACAGAGTGAAAAGTTAAAGGCAGAAGCATTATTAGCTAAATTAAGAGGAGATCCTATTCCAACAGTAAAACCGGAATCACCACCTAAAACAGTTATCAAACAAAAATATAATTCACAGTTCTTTCCTGAAATTGCTAGACAAAATGCTGAAAGAACTCCTAATGTGCATTCAACAAAGAAATAGCATTCTATTGTGCTGTGTTGATATTTAAAAAAGTGGTGTGTATTATTGTTACGTAAATAATAATTTACTTGAAGGATTTTGTATTATTTATTATTAAATAGATTAATCATAAAATTTAGTTTATATAATGCAATAAAATACCACGTTTATAATATATGAATTATAAAAATGAAAAGAGTAATTGTTTATTTACTACTAAATGCAACTAAAAGGATATTGCACCTAGTAAATACATAAGCACAGTTGATTTGCTAAATTTCGCGGTATCACGTGATGCAAGATGGTGGAATATCACGGATCTCATGGATAATGCATTAAAATTTGACGTTTATATCATTTTTTCAGTATTCTTATTCATTAGTTGATTTAAATTCTTCGCTTGTAAGTAAACATCTTCACTTTTACAAATATTGAGTATCTTAGTTTAATGCTTGAGATTTTTTGTTTCCTATCTTAAGCCAGACGCATCTAACGCGCCAGTTGTTTTTGTGAATCATGATTTTCGAATTTGAACAGCTGTAAATATATTTAACTAAGAAATCATGGCAACTTATAAAAACTTTAATTTTACATTAATCAAATTTAATAATTTGATTTCAAATATTATCGAAAAAGTTGTACTTTTAAGTCATAATATAAATTAACCATAAATAACCTCTCCACTAATTTATACGGGTACGTTTTATGTTATAATTACATATTTTTATTTTATAGGCTTCAAATGTAACAATATTTGCAATAATTGTAACAACATTTATTTAAAAAAAAAGTAATGCATAATCTAAATAAATATGAATATTGAATTTATGCTCAGTATGATGTCCTATATGCACTTTTTATTTATGGCAGTGTTTATTATTGATAACAGTTCTATCACTTAGGCTCCATAGTGTTAAACTTTTATTTCAAAGTAATATTTCAAGACCTTTTATAACAAAATAAATTTAATATGTTGTTTATTTATGTAATAATCATATCTACTTGCATTACAGGCAAGATGTTACCTTTGATTTGAATATCAAGCATTTATACCGATATGATTTAATTAAACATTATCACTATGAACGAAGAAACAAACATTGAAGATTCTTCATATTTAAGTTATGAAATAAATGGTACTAGATATATTTTGCAAACAATATCAGATCCTGCTGTTGACATAGTAAAAACTGCATCAAATAATCAAGAGCAAACTGCACTTAATATTGTAGATGAAACACAGATAGAAAAAGAAGAAGAATCAATTTCTTTAGTTTGCTTGGATGGTCAAGTCTATGCATTTCAAAATGGTGAATTACAAGAATTAGATTTTAGTCAAGTTATAGACCAAAATGAACTGCAAGAAAAAACAGTTTTATTATCTAAAGATAATGACAATTGCGAAACACAATATATTACCAATGAAGATTTAATAATTGACAACATCGATGAACATGCTCAAGAACAGTTTGAGGTTGTTACAGGACAGAATGAAAAGAATTTTATTGTAGAAAAGCATAATGTAAATGCTAATGATTTTGTGGAAGTTGTAACAGCATTCAAATGTAAAATATGTACTTATACCACTCAAGATAAAACACAGTTATTACAACATTTTCAGAAAACACATGTGAACCCAAAAATAGATGTAGAAGTGAGTTTCTAAATTAATCTTTTATATAATAATTTTACATTATAATAATTAAATGAATTTTTTTATTTTATAGGTAAAAGAAGAATCAAAAAATACAGATGAAGTAAAATTGCTATATATGTGTGGAGAATGCTCTAATTGTTTTCCTTCTATAGAAGATTGCAAAGAACACATGATAAATGTAGTTATTTGTAAAATTTTTATTTCTTTTCTAAAAAAAACTATTTCCTATATCTTTGGTTTGAAGATATTATGTCAGTAACTTGGGTTTTAGGATCATCAGTTAACAGCTACAGGAGGTAATAAAAGTGGGAAAGAAAATATTACAGATGAATCAAAAGACACTGGTTTATTGGATGAATGTATAAGGCAGAGTGTTGAAAACAATGATATAAAACGTCAAGTAAAAATTCAGAAACCTTTAAATTCTGAATACATGCTCAATAAAAAGATGATTGAATTGATGGAACGGAATATAAAGTATGTGAATTCATTATTCAATTTTGTAGAGTTTAAATATTTCTTTCAGTTATGCATAACTAATACATTTTACAAGGTGTTCTTATCGAGGATGTCCATACAAATTCTCTTCAGAGGAAACAATGCAGCAACATGCACTTTGTCATACAGAATCACAAAATGGAACTGCATTTAAGTGTACTGTTTGTCGCGATATGAAATTTACTAAATGGAGGCAGTGTAGTTTACATCTTTGGAAAAAGCACCAAATTGGTTAGTATTTAACATCGATGTTTGAACGAGAAAATGTTACACAACTTTCTCTATTAAATAAAAATCTTTCATATAGACATAGGTCTGTTTACTTGTAAAATATGTAAAGCATATAAAAGTGCAACAATGGTGAAACTTTTGACTCATATGCGAGTACACAGCGAAACTCGAGAATATGAATGTTCAGAATGTGGTAAATGCTTTAAACAAGCGAGTCAATTGCGTAATCACAGAGTCATGCATTTAGATCGTAAGACACTGGAAGTAACACGTTGGTATACTTCCAAAAAATGTGATATGTGTGGAAAGACTTATGCCAACTCGAAATGTTTAAAAAGTCATATACAGGCAGTACATTCAAAGTTGCGACCATACGTTTGTAATGTTTGTGGGCATTCTAGTGCTAGAAAAGCTATGTTGCAAATGCATTTACGTCAACATACCGGCGATAAACCTTTTAGTTGTGAACTTTGTGAATACAAAACTGGAGATCATAACACATTACGTCGCCACATCATGCAACATACAGGTATATATAAATAAAATATAAAAATAATATGTGCATATGTTTAACAGTACAAATAAAAAAATTATTATTCCAGGATTTAGACCTTATAAATGCCCACATTGTTCGTATACTGCGATACAAAGTAGTAGTTACAAAAATCATTTAAAATCTAGACATCCTTTATTATCCGGTTTATTTACATGTGATTTGTGTCCATTTAAAACTGTGAAAAATGAAAGTTACATACAGCACATAAGAGATCATGAAAAAGGATTGATTAAAGCAAATATGCAGAAAAAAGGTAGATTTCAATTTTTATGTTTAATTTGTTTGTACTTACGCGTATCATTAAATGGTGTATTAATTTCTCAGATGGTGAAAATGTCGAAGTTTTTCCCGGTAATATCGCAGCGGCACAATTAATATACAGTTGTTTGGGTGCTTTCTCGAAAGTAGGAGATACTTTAGAAGCAAACTTAATGTCTTCCTCAACGTCTGCAGATGGTACATCACAAACAATTACAATACAAATACCATCAAAACATCTTGAGGGATCACTGCCAACGAGAGAAAGCGAAACTAAAAATGATTCAACGATCGAACAAGAAGACGAAGAAACGATGCACTGCTTTTTAAAGATTCCAAGGGAAGAAGAAGAAAGTATAGATACGGGCGGTATAACTATACCGGCAGAACCCGAGGAATCAGGTGTAACAACAATTAACGTTGATACATGAAAATATAAAAAGTTAAGTTACTCAAAAAGATATTTCTGCATATTTAGAAATACCAGTAAACAACTTTTAAAAGGCAAATGATGAAAAGATACTAGTCACGCGTTACTTAGATGATACGAATCAATTTGTTCTTTTTTCACAGAAAGTTAGGATTAATGATCTAATTTTTAAAAAAACTTCATTGTGATAATATTTTTGGGACTGTATATCATGTTTACGACGAAAAAATTTGATACTTCAAATGTTCTATTTAAAAAAAGTTGAACAATTTTTGTATGTTATTTAAAAAAAAGAAGGGAAAATTTTTAAACAAAATAAAAAATTTTCAATTATTTAATTGAGTTAATAAGCTTTACGTTCACATCAATTAAAAAAAAAGTTATATTTCGTTCTCAAATAATTCATGGCTAAAAAAATTAAAATAATTTTTAGATCTTTTTATTTTATTTTTATTACACAATTCATGTATCATATTAGAAGAACACGTTTAGTATTTTAAATGTATTTATTGATAATTAATAGGAAATTAGTAGAAGTGTACATAAAAATTGTAAAATAATAGTTTGGAAACTGTTGTAAAATGTAAATTACAATACTTCGTATGGTTCACATTAAGATTAAAATAATATTTTACACGATGGATGAAGGAGAAGTTTTCTAGCATTTTTGACTTAGTTAGCCATCAGGTAAAAATAACACTTATTGCTATGGAAGAATGAATTTAAAATCTTTTTGTTTAAACGTTTACATATTAATTATTGAGTTTCACAAATATGTCCTCACAAATTGAAATTTTAGTATCAATTTGCTTAAGTGCAAGATTTGTGAAAATGGTAACTGTTGGAGGCATAAACATATTAAGAAAAAAGTAATAGTAATAGAAAAATTTAAAAATACATCTGTAAATGATATAGTATAGTAGTTGTCTTTTTATATGCATTTTGTAAGAAAACATTAAATGAAATAAAAAATACTGCTTTTCTCGAGAATAGCCTAAGCAAATTGATACGAATTATTATTTACAGCTAATGATTCAAGAAATGTGAGAAGTTCCTTTTGTCAAACAGCTGCTGTGGATCTTCTCTCAAATTACACATCATATCACAACTAACATTCCCTGGTCAGTTCACCGTAATAAGCCATTATAGCTATTAACTTTCTGTCAAGGAAGTTCTGTTCCACTTCTACACCACCACCTACTCCAGCTAACATGGCGAGCTATAAATTTGTATATATGTATAAAAATGTAAGGTAAATAGCGAATTATGGTAAACGTTAAATATTGGAATCGAGGTATTTCCGAATTCTCTTAAATCGTGAAATTTTACCTGCATAGTATCTACATTTCTAGGTAGAAAGTAGGCCACATGATCTGTGATTCCTTTTGCTATTTTAAATACATTTGTTCCACCAATGGGATGCATAATGTTATTGAGATCATAAGTTTCAGTTTTATTATATTCGGGACCTCCCCATGGAGGGCTTAGAAATACAACATCCGCAGCTAACTTTGGTGCGAGTTTAAGGAAATCTCCGACAATGAATTCTATTCTGTCGTCGACACCATAAACTCGCGCATTGTTACGGGCAAGTTCGATCTTCATTGGATCTATGTCTATTGCGAGCACTATAGGGAAAAAGGTTTATGAATTCGACTGTATGAGTATAATTTGTATACAAATGTACCTCTTTCACACGTAAAAGCAAACTGGATAGCATTTCCCCCTGCACCACAAAATGCATCAATTATGGTATCGCATTTGCATCTTTGTGCTATATGTTCGGCAATTTTTTCAGGTGTTACAGAAAACCAGCTTTCTGTAAAAAAAATATTTTATTATACAAACTTAAAGTATAAATGATAAATTTGTACCGTTATATAAACAGCATGAGAAAACATACCTCGATCCATTTTAATGCCTTGATCAAACTTACTAAATAGGCGATATCTTTTTAACCAGTATTTCAATAAAGTCTTATCATTGTCTATTTCTATTGGCAGGCTTATGTTTCTTTTAGATTGCTTCCTTTTTTTCTTTTTCTGTGTCTTCTTTATACTATCTTCATCAGATAATCTCATACTTTGTATTTCGTTGTGATTATATTTTTCATCTACATCCATATCAGTATTTAATGCGTCAAAATTCTCATCATCCTTTTCAGGCAATTGATCTTCTGATGCATATGTTATAGAACTGCTCGCTTTGTTTTGGTCAAACTGTACCTTATCTTCTTTGATATTTTTAAAAACATTATCTTGGTTATCGGATATATTTAAAACATCATTTGTATCATCTATTTGCCTTTTGTCTATCCCTGATTCTATTGAGCTTGTGCTCGGTTTACTAAATACAAGTCGTTTTTGCAACTTTGTCTTAAGGCTAGGATCACATTCGTCATCAGAACTTGATGTAAATTGTGCTGTATAGGAACCTTTTTCAGAGGGTTGTAATTCTGTTTCCGCCAATGGTAAAACTGGACAATACGATAAATACTGCTTCACCTGCAAACAAACAGAATTACTAATAAAAACAATTACCAAATATTTTTATACTTAATTTTATAGTATCCAAAATTTAATTGACCTTGTCTATAGTATTAGTAATTTCCACTCCATTGTCATCAAAGTAAATATGTTTGGTCATAGATTTAGGTTTATAGAGTTTCATTTTTAATTGTCTATTTTGCAATCTAATGTTCCTTTTTCTGTATACTACTTCTCCTTGTAATTTCGATTGCTTGTCATTTTCGTTGAACGTATAACCCATCAATGAAAATGCCTTTTTTACCGTTTCTAAACCTTCCCCTGTATCGTCATAATCAGCTTCATGGCTAAAATAGAATATAATTACTTGTTTACGTTAATGTAACGAAAATAAAATGTTGCGAAAAAATCAGATTAATCTATAAAACATAGTCTATTCCATGACAGTTGGAATGGCTAAAGATCGTCGCGTGCCACACGACGCGGCAACGTTATTTCTGTCACGAAAGCATTACGACTTCAAGCAAATAAAGTTACAAATGCTTCCGCTTTCGTAGCTGCAATCATCGAATACCTATTTACTACTTACAAAGTGCAATAAAAAGAAATCAATACCTTCGTTTTAACGTTACAGGTTTATCTTCGTTGGGTTTATCTCCATCTCCTTCATCGGAACACTTTTGTTGAATACTACCACCGCTAACATTATTAGAAGTAATTATACTACTTTCATTTTCTGTAACCGAAGTATGGCCATCGTGTTTACCGTTTCCTGAATGTTCACCTTCTTCTTTAGCAGTTTCCTCTTTATCTACAACAGATTCATTATCCTCTGATTTCATTGTTAAATTTTGCATGAGCATTCCTACCGATTCGATAATTAATCGTTTCTTTTTAGTCTTTTCTCTCTTAGAATAAGTCACACTCTTATTAGACGCATTTTTATTTTCAGATACATTAGTTCTATTGGAAGTATCCATTCCCTTTTGTATAAAATTTTGGTTTATACTTTCATCGCTTTCTTCTTCCTTTACGTCTTTTGTGTTACAGCCTTGGCTGTAATTTTGACCGCTAAGTTCGGATTGCTCCCTTTTATACCACTCTATAAATAATTCATAATTCTTTTGGTACTCTATCTGGAAATTTTCTTTCCATAAATGCTGCCAATATTTGTCATTGTCCTCTGAAATATATTCATTATCTTGATCAGAACTGGTACTTGTTATATTGCTTTCAATGGAACTGGTCACAGAGCTGATAAGACTAGAAGAATGTATAGAAATAGAGTCGCAACTAGAACTAGTAAGGGTCATTTTTGTAACGTTTGTCATAGAATCTGAGGTTGCATTTGTTTTTGCTATTGACTCATTAAGCGAATCGCATCTTGTCAAAAGTCGTTCATCTTCTGCATTAGATTGTTGATTATAACTTTCTTCCATGCTAAAAGGACTCAATGGATTCCATCCGTCTCCAGTCTCGGGTGAAGTTTCAAGATTTAACACCTTCTTCCTATTTTCCAATGCATCCATATCATTTATTTCTTGTTTATTTATATCGTCAAATGAAAAATTAACATTACAGGTGTCTTTTGCCTTTATTTCAGTATCACTTGTGTAGTTATTTTTACTAAATATTCCTTCAAAATTTGAGCGATCAAGTTCACAATTTATGTGCGCTTGATTAGGAAAACACGTATTTTGTTCCGAAAATCTTTCCACGCGTTCTTTTGTTACCGATTTTTCATCATTTATTAAATGAACATTATTTTGCAAGTATTCTGGATTTATGTAATCGGCATATTTTGAAATCCAAGATGCCCAAATTAAATGTTCGCCATTTTCAGCCCAATACCTGTCCCATGCTATACTCATTACGCTCTTAGTTTTAGAATATGTAGAACAATATGGATAAACATTAGATCTATGGTCATCGCTATATGTAAATACATCTTCGTTATAGGTCTGTGCATTATTTGACACGACATTTTTCAATGTGCTATGTATCTCAGAATCTTTATCTCCTAAGGTAAACAATGGACTTTCTACATGAAATTTCTTCTCATTAAGACTGGATGGATCATAACTCAAAACGTCCACGTCATCTGCAAGATCGTGATCTAACGAACGAATATTCAATGCATTGGATTCAGATTCTAAATGTTTGTCTTGCTGATGCTGCACAAGTATGTTCGCTTTCTCAGAGCCATCAACTGCTTCAGTGTCTGCAGTTTGAAAACTTTTTCCGTAAGATGCCAACAGGTTTTGAATGCTTTTAGCCTCATGTTGGTCATGGTATTCAGAAAGGTCTGCACCGGAGTCTGATTGGTGCAGACCCAATTTTTGCGTGAGGGAATGTGCAGCAGGACGATGAGCCGAATCACGAACAGAGTCATGTTCATCCGTGGAATAATTGTTGTCTGTATGTGACGCGCTACAGTAACAGCTCACTGGTTCTTCCTAATTATAAGAGACAAAATCATATGCTTGTTCAAATGTTCTATAATAAGTCTATTGATATCCAAAACAGAGAAAGATATTCTTACATCATGTTTTTCAATAGACTGTGTTTCTATGATAGACCTTTTATGAAGGTCTAACATTTCTCCTATACAGTCAGCATCAACATCTTCATCGTCACTAGCATCTTCTAAAGCAAGAACTGTATAAACCTCTGGATTTCTAAAAACAAAAATAAAAAGGTTCATGTTACAAGCATTAATTATTGCAACATACTGACATGTTTGTTCTTTATTGTTACATTCATAAATTTCATAGTTTCATCATAGCTACATAAAAATTAGGAATTTAATAAAATACAACATTCTAATCTGTAACTTTATGCATTTGCACGTGGTACATATTGTTATGGTTCTACTCGCTATAATGCTTCGTAAAATTAAATGAAAAACTGACGAACAAATAATTTGAATAATCAAATCGTTCACGAAATAATGATTAAAGACAAAATATTACTATATACTGAATATATTTCTAATCAAAGGAAATGTTTTTTTTTAGTTACTAAAAAATATTGTGACCTAACATATTCGAGTGGGTGTCAAGGTTAGGTCATGTGTCACACCACTGATCGATAAACGTACGAGATTCCCTTTATTTGATATTTTAAAAAATAAAACTACCATAAACAGAAATTATACGAACGAAATTACAATATTCAATAGAATAAAGGAACTATGCTTCACGAATGTATTTACCGAACAAATACTCTGCTGCAAAGACAATAAATGTAACTATCAGGATTAGGGGACTCGGCCTGCTTCGCGATGTACACTTCAGCTAAAGGTTCCCAGAAATGGTCGCTCATACCGAAAGTAGCGTTTAATTGACTACTTGCTCGTGAATCGTCACAACATCCACATGCCTCACGCTTAAATTTTTACAACTCCCCCCATGCAAAAACAATCCGCCATTTCTTCGACGGCACACCATCATGAAGTTGCTCCTGATTATCATCATGTTAAAACACAGACGAGATATGGGATAGAGCTATCACCTTATGGGAGCTACAGTCGAAGAAACTGAAATACCGGCTGCTGTTTTAGAGCTCAGCGTCGACGATGATCGAGGATCAGAATACACCCACGATATATACCTTCCCAATGCATGCGGGTTTAATGCACGATCATTGCAAGCTTTGACGTCTTATACCCCGAAATTTGAAAATTTATTGTTACATGTTACATGGAACAATTTTTTAGCACAAGTTGATAGCAAACGAAAGATAAAATATCATATGAAACAAGAGACACTATCGTAAAAAAAAATGTTGAACAATTAATGAAATTATAACTTAAACGCGATCGATATCAATGTTTGTATTTTATTGATATTATTGCTCGCTGCTAGATGGCAATAGTGGTATAATTTCTGTGGAAAGAGCGCGCATAAATATAAATTTAAAAGAATATGTAAAAGTAAGGGTTTTGAAATACTTTCAATTTTTTAAATTTATTACTTTACAATAAACTATTGATCCTATTTTGTTATAAAATGGACCAGACCGATTGTAAAAACAAGCCTTTGTTTGAAAAAAGTTTTATTATGTATCGATTCCTGTGAAGTAGGTATAATGCGTGCCAATGCAGGAGTGGTATGGAGGTTATCAAGTCTTCCCCTTGGCCTCCATTTTCTCCAGAGAAGCCAGATTTGCACTTGAATTTACTTATGTACTTAACCTTCACTCCGTACACATAAAATTTCGAAATTTTCAGGTTTTCAAATCTTTCGAAGGTCCAAAATTCTCAAATTTTCAAATCCCTAAATTACATTTCACTGGTTCTTAGTACAAATGACTGATGAAGAGTAATGGTAGGAAAGTGCAATTGACGGAGAAGCTCCTAAGTTCAGTTGATTTGTGCAGAATAATACTGTTCTTTCATGAAATGAACTGCGCATTGCACCTTGCACATTGCTATCTGTACAAGCAAGGTGCATTAATTATTATCATTATTAACAAGATTATTAAATAAATGTTGTCCTTAATAAAAAAGAGCCATCTTATAATAGCATTATTCTTGTACATGTGTAAATTTAAATATGTATGAAATAAGTATAAGTATATAATTTAGCAAATTCACAATATAACTATACGTGCTTTTCATTCTGATATATATTATGCAAGGATATATGTAGATATATGATATACATTCGATCAAACTGTACTAAAAATGTATACATGTAATTGAAATAAAAATTGTTGCAAATATATTATTATTGTATATTCATTTATTAAGTACTAGAAACAGTAATATATATACATAATGTTATGCAAATACATAAAGAAGAGGTCAAATTAACACATTCACATAGTCGAACAGGTAAATGTATCGGCATCGTTGTGTCGTATGGTTTTCCTTGCCCCACCCTTCTTTTTCGTATCGTAATGCTGCACACCTTGATTTCGTGTATTACGTACTTTTGCACCTCACGGATATGAGATAGGTCATATCACAACAGGTAATAAACTTAATCATATATTTGTACCATATACAACAAATACAAGATTGATGTGGTTTTAGTGACTTTAATATTTCGATAATAAAAATTATATATAAATATTTAAGCGAAGTTCGTTCTCCATAAATATTTCAAGCTTTATACGTACTTTTTATTATTACAGTTGTTATTATATATTTATAAGTATATAAAAATAGTCGAATGAATATTCAATACAATGATTTGGCAATTAATTATTGTGGAAAGGTATTTTATACTTCAATATATGTTTATATCCTAACTTGTGCATCCATGGACACTCCCTGTTTTTTTTTTCTTTTTGAAACTATGATTTGTAAACAGTTATTGTTGTATACTATATATTTGAATTAATATGAGCTGTATAAATAGTTAAACAAGAATGTCAAAATAAATGCATAATTTATCACTCTGTGGATTCTGGGGATAGTCCATTTCAAAACAAATAATATTTGATAGTTTTTCTGAATCTTAATTAATTATTTTTATTACTTCTTCAGTGAAAATGAATTCACAGGACACAACCGATAATGTCTCAACAATAAATTCACCTAACATATCTACAAGAACCAAAAATTGGGTCCAATTTGAAGATGAAACACCTGTTAAAGATAATGGCACTTTGGAAGAAAAAACTAAAATAAGTGCTGCAGCTGTAATAAAACCTGAATCAGTTACAGTAGATGTTGAGAAAATTGGTAAAAATGTTGATAAAGTAGATAATCGACAAATGAAAAACAATGAGTATAAAGGAGCTGTGATATCAACTGAATCCGTCCAGATTAATTTAGATAGATCAGGCTTAAGTCGGTCTATCACATCCGAAAGTCCAGATCTTAATTTGCCGTCCGAAATAAAAGTTTCCGATCCTAAAAGTGCTTCTCTGAAAACAATCGATCTCCGAGATGTGTCTAATGGCAGAAGTGCTATAAATAATATTATAAGTACACCTATTGGAAATATTAGACAAGGTTTTGCTAATGGGGATACTATAGTTACTCTTTTACCAGTTAATACTAGATGGCCATGGATCACTCCTGCCAAATTTCGACCAGAATTAGTTCCAGAGGAATTAATGGCTCAAGGCTTAACGGTAAATCATTCATAAAATTATACCTTTTCATATTTAGTTATTACATAGTCAATAGTTTAACTATTATTAAATTAAAAATATATTTTCTTTTTGTATATGATGTTTTGCATTATTTTACAGTTATACATAACTTGTAATATATCTATTACAGCTTACAGTAGAAGATTACGTACATATTATGGAGTTGCTTGTGAATGATGTACGTTTTAATATGTACAATGTATGCTACAAAAGAATCCTTGTCCTTTGGATATTTACTGCATTTATTGTATTGCTTGGCTTATTATTTTCTGGAGTAACTGGCCTTACTTTATTTGGGCTCGGCATTATGTGGTTAGTCCTAAATGCTGCTGCAATATTCTTTTGCATGTTTATCAAGATAAAATTAAATCATAATCTTGAGAAATGTATGGCTCAAGTCAACAAGCATTTACTTCGACATAAAATATTGCTTGGATTGGATGATAGAGGGAAGATTTCTTGTCACAAAGTCAATCTCTGTTTTATATATTTTGATACCACAGATTGCATCGTAAGTGTAATTATATATGCAGTTAATTTAAATAGTTACAGCTTAATGTTTTGTGATAACTTATTTTATTTATTGTATCTTAATAGTATACAAAAATGTTTGCTTTTTGGTGCAAACAAAACATTTATCTACTAAAGTTTATGCAATATAAAGAAAATTTATTTTATGACAGAAAAAATTACAAGAAGTTATAGAACGTGAAGAACGCGAGGGAAGAATAATCGGCGAAGATGGAAATTCTGAAATGCGTAGGAAAAGGGAATTACAGCAGCGAATGGATATTGATGATAGCGATATTGTCATACAGGGCAGCACAACCACTAGAATCTCTCGTAAGCAGGTAAGCTCCTTTTTAACCAGGTAATTGTATTTTAGTTAAACTTACTAATTTATATCAAGTTTCATTTTATTTATTTACATTTGTTGTAAATAACTGAGATTAATGTTTTTATTTTCCATATTTTATGAATAAAACAATATATTTTCTTTTATATTAGCAATTTTATATTACAATATTTTCTTTTATTTTTTTGTAAAATGAAATACAAACTATTAGGGTAAAAGTGAACAAGTATTCTGCCGTTATGTACAACGTTGGGCAAAGGATTATTTACGTCGGCGTTTGGATTGGACAGTTGATGAGGAAGGAGGAAATCCTTCTTCACCTCGCCATTTAGCATCAGCTTTATGTCCGTGTCAATATATAGAAGAATGGCTACGTAATAAGTCGCGTGTTCAGGGCAGAGATTTTTGTCCTTCCTGGAGTAGTTTTCTTAAAGATAGAGGCATTTAAAGAAAAATTGTTGAATATGCATATAAAAATAGCAAAGACAGTATTGCTCATAGCAATTGAAAAAATGTTTTTAAAATCTTACGCTATAGTTTATTATAATTATTTCAATATCATTTTAATGATAAATATTTTCTTAAAGAGAACTTTAAATAACAGAATATCATACTTAAACGCAATAGAACTTAAATAGCTTTGTAACTATATTTGTAGATAATATAGATAATATTATTAAAATCAAATGAATAATACAAATTTATATTTGTACAAGTTAACGAAAATAAGTCACATTAGAAGTTACAGCTACTTACTATTACTTTGTACTTAATTATATGAGATTTTTGTTTTTAAAATTATCAATTACAGTTAAAATTATATATCATATTGATATTAATAAACATTTTTTATTCGTATGTTTACTGTAAATTGGATTAATAAGAATGATAAAAGTTTAAAGTTCTTTTAAATGAAATTTAATATTGTTTAAATTTTAAATAATTCGATGCTACTTTTTATTGTACTATTTTGTTAAATTTATATAAAACTTGCACGTTTTATCACTTACACATATGTGTACATTACAAGTTTGCTTTTAATATTTTATATCAGTAAATCAATTGTATATAATATTTAAATATCAAAAAATAATCTAAACGTGCACATTTGACATATGTACTTAATGAATATGTGTAAAGTGGTGAATGGTATAATAATATGATTAATAATATAATAGTAGTTAAAACTTGTTTAGGTTACTAAACTTATAAATCAAATGAAAATTTATCTTTAATGAGCAGTGTAGTTCTTGAAATTTATGAAATAATTCAAAGAAGTAGACTGAACTTACCTGTGGCAGGAACTAAAGTACTTAAATTTAAAAAATATAACTACAGTTCATTATGTTTGAACAGTTTATTTTTTACATACAACAGATTTTAAGCTTTACAGATGAGTTTATTATTAATGTATAAAAAATCAATTTATCACTTTAGCTCTAGGTACTGAATGATGATGGTATGTGTTGACAGGAACGGGCGGAGTTGCTGTTGCTGAGGTATGCATCTCGATGGGCACACCACTTTGTGCGCCGCAGACTTGATCTGGTTATAGACTCACAGGAACGAAATAGAGACATCGCCGGTCTATCTGTTTCTCCACGACATTGTGTCTCCGCCCGTTGTCCTTGTCAATTCATTGAGGACCATCTCAAATACAAGCCTAGAGGCAAGTTAATATTTCGTACGTTCTTTTTAATGCCGAATTTTGATGGCAAATGACTGGGATAAATTGCTTAACGTATATAGTTCAATTGCAATTACAGATAATTGATCAGTTGATTATTATGTTCCTATCTACTTTTTATTATATACACATAAAACATTTTATTACAAGTTACATTTAGATATTATTTTTTTTATGATAGTTATAATTAAAAACTATTTTGAAATTGATTTTCATATTTCGTCTTTTACGCACAAGAGAATAATGTTTCTAATGACATTCACCATTTTACAACATATAGTAGCACATTATTTTCAATATTAAATAATGTTAAAGGAATAAATTATACATAACGTTAATACTTAAAAGAGAAGAAACAGTATAATCATTCCATTGTTACTATATTACTATTCATAAATTTAATTATTTCAAAATTTTTAAAAAATAATTGTTAAACACTTTTATGACCATTTGATGGAAATGATATATACATATCATATATACAACATATATTTTTTTAATATATGTTTATTGCTTTCCAGTGTTGATATTAGAAAATTATACATAAATTATATATAACTTAGAAAATTTTTATTTTTTTAAATTTAATTTTATCTTTATTTCTAAAAAGAAATTCCTGCATACATCTTAGTTAAGACAATTACAAGTAAAGACTTGATATTAAAGCAGCTATAAACATTTTATACAATTGTTTATACATTTTATAATTATTATCTATGATTAACCATCATAATGTTGTAAAAGGCATACAATGTTCAACTTACATATCTGAATTCCGTCCTAATTGAATGTAACAGTACATTATATAAGAATGTAATTAATATATTGTATACTTTTATGAATAAGGCTATTCTACTTTTATATAACAAAAATGTAAAGCATTTTTATATCATTGTTAAAAATGTTATAAATAAAGATAAGTACACAATATATATGTTTCCTTGGTGGAGGTATGATTGTATTCATGTAAAAAGCTATTTCATTAAAGTAATAGTTATTACACATAAAATATATTGTTAGTTTTAGTTTCCAAATATACCTATAAAGTTCAGTGTATGTATTTTTCTAAAACATAGGTATTTGTTACTAACCACTGACTAATCCAGGGATCTGTTGCTTGCATGCAGCTGGACAAAAGACAGTGTGCTTTGATATTTTATCTCGCAATCATTCACATATTGTGAATACATGAAAATCATTCACAAATTGGTACAGGTGTAAGTATAGCTTAACTTGTATTTTCGCCATATACATACATGTTTAAATGAACACATTACGATTTACGAAAATACATTGCTTTATATGCACTTATTTATGTACATATTACTTTATTTATGTTTCATAACTACAAAACTTTGCTATAAAGAAAAAGTTCTTTGTAGAAATTAATTGTTAATTATATATTGTTTTAAACTAGTGATACAGAATACTAATTTCAAATATTTGCCCAATTTTTTTCAGGATACCCACCTGGCTTTACATGGTGTGCTTATCTTAATGACCCATTAGCTAGGTATGATGTTACATTAGGCGTCCCTAATTAACAGTGTTAATAATTTACTTAATGCACAACAGTATTTATTAAGATATTTTTAAACAGTGTAATCATATCAAAACTTACTTTCTTATTTTTTATAAGCACATGTGATATATCTACTAGGGTAATTACAGTGCCTTTTAAGTATCTATAAATATTATATTCAGAATTTACAATTAAGACATTTTTCTAATTGTAAGATTCTATGTTAGTCCAAATTTTATGCATCAATTCCATATATTATGCACACACATTAAACTGACATGCATATACAGGTATATATAATGTAAAATGGCAACTATTATATGTAGCATTTATTTTTATACAGTATTAATTATACATGTTATAATGTTATAGATATTTTATATAAAAGAATATATTATTTACACATACATATTAAAACATTAAAAAGTAACTATAATCATTCTGTATAAACAAATAAATTGTATTTTGTTATACTAATGATTAAATTAGTACTAAATTAGAAATAAATACTTTGTATGTTTATATGTTTCCTTTGCAAGAAATAATCAACAAATATAACAAATTCATGTTATCAGAGCAGCCTGTGCTTGTTTTCTAATATCATCTGCAAGTCTTCTTATTTCAGTATTGTCTATTTGCAATTGTTGTTCTTTGCTTTCAAGCATAGTTTCTAAATGTTGTAATCGTTGTTTTGTATTTAAGTACATTTTCATTTTCTGATACGTATCAGAAATGTTTGCATTTGTTTGGTTTTCTCCAATGATTTCATCTAAAAGTAAAATTTTATTCATTTAACAATGTAACAGTACATAAATATATACTCTTAACTATATAAAAATGATTAAAAATTTTTCTTATAACATTTTCCTAATATCACTTTAATGATTGTGTTGACAATGAATATATAAATAATAAAACCTTTATTTATTATTTTGAATGCTACATCATCTATAGCAGCATTGTTTAGATCTTCCAATACATGTTCAGAGTTAGGAATGGGAGGCCTTGGCGGTAAATTATTTTTTTTATTACTAAACATACTTAATTTAACAATATGACACTTATTTCACTTCAATTAATTATCATATTTATCCATAGCTGACCAAAAATTCAAATATCATGTAAACTACACATTTATTTTCTTATTTCAATAATTGCAATGTCAAGCCGGTATATCCAGTGATCTTTTAGTAATAGTATATATTTTTATACACTATCACGTTATTGTACACTAATAACGTTATTGTACACTATCATGAAATAACGAGGAAGCTGGTAAACAGCCGCTTGAACTCAGCCAAGTTGCTCGAATGAAGTATAATTTCTGCTGACAGGTACTATACATATGATATTTATTTGTGCATCAAGTTTTTACTCTCTAACTTATCTACGCATCGGTCATTCTCTCTAGTTGTATGGTATCGCGCAGTATTCAAACTGCGTTGAAAATTGTGCCGGTATGAATTATTCTTTGTTACATATGTAAATATTTCAAATAAGTAAATGATGCTATGATTGCAATACTTTAATCGTATAAAATTTAATAAGAAAATATTTGAGAAAACTAGTTGTATATTTCTATTATAGTGCAGATATTAATACAATTTCTTTAGCGTTTATTTAGGTACACGACCGTGAGTAACATGCCGCCAAAGCGAAATCGAGTTCCAAAGGTTAGATAATTGTATTATTTATTTACATAAAGTTATTGTTAATTTAACATGACTATGTACCATTGAAATACTCCATTTTATAAATATAAAATTTTAGCACTTTTACTTAAATATACATGTAACATTTTAATATTATTTTAACATTGCTTTATACACAAAAATGTGTACTTTTATTTTATTTTCAATTAGGAAAATGGTGCTGAAGACAAAACTGAAAAGAAGAAAAAAGTGACAAAGTCACAAGAAACATCTAGTAGAAAGTCTAAACGTACTGCAAGCAGTACTGAAGAGCCTGCATCGAAACGTGCCAAAACAGAGCCAAAGCCAGTAATGAATAAAGTAGACACAGATTTGAATGAAACTGATTTTGATTGTGACAAGCTGAATGCTGAAGGAAATAAATATAATTTAAAAATTTCTAGTTGGAATGTTTCTGGTATAAGGGCACTTATCAAAGTTTGTATAATACTTGCATCATTTTATTACATTATTTTTTGGCAAGTAATTTTTTTTGTAATGTTTTGTCATTACATTTATGCAGAAAAGTGGAATGGAATACATTATGAAAGAAGATGCAGATATAGTTGCATTACAAGAAACCAAATGTGATAAAAACAAATTACCAGAAGAAGTTAAATTGAAAGGATATCATCATTACTTCCTTGATAGTAAGAAGGCTGGTTATTGTGGTGTTGCATTATATACAAAACAGAAACCAATTGATATACAATATGGTTTGAAGAATTCTGAATTTGATGATGAAGGCAGATTAATTACAGCAGAATACCCAAATTTCTATTTCCTTAATGTTTGTAAGTTATTCAGTATTAAAATCTTTTACAAATATCTTTATTAATGATATTTACTATATGTAATAATTACATATTAATAGATGTACCTAATGCTGGTCAAAAATTAGTAACACTACCAAAAAGATTACAATGGAATGAAGCCTTTAAGAGTTATGTAAAGCAATTAGATGAAAAAAAACCAGTCATTATTTGTGGTGATATGAATGTTGCTCATCAAGAAATAGGTAATGATATCCTACAGTTCATAATTTTATTATGTACAGTAAATAATTTCAGGAATTTATAAGTTTCAAATTTATTGTACTGTAGATCTTACAAATCCTAAAACGAATACAAAAAATGCTGGATTTACTAAAGAAGAACGAGAAGGTATGACAGATTTTTTGGCTGCAGGATTTGTGGATACATTTAGATCTTTATATCCTGATAAAACAGGAGCTTATACATTTTGGTCATATTTTGCTAATGCACGCAGTAAAAATATAGGATGGTGAGTACTTTACAATTAGTTGAATGATATGGATGTTACTATTAATTATAAAATATATATATATAAATATACATTACATCCTTCCTTACACAGGAGACTGGATTATTTTTTGGTATCAGAGAAAATCAAAAATAAAGTTTGTGACAATGTTATAAGGGATAAGATATATGGCAGTGATCATTGTCCAATTGTGCTTTTCGTTAATATATAAGATTCAACTTTTTATACTTAAATTACATGTAATTGTGTGTATGTAATTTAACGAGTTTCTTATATTTATTATATTTTTTTTTAAGAATAAAATTTCATTAATTAAATATTTCTTTTCATTTTTTATATTGACTATACATAAAAAATTAATTGTTCAGAATGAATAGTTTGCTAAATTTGTATGTATTCACTTTCATATTTCTTATGCACGTTATGAATATGTTTACGTTAGAACAATTTCATTACTTATGCTTGGTTAGGTTAGAAATATTACAAACTACATATGCATAACCTTATCTGTACAAACCGAAGTATGCTGAATGTGCTGAACCAATCACATTTAATATGCATATAATGAATTTGAATACTTGAACATATTATTTTTATTCGACTGCATTACGTATTGTTATTCCTGTAACAATTTTATGAAAATAATAATAAAAACTTTTAAATTGTCTTTAAATGATTTCTCTAACCTGTACAATTTTAGCTCGATATTTAGTAAACTAACTTCTGAGGAAATACAAAATGTAAATAAACACATTACACTTTATTGCTACAAGTTCAAAGACTGAAGTGAAAATTGTTAATAAAAATGAAGTGGTAAATCGTAATTAAAGATGACATGGAAAATACAAAACATCATTAGATTGCATAAATGCGAATGTTTCATTTATTTTTTTTTATGGACAAGTGCTATTCTACATTCAATTTATAATGTGTTTTTAACTAGTACTTGTAAGAATTTAAACATATTCTGTTTATAAAGATTTGCAACTAATATTTTAATATTAAAATATTGCTTTAATATTATTCATAAATTTCAGATTTTGATGGTTACAATGATGTATATAATGATTTTGCACCAGGATGGACGTGGATTGGAAAGAAACAAGATGTTTCTGATCAAGAATGGAAAATGTGGATACCATTAATGATTAAATTAATACCATGGATATTTATTCATCATTTTGTTAGTTTTCTTGTTAAGATTTTATCAAATGTTGTGGTATGAATTTTTTGGTATTACATATGATTCAATGTTTCTATCTTATATTATCTTCTTATTTATTATGTTATCTTTACAGGTATTATGTACTTGGTATATCTTTATGTCTATTTCATTTTTATATTATTTAATTGGAGCATTAGGTACATTATGTATTGTCATACAATTAAGTATGTTGTACATCTTAACATATAGACAAAGTAGATTGATTATATGGCTGATAAATACGTTATTTTTATTTCTGATACATTTTCTGAAAATTCCGGATGGTACTTTTCAAAGTACATTTAAGTTTAACGACGAAGAACATTATATTTTAACTCTTGTAATGTGTTGGATACAGTTAAGAAGCATTAGTTATAGTATAGATAATATTGAACAACATTTAGACAGTGACTGTGATATCAAATTTTACTTTTTTAACAATTTTTTATGCAAATTAGCATACTGTTTATATTTACCAACATTATCCTTAGGACCATTGATTTTATATCATGAATTCATGAATTCTGTATGTATTTTACTTTACTTAAAAATTAAGTATTTACTTTATATCTATTAAATATAAATCATATTCAAATCTTTATAGCTAAAAGGACCATTTCAAATCTGGAAATTATCAGATTTTGGGTACTTTTTCCTTCAAGTGTTCAGATACATTTTTTGGATATTTTTTACAAACTTTTGGTTGCATTTTCTATATTTCAATGCTATGCAGTATCACCCTGAGGTAAAAGTACAATTTTGGACGCAATAATTTTATTAAAATTTAATTAACTCCTGTATGTTGTACTAGGTTGTCAAAACTTTAAATCCATGGGCTTTATATGGATTAGGATACTGCATGGGACAATTTTTCTTAATAAAGTATGTTATAGTGTATGGTCTTAATCATACTTTATGTGCTATAGATAATATAAAAGCACCAACTCAGCCTAAATGTATAGCAAGGATTCATTTGTACTCTGATATGTGGAAGTATTTTGATAAAGGTTTATACAAATTTTTAGTAAGGTACAATTCTTGTAACAGAATCATAGATATATACTAACTAAATATATCAAAATAATATAGAAGTTATAAAACTTCTTCAACAATTTATTTTCAGATATATTTATGTGCCTCTGTTAAAGTCAAATTATAATAAATTATTTGCTTCTTTCTTGTGCTTTACATTTGTTTTTATATGGCATGGAATGCAAATAAATATTTTTATTTGGGCAGCCCTTAATTTTATTGGATTAAATATTGAAAGTATAATGAGATCATTTGGGAGACAAAAATTTTTTATAAATATAAAGACAACATATACATCAGAAATTAATGGCAGACGACTCGATTGTATTTTAGCAAGTCCCCTTTTAATTATATCAGTAATATCTAATTTTTACTTTTTTGCTGGAGAAGAAATTGGAAGTATTTACGTCTACAGAATATTACATGGTATTAGTTTATTATATTTCATACGAACACAAAAGAATTCACTACATAAATTTTTTATAAAATTTTAAATTAGCAAAATTTCGTATGTATTTTGTTACAGATCCTCCATACACCACATTTATTTTACTCTTCTTTTTATATTGTTGCTGTCAAGTATCTACAGATGTAAAACGTTGGGAATTGTAAAAATTTCCAAAGCTGTAGTATTGTAAAGAAAAAACTGAATATCGAGTTTTCTAAAATTACATTTTACAAAATATGATTTGGGAGAGGATTTGATTATCAATTACATAATAAAATCATTTTTAAATATTTTATTAAGTACAAAAAGAGTATAAAAATACAGTGTATAACTAAAATTATTCTTCATATTAACATCGTTATAATCGTTTAATGTTTACTATAGTAATAAAAAATGAGTAGAAAGTTTATACTTAAATATTTTTTTGTATAATTATTACAACATTTGTTTCATATTATATAATATGGATAATAAAAATTGATTTTGTATTATTAATAATTAACCGTATAATATACACAAGGCACATTATCTTTCACAGTGTACAAATGTTAATGTAAAATAATCTTTTACTTATTAATTTTATATTTTATACAATAAATAAACAACTGGCTTTTGTAAATGTTGTTTTTCACATTTCAATAGAATTATATCTTTTTTTAAGGAGAGTATTTATATCCTAAACTAATGTAATGATTTAAGAAAAATATACGAATTTGTAGATTGTAATTTTACCAGCAAATTTCAAATGACAAAAAGTGTAAAGGCATTGATAATGAATATTGACTTTGACTATTCAGTGCTTAGCTGTTTGTGATAAAGATATTTTTAACCAATATTTACAGTTACTACTCAGATAAACAATACGTTCATTTTTCTACAATTAATTTGAATATTTACATTTTCATAAACTTTAAATATCTATAGTGTGATCATTTTATACAAAGTTTGATTTTTTACGTTTTCAAATTTATTTGCTATTTATGGTGTTTTCTTTTAATTTTTGTATTGATATAAAAATTAATCCACAACTAATTATTAAATATATTTTCTTGTCTAATATAAAAAAAAGTTTGTGATTGTGTATAATGTGTATTCTATGTTATATCTTATGCATGACCTGTAAGAACTATACATTTATAGCTAGAGATTATTTCATTATCATTGTATTGTTATATTAAGATATTCACATTTGTATCCTTATAAACTTATTACATTGAGAATATAATGCCAAATAAACAATAATTTTTATATGGAAGACATGCTTGAGCTATGTTTGGAAAAACAGTGCATTATAATTTTTAGCTGGTCATTTTAGTTTCATTGTAAAATAATGTAGCTGCAATGGGATTTGAACATTTTAACACAGAAGATAATTCACTGAAAATTATTATATACATTTTTATGAACTGTGATATATTTTGTAAAAAATATGATGTGTAACTTGACAAGTAAGTATGCTACAAATAAATGTAGATAATTGTATCCATGATAAAATGATTAATATAAATGCAAAGGGTTATAAACAAAGAAAAACTTGTAGAAAACTTTAGAAAAACGATTACCAATAGTAAGATTTTGGTTTTTATTTTTCATTTTTTTAAATCAAATTAGAAATTTGTACTATGCTTTCAATTATTTGGCACATAAACGAATGTTATTGCTATTAAGTAACTATATTTTATATTCATTTACTTAAGTGAATCAAATTTGTGTTACTTTTATCATATACACATAAGGTTAATATAACAGATTAATTATGATTTATAGTTGTATTGTTTGGAATGACTAATAAATAAAAATTTTATAACATATAACATGATACTTCTTAAACAATTTAAAAAATAATATTATTTCTCATGAAACAAAATAAATGCATTTAAATTCATATTTTTATAATTTATTTTATATAAAACCTATACTAATACTGTGTACTTTATATAATCTAAATCATGTAAAAATATTTATTAAATTCATTCTTTTTAAAAAGATTTTTGTATATTCTCTGTATCTCTAGTAAAAAATATTAAACCTACATTTTTGTTAACAATATTTATATGTACAAAAACTCAAAGTATTATTTCAGTACTATCATACTATTAATACATTCATTAACTATATTTTATAAAACTTTCTCGTAATTTCAAAAGTATATTGCTCTTAGTATGAAATATTTTCGATTTAATGAATATAAAATGAAGAATTCAAAATGCATCTTGTATTATTAGGTGTTACTTACTTGTCTCAAATATTTGTGTTTTATTTTCACTTTCAGCAGAATTGTTATGCTCAACTTTAAAAATACTATTTTGTAATGCATCACTTGTTAACAACAAAATAGTATTTTGATTTTCATTTTGTTTTATATTAATAGTTTGCATATGTTTATTCAGAAGTGTGAATTTTTGATGTTTATCCACTTGAATTTTTGATTTATTTTTTACATTATTATTAATTTTAAGTTGTTGTGGAAGTACATTTACGCACTTATTTTGTATTATTATACTGGTTAAAGGTTCATTATGAATATACAAACCTTGTTCGCTTTGATTTAATAATTTTTTATTCTTTTCAAGAACATAATTGCTGTTTGAAGTAATCACTCCACTCTTAATTAAATTTTTTACTATAGTTTGATAGTCATCTAAATTTTTATCTGTTTGTGATACACAATTTTTACTTTGAGTCGACGAAGTATCTTTAGTTTTTAATGACATTCTATTAACAATATTCGGTTCTTGTGAAGTACTTGAATTTATTATATCTTCTGATACATCGATCTTGTGCAATTTTATTTCTTGACAAGGTTTGTAATCAAACACGATAACATTACTGTCTTCTTTCTCGTATTTTGTATCATCTTGAGTAATAGTTATTTGTTTATTGCTGTTTTCATCTTCGTCTTCAACATGAGTGTTTACTTGTATCAATTTCGTTTCTGATTCTTTTATGTCATGTATGTATTTAATTTTTTGTTCGTTTAAAGAATCGTTTAATGCTTCGTTGCAATAATCTGTTTTAGTATCTTCTATTATTTGTATGTAATTCTTAAACTGATTTTCCGGAAATTCAAGTTTTTCATAAAATTCCATATTGTTTCTGCTTTTTGCATTGTTAGCTAAATTATTATATTCTACTTTAATATACGATGGTATTTCGTTGATATTATGGTAAATTAATTCCGATTGATCAGTGTTATCATCATATACAATATGACCGTTCTCATCTTGAACCACGTGCAACTCGTTACAAGAAGCATTCTGTAAATGTAACGACTTATCTCGCATTTTATTTGTGAATTCTTCCGTGAGACAATTGTTATTTTTGTTAGAAACACTATTATTTACAGTTATTTCAGTCTCTGTGGATTCAGTCTTATTCAAATGAGATTCTGGACAAATCTCATAAGTTTCAAAACAATTTTTAATAATTTGGATCGTATCATTTGGTTCCCAATTTTTTTCAGTATCAGCAACAACCTCGTTTACAATATATTCTTCGGTTTCAGCATCATGCAATTGACCATTATCGTCTTGATAATGCATAATTGTTTTTGTTGCAATGATATCTTCATTCACCATATGGTCTTTATTTGTGTCATTTCTTTTTCTTCTATTAGTTCGAACTTTCTGAAAGTCTTCTTCAGAAAGATGCAACAACTCACCAGTAGTTGTTAAAACTTTACCATGTCTTGTTTTCAAATGACGTTTATATGTATTTCTCGTTTTAAACCTAAATGATGTAAACACAAATTTTATATTACACTAAACTGTTAACATATTAACATATTAAATATATACGGTATAATGTATAAAATATTACATACCGCTGTCCACAATCATCGCACCCAAATGGTGCTTCTCCAGTGTGTCTACGTCTGTGTTCTCTGAAATGTGATGGGTGTCTAAACTTCTTTCCACAATCACCACAAGTGAATCGTGTTTGATTTTGATGAATTAACATATGATATTTTAAACTGTGCCTCCTTGTAAAAACTGCTCTGCATATACGACATTCGTATGGCTTTATTCCGGCATGACTTCGATAGTGCGATACCAACGTTGTAGGTGCTGTAAAACTTCGTGGTGGATTGCAAATTCGACATTCGAGATTACTTCCTGTTGGATTTCCTTTTTTCTTTATCCGATCCATAAAAGCTAATGCCATTTCTCTTTCCTCTTTACTAGTGCCTATAAATTTGGCTTTTCCTTTGGGTTTAGTAGTTGTAATTTCTACAGCTTTACTGCTACTTTCACTGGACCATGATATTTCTACACATTAAAATATAGTATTAAAATTATATTTAAGTATCACAAATATTTTACACATTTACCTGGTAAATAAACAGTTTCAGAGTTTCTATTAACTTTTTCTGACAACTTTTGGGTAACATGAGGATACTCTTTCATATGAACACTATCAGTACCAACAACCATAAGTACAATCTGCATAAAAAAAAAATATTATATTCAGAACTTACGAATTTGTACTTACCTATTATATTGATGCTTACATTTTCACTTGTTGCATTTTCAAAAGTACCATGGAAAGATACTTCTTTTGCATTAGGAATTTCATCTTTTAAACGTTCAGAATAGCTATGATCTCCAAGAACTTTGAAATCTGCTCTATCTGTATCTTTTTGTTCAGAATTACTTAATGTTTTAAGATTTTCTACTTTTTCAACATTCTTATTTTTGTCTAATTCTTTAAAATTAGAATCATTTAATAAAATATTTCTCAAATAATTTGTTGAATTTTCAATAACATTTTTATTCTCCTTATTCAATGTCTCTTGTGGTTTTCTTACTTGTTGAAATTTATTTTTTTTACTTTGGGGACTTGATTTGTAATTTTTATAACTTACTGATTTTGCTGTAAAATTCTTATCTATAAAATAATATTACTGATATATTATTTTTGCATTACAAGTAATATGTAATAATTTGTTTTTACTTTGGGACATAATTATGTATACTTACAAGCATCTTTGTTTGTTTTTAGATATTCTAAATGTTCTGCCAAATGTGCTTTAATAGACATTCTTGCTCTTCCTTCACTTGCAAAACTAGTATATTTTTGCCCACACCCAACAACCAGAGCACATGTATAAGAGTACTGTCTTTTTAATTCATCGCTTGTAAAAATAGAAAATTGTTTTACTAGTTGTGATGCAGGCATGGACAAAAGTTGTGGCACAGTAAAGAGTGATTCATAAGTCTTCCTTTTTATATGATCCGCTTTTGACTTGCATTGTGATGTTGACAATGATTTACTATATTTCTTTTCTGAATGTAATGTTTGTGATGCAACTTCTGCAAGCATATCTAATAAAGCAGCAGGGCTATCACTTCCCACAATACCTGAAACAAATGAAATTTAAAAGTAAAATAAGTAATTACAAACCTGAATATATATAACACTTATAATCACTGTGTTCTTTTTTGTTTCTAATTTTCTCATTTATATATTTTATATTGTATCAATTTAATTTTTGAATCTTAATTGAAAACAGTAAATAACGTATATTTATATTATTTGTCATATTGGCCATTAACAATCACAGAATAATAGTAAATATGTTCTTCAGTTTATACTATGATTTATGACAGCAAAAGAAAAAATATATGGGCAATTATATATATTTTCGATACGTAACATACTATAATTCATTTGAAAGATTAAGAAATTTTATTCCTTTTATACGTAAAAACCAAGTTCTAATTTTCAAGCATCATTCTAGCAGACGCCATAAGGACGCCCAGCAGACGGTTTTTCAATTCACCTTTATTATAATGTTTGAATTGCTATACATTTTGTCATTAATATTACTATACTAAAGTAACAATAAGTTCTATCATGTAAAATGAATAAAATTGTACCTTTGTTGTACGAATTAGAAGTATATTCATGGTTTGTTTTGGTGTTCATTATGGCATTCGTATTCGCGGCGTGTCTTCATTCCACTGTCTTCCCTACACATACATTATACATAACAGGTTCCTTCTTGTTGCTTCCTTGTTTGTCTTCTTTCTTGTCAATCTTGAAAGCAGTATTGCCAATCTATAAAATTAAGATTTTGTGTACATTGCAGTGTATAGTCACTTTGGTGAGAGAACACGATCGTCAAACGACCGGTTTTCGTCCATTCTGCGCATGGAACACATTCAGTATTTCTAATTCTACGCGCATGGCAATTAAGAAAACACAAGCGTCTTTATGATATCCCTAATGTCAAATATACATACTCCATATTTTAGTTTGGAGCATAAAATGTATGTATTTTTATGAATTATTTGTAATTATGGATTTGATTTTTGAAAAATTATCATTTATTATGTAAAAATAATATGTATATACTAAAAAATAATGTCATTTTTAAACACCTAAAATATACAAAAAAAAAGAATAAAATACATGACAAAAAGGTGTTTTTACTCACATTAATTTAGAAACGAATAAAATAAATATTTACTAAAATTAATTATAATATATATATTACAAGTTAGAATTAGGGTAAAAGATATTAACTCCAGGATTATAAATTCTTAAATATTTTATTGTATTAAGTTTGTAACTTTTCATAAAATAAATAATATGTATATATATAATACTATATGTATTATAGACAGAGTAACATATGTACCAAGTTTATTTTGAAGGTTTATCGTTCATTGTAACTTTGTGAAGAATTTATTTGCTAATTTTTATATCAGTGTAATTTATTACAGCTACCTATCGATTCTTTTTTAATTGTATCAGTATCAAATATGTCTTTGATAATATCCTGTTTCTTTTTCATATGAGTAGGTATACCATGAAATAAATTGTCTGTAATTTGTTTTCTATTTGTCATGTCATGTTTTTTATAATCTTGACTTAAAAATTCAATGTTTTCATTGTCATCGATAGCTTTCATTGATGCTAATAACTGTTCTTTGATATAATTGGTTGGTTTTAGTTTAATACTAATTTTACTTGTGGTATCAACATCAACAGGTGTACCATGAATTGAATCAGTATCATGAGATTTTACATCATTCAATAATGTTTCAACATTTCTTGATTCTATATGTGCTTCTTGCTTATTTAATTTATTTCTTGTTTCTACATCACAGTTGTCATTCAAAATGTTTCTGTTCATTGTATCTGCTTCATTTATTTCTACTTTATCCAAATTTTCCAAAACATTTGATGAATTTTCTATAGACTTTCTTTGCAAATGTTCAACATGATTTTCATTTGAAAGAGTCATTTTTGGTTGAGTGTCCATTGATTCTGGTTCATTATAAGTTATAAATGATGCAGCATCTTGACTCCATTGTTCATCTTTAGATTCCAATGTTTGTAACAATGATTCAGTTGAAAATACACTTTGTGATATATTTGTATCAATATAGTCTTTTCTTTTAGTTGGTTCAAGTATGTACTTTTCTACATTTTCTGAAGTTGTATCTTCTTGTTCAACAGATTCAATGTTATAGGGGACATATGCATTTTTAGTTTGTATTTGCATTTCATGAGTTAGATTTTGATCAACTTTTTGTGATCCATTTAACAAACTTTTTGAAGTTAATTTTTCTACTTCTTTGTCAGAATTATAGTAAATTTGGTCATCACTTATATTTGTTGCAAAATCATGTTTAATTGCTTCTTGAAGTGCAGTATCTATTTCTGAATCACTCTTGTGAGAACTTCTCCTGACCTGCATTTTTAACTTATTTGTATGTTCAGAAAATGTTAATTCTTTTAAATCTATAGTATCATCTACATCATTAATTAATCTAAAACATATTATATTATAGTTATAAGTAGAGATGACAACCTATTACTATAAAAGAGAATACATGCTTTAAATTATACAAACCTTCTATGTAATTGTCTGGAGTTAGCTGCAGTAATATAATTATTTTTAAAATTTTCACTTTCACTTTCACTTCCACTACCACTATCTTCAGATGAATTAGTAAATTCTTTTTTTAATGTTTCATTTGAATTCTGATATTCTTGATTTTTAAATATTTTTTTAAAATTATCATATTGCCAATTAATGTTTTCCTCTTTCTTTTTTAATTGTGAATTTTGTAAATTTATTGAAGTCTTTGAATTTTCACTTATTGTGAAATCTAGTTCTTTCAATTTCTCTTCTGAATCATCTGATGAAGTTCTCTTATGCAATGGTTTTTGAAGACGATACTTTCTGACTTGTTCCAAATTTGCCATTGTTTCTGTCCTTACAGAATTCAGGGTTTGATTTGAATTTACTTCATCATCTGCTTTCATATTTTTATCATTTACTTCGGATGTATTAAGTGTAGGCTAAAAATAGCATACAAAAATTTTTTTCATTATTTTTAAAAACTTACAAACATTTAAAAATTACATTATGAGATGAATTATTACCAAGATATTATCTTGCGCGTTTGTTTGCCATTTTTCACATTTATCTGACAATTTCAATGGATTTGATGAGCTGAAAACATTACTATATATATAAGAACAATGAAGGAAAACACTAATTTAATACTATATTTATCACATACCTAATATCTCTTAAATTTGTAAGAGATTGTGTACCAAACCGTCTATTCTTATTTTGAAGTACTAATTGTCCATTAGAATATAATCTACGTTCCCTATTATCTAGGAAATTTTCTAAACTTCTCAATTTTTCTATTGTTTCATCTAAATTCTTTTGTGTTTCTTTTCGCTTAGTAACTTCTATACGTAATTGATGTTTTAAGCTTTTACTTTCAAGAATCAATTTTCTGTGCAATGTCTAATGAAACAAAGAAACTTATTAATGTTATGAAAGATATAGTACATCATTAAACTTTTGAATTACCTGTATAGTTTCTTGCTGTTGCTGTATTCTATGATTTAAATCTGAAACCTGTAATTGCAATTTTTCTCTTTCTTCCAAATTACGGTCTTTACTTAGTTGCAACAAATGTTTATTTTGACACTATAGAAGTAATGTATAAATATTGAATCATGTACTTCTTTATATTTCTAAATGTTATGATTAGTATTCACCTGCAACTGTTGAAGTTCATTTTCCTTTTCTTTTAGTAAATCACGTGTTTCCTTTTGTACAGTTTTTAACTTTTTATATTTAATCTGAAGTACTCTCAATTCCTCATGATGTGAATTAATAATCCGTGGAAGTTCAGCATTTGTTCCTTCATAACGCTTTAATGCAGAATCTTGCCTTTTTTGTAATGATTTTAATAATTTATTTTCGTTATTTAATTCCTGTATAAAAAGGTATAATTACATTCAGTATATCAATAATTAATATAAGATTATAATGTGTAAGTAATTATATAAGATTTCATATCTCATTTTATTTATATAATATGATAATTCAAATTATTACATTTAATTGATAATGTGCATCAGCTAATTGATTTTGTAATTCCTTAATGCGCAACATTTTTGCTGATAAAACTCTTTGTTCAATGCTATTTTTATGAAGCTTTAAGTGTTCTGAAGAAGGTTGCTGGTGAACGTGAACTTGATATGGTTGACCTATACATAATTTAAGAATAAATGAAGTATTCATAAAAAGTTTTAAGTGTTTAGAAAGTATAGAATAATTTTTTATTTACTAAAATAAAATAATAAATGAAAATTATATGTGTTTAATATGATTTTAATACTAACCAAGTAAAGGATGCAAGTTCTTCTTAGATGAAAGACATGTTATGTGCTTGTGTGGTAAACTACATTTAGCTTCCACTGATTTCCCTAAATTAGAATTTTGTTTTCTGTAAATTACATATGAATACACTGTGTTAAAATGTTTTTAAATAATATATCTTTTGTTCACAGTAAAAATGATATTAATAGAATTAAAATGATCCAAAAAGAAGTATTAAAATAAATAAAAAGAGTTAATTTGCAGGACCAAATAATATGAAGTATTAATCTGAATTTTTATATAGCAAAATTTATTTGAATTCTGCCAAACTGCTTGTAAAGTGTTTAATACTGTTTTGATTACCTATTGAGGTTTTTATTGGTATTGAAATGTACTACAGGTAGTGTAGGAACTTCAGTTTGCATTTTATATCTGTCAGTTCTACATCACAGCTAACATCTCAAATATATGTAATACTTGTGTTTAAAAGAATAAATTATTGTAGCTTTGTCCAAAACTTATTGTAGACTAGTCAGCATCCATAACTGTTTTTAAACAGTTGCTAAGGTAACAAACACACAACATTTCACTAATCAATGTGTTCTGAAACTATATTTATTTTTCAGAAGTTTAATGTAATTCAAATCAATGAAAATTTTCATAAATGTAAAATGTTAATTAATAAAATCTATTGAAATACATGTACTCTTATCTTTACATGTGGAACTATATGTGTTTGTAATAATACTACAATGTTACTTAAAAAGCAGTGTAAATAATTTATAGTTAACAATAAACTTTTTATTCCAGTTATTTTATTTTCTTTAATTATATCATATAAATTATATAAAATGTTAAAAGAGCCTATCATTTAATACTGTATTCATTAGTAACATATGGATTTGAAACACTTTTATTTTTATAAATTTCTATACAATTATATTACAGAAAATCACATGTACTTAATTTTTTATAAATATTAGGTATTTATACTACATATGTGCACAGCACATATATTATTGTGTGGATATAAGTTTGGAATATTAAATATTCTTAATTAATATTACATAAACTAAGAATGTACAATGAAATAAAAGCATTGTACATAGTATATTTTTTCAAATTGGTATATCATGTACTAAATATTTAAGTAGATTCTTTCTAAAAAATGGGTTTTTCTTTTACTGTTAATCTATCACAAATTGCTTTCAATTGTTTGTGTCTAAAGTTAACACTTTATAAATATGTTTACCTGCATATCATACAATGTTTGTTTTAAACTCCAGGAGTTCTACAATTAGGTTCATTTTTTTCTTTAGATTTAAGCATTCCCATATGCTGCGTTTTCCATAATTTACTATAAAAAGAATTTGGCATAGATAATAAACAATCGTGTGTTCCTCTTTCAACTAAACTACCCTTGTCTAGTACTAAAATTTCGTCTGAATCCATAACTGTGGATAAACGATGCGCAATAACAATGGACGTGCGTCCAGCAGTTGCTCTGCGTAATGCTTCAAGGATATTCTGTGAAAATATTATTAAATGGGTATTAATAGCATTTAAATTATATCTAATAGACTTACATGTTCTGTGATAGAATCTAAGGATGACGTGGCCTCATCAAAGATCAATATCGGACTATTTTTTAAAATTGCTCTAGCAATTGCAACTCGCTGTTTTTCACCGCCACTTAATTTTAAACCACGTTCTCCAACGGGTGTGTCATATCCTTTTGGCCACTGAAGAATAGAATCATGTAAATTTGCCATTTTGGCAGCTTCATAAACTTCTTCCTTTGATTTATTTAAATTTCCATAATGAAGATTATAAAAGATACTTTCATGAAAGAGAACTGTATCCTAAAATCATGTTTTAAAGTTAGTAATGTAAAATAAAAGTTTTCTACGTTATCTATTCACTTACCTGAGGAACAATTGCTATTGATCTTCTTAAAGTATCTAAATCAAGGTCTCGAATATTGTAACCATTAATGCAAACATCTCCAGATTGTGGTTCAAAAAATCGGTACAATAGTCTTACCAATGTTGTTTTACTGAAAATGTACATTATCAACTACTGTATTACAATTATTTAAATTATACTTGAAACTTACCCAGAGCCAGATCCTCCAACAATAGCAATTTTTTTACCACTTGGAATAGTAAAATTAATGTCTTTGAAAATAGGTTTTCCGTCGACATATTGGAAATTAACATTTTTGAATTCAATATTTGAATTTGTTGAGTTTATATTGAAGTCTATTGCATTTTCTTTGGACTGATATTACATTATAAAATACATTAATCATTTAAACAATATTATGTCGATATCATTTTAAAATAAGTGATATGTACCTTAATAGATGTATCCATTGTCATCAGTGTAAACATAGTTTGCATATCAATAAGAGCTTGTCTAACTTCACGGTAAACTGATCCCAGAAATCCCAATGGAACTGATAGTTGAAATAAAAGTCCATTGACCATTACTAAGTCTCCGACGGTCATAGTACCTAAATACATCCTTGTGTTACATAATATTGTTATATTACATATATTCTCAGTCTAACGAAAAATATTTACCATGTGCAATATTGTTAGCTGCTAAAACCATTATTAAACTTAAAGCACCACTAAATATGGCATTTTGTCCAAAATTTAGAAATGCCAAACTAGTATTTGTTTTAAGGGATGCACTTTCATACTTTTTCAAAGATTCGTCATATCTTTGTGCTTCAAATCGTTCATTATTAAAATACTAACATAAAAAGTCTTGGTTTTAGTTGTTTATCCAATAAATATAATATAATTTTATACAACATAATTATTAATTATAAGAACAATACTCTTTTTAAAGTACCTTCACTGTTTCATAATTAATAAGTGAATCTACTGCTTTATTACTTGCTTCATTCTCTGCTTGATTCATATAAATTCTAAACTTCGTTCGCCATTGCGTAATGGCTAATGTAAATATGGTATAAATTCCAACACAACCAAGAGCGATACTAGCATATTCGCCACCGCATTTTAGATATAATACTGTACTAACCAATCCTAATTCAAAGACAGTAGGTATAACGTTAAATACCATTGCATTTAATACAAAATTTATACCACGACTGCCTCTATCTATTGTCTATAAAAATGTTACAAGAATAATAACAAATGATTATAATAACGAAAATTTGTCAAAGATAAAAATTTATGTTACTTTTGATAATGCTCCAGTTTGTCTACTTAAATGAAAGGCCATGTCTAAATTGTGTAAATGTAAAAAAACATTTTTAGCTATTTTTCGAATAGAATGTTGAGCAACTTTTGCAAATACTGCATTGCGTAATTCACTAAATCCTGCTGCCCCTGCCCGTGCTATTCCATCTGTTTTATAAAAAAATTATTATTATTGATTTTTAAACATAATACTATTTCTAAAACAATTTAACGTACATACATCCTATGAGTAATGTTGTTGCTGCAGTTGCAATGGCTTCTGGTGCACTGTCTAAACTTAAAAGAGCATTACCAGTAGTTGCTATATGTTGAGTATTAAGAGTATCTATCGCGTATTTAAAAATAAAAGGAACACAGACATTTAAAACTTTTGCACCAATAAGTAAACTAACAGCAAGTTTAACTCTGTTCCTTATTTCTGGATCATCCTACAAACAAACAAACATATTATCATAACATTAATTAAATGGTAAAAATAACTTACTCTGGGCCAAATATATGTAAGCATTGCTTTAATCATATCTGATGAAGTAACTGGTTTTTTATCTTGCAAATCAAGACTTTCATGACTTAAACTGGATACACCAGGATGGAAACAATCTCTCTTTGGCTGACTTGATTTTCCACCAGTAAACCAAGGAATTTCCAGTGGAAATTTTATTGGTGTAGCAGATTTTGTTTGTAATATATTTTTTTTCCGATGAATTACATTTCCGCTACAACACTATAAAAATATTTGATTCAAAACTTTTAAATAACTTTACATGATTATTAGTAAAACTTGAATTAAAACATATATTGATGTCTTAATTATTAAAATATATTAACAGGTGGAAAGAGAAAAAATAAATGTTATTAAATATTAATAACAAAACTGTTTAAGTAGTAAAAAATTAAACAAAATTTTATAATAAATATTAATAATTTATTAAAATGTTATAAAATTATAAATCATATTATATGTTACATCTTTTATGCATATATATTACAACTTGTTTTTTACTTCTACATTATTTTTATACAAAAATTACTATATGATTCATTTAATATTTCAATGTGCTCTTCCATAAAACTTATTGCAATTGAGAAGCATTGGGTATAATTCTTTACAGTTCTCATGTTATTTAACTGATGGATTAATTGGTTCTTCTTTAAATAAAAAATTTGCATTGCTATGTCACGTGTATCTATTATATCCTCTTTAGTAAGAGAATCTCCGTATAGTTTCATACTCCAATATTTCTTTTGCAATTTTGTACTTAATATGAATAACGTAGATATTGCATTATAATTCAATCCTTGCCTTATAAATGCCATGTCTTTTTGAATGTTATTAGAAATTATAAAATCTAATTTGAACTTTGGAATATTACAACAAGCTTGCACATCAGAAATATCAAAATAAACTTCATCTAAAGGATTATTTGGTATAAAAAAACCATAATGAACATATAACTTAAGACTACTATGTGCACCATAATTGATAAAAACCTGTGATTCTTTATTAAATGATTTTAATGTAGTAATTTGATAAAATTTTTTATCATTTTTATCAGTAATCATAGATGTATGTGTGGCACTATAGATATCATGATTAAATAAATCTAGAAAAGGAGCTAAAGCTAAATTATTAGGATGTTTAATATTAATAGCACTATTTTGTTCTGTTTCTATGTAGCTTGTATCTATGTATACAGCTCTTGTATTAACAATATAATATGCCCACTTGTATCTTTCAAATGTTATTATTTTTTTTAAATTAATATTACAGTGAAAACAATTACCTTTATTATTTGATTCTAAATTATTTATAGATTTAATTAATAACTTATAATCATTGTATATTTTATGACATTCATACATGTAATTCATGATAACTGGTGGTAATAGATTTTTCTCTTTGTTTGTACAAAAATCTGGATTTGTTAAAATTTGTGGAAGACTATTAATGTAATGGTACCATTTTGATGTATTTTCTAAATGTGATTCATATACAATAAACACAGATAATAAACATTGGGCACTATACTGTTCAGTTTTTGAAAATAAATTTTTGACATTGCTTTGATATAATGTAGATGTTGTTATTAATATTTCATATGGTATTTTAATCAATATATCATTGACTCTAATTTCCTTTATCGTTTTCAACCCTCTACCAGTAACAGAAAAATTATATGGGATCAAATGACAAATTGATAAACAATTATTTCTTAGTAACCAAGATTTTAGTTGCATCAGACTGTCTTCCCTGTTTTCAGGTACTTCTGTCAAATTTAACTTCTTCTTTCGATGACGTTTTCTTGATGTTCTACCCATTATTCATATGTTATATCTGTAGAATCAATAAAAAAAATTGTTTTGAAATAGATAACTGCTTAATGCTGTTATATAACTAATTTGTGTTAAAACTATTTACTGTCATCATTGAGTAATGAACATTTTTTTTTCTTTATTCATATAATAGAGATAAATTATATAACAACCATATAGCTTCTATTACTGATGTTATAGTTGAAATTTTGACTACAAACTTTTAGCAATCTAGCATCGACTAAAACAATTATAATAAAAGTATCAAATATTAATAAATAATTAATACTTCAAACAAGCACCATTACAATTCTCTTACAGTTACTTTGTGAATGTAATATAAATTAGTAATATTACCCTAACTCCAAGGGCAGGATACAATGGGTTACATATGGATATGTTAGACAAAACTTCTTCTGAACAAGTTATTTTCCTCCGAGGTTTAATTGCACATACTGTAAATGATCTGATCCAAGGTTTCCTTTCATTGTATCCAATTTGTAGCAAACGGCGATATAAAACAATGCTTAACATTATATCAAATTTTTATTCACAAATATAGAAGTGTAGGAATGAAATTCACAAATTAGGTTATTTCATCATGTTAGGGGGTAGGTTTATTACACACTACTAAATTGTATAACTGCATACATATAATATATGACTTTGAAGTATTACTTCGTATCACTGTATAGATAAGCACAGTTATCTATAAAGTATTATATATGAAATTTGCATCATCATTTTTGTTCCACTTTTCGTGTATTTTTTGTTCACGGCGTATATGACCACACAATAAGAAATAAGTGGTAGATAAGAACCACACTGATCATAAGGAATCTCTTGAATTTAGCTGAGATGCGCGAGCTACTACGGTTCTCTTGTGAAACAAAGCGATAACACAAGTGGTATTAACATTTTCGTGACTATTAAGGTTATTCATTTTTTACGTAACAAGTACATACACATGGGTAATACTAAAGTTAATAAATTGAATGAAACATATAATATATGAGACTGCTTATGCAAATGTATAGCATAAGTTCTATAGCAACTTTACATAATAGAAAATGAATAACTATATTAACCAAAAGTTAAGTCACATGATATTTTACAAGAACAAGGTCAAAAGTGAAAGCTTGAAACGTCAATCATGTGCGTTATACCTGTTGAATGTGGGACTAATGTTAATGTAGAGGGAAAACAAATTCCACAGGTGTATACAGCAGAAAAATGTTAACGAATAAAGTTATTTTTACTTTGCCAAGAAATGGAAATCTAGCCAAAGCAGTTTTGTGTAGTGAATATAATGTATACTATAAAAAGCAAAGAAATGTGCATATTTCTATGCAGAATACATTTCATTTACATCAGTTAAATAAGGTTGAAGCCAAGCTAACAGGAAGTCAAAAACCAGATTGGAATAGAGCTGTTTCAGAAGCCGAAAAAATTGTTGGATATCCAACATCATTTTTAAGCTTACGTTGGCTTCTGAGTGATGAAATAGCAAATGTGGCATTGCATCTTAGAAAGTTGGTAGGATCTAACCATCCTCTGTTAAAAACAGCCAAGTCAGTATTTTATTAATATGTTTTATATCAATTACAAAATTGTATATTTATTGATGTTCATTATTTTAGAAGCGTTATATATAATGGACGTAATAATATGCAAGCATGGGGTCTTATTGTATTATTAATTTCAAAAGCTGCTGGTCATTTAAGCGTAGATGACATGGAAGAGGATAAAGCTGCTGGTGTATTACATAGGTATTGTGCTTTAATTTACATTGAAACATATAAAAAGAAGATGTTTTTAAATAAATGATTATTTAGTCAACGAGCTTTAGCAGAAGTCACTGAAATGATACGTACTAGTCATCTTGTTCATAAAGGATTAGTAAACATAGAACCTAGTGTTTATTTAGAAACTTCAGAATTGAATGACATGAACTTTGGGAATAAAATTGCATTGTTAAGTGGAGATTACTTATTAGCTAATTCTTGTGCTGAATTAGCAAATCTTCGTAATCAAGATGTATGTATAAACATTATTAATATGTTGGTATAAGTTTGTTCATATTTTATCGTACTTATGTTTAGATTGTAGAATTGATGTCAAGTGCAGTAAGAGATTTGGCAGAAGCAGAATTTATAGGACGTAGGGATAATCAGAACAATCCTTTACCTTCTATACCACCTGAAGACCGAACAGATTATGCTGTGAATGAATGGACTCTCCGAAATGTATTAAGTGCTGGTGCCTTGTTAGGAAAATCTTGTAAAGGTACACTGAAATTAGCTGGGCACAACAATGAAATACAAGAACAAGGCTATAAATTCGGCAAACATTTAGCATTAGCTTGGCAAGCTTGTTTGGATTTAGGTCCATTTGTTACAAAAGATCAAGCTGTAACATTCAATTTGTGTTCTGCACCAATTATGTTTCATATTGAACATGACCCATCGATTTTGGCAGAAATCGATAAAGGTTTAGAATCTGTAAATAATGTAGATTATAATAAGGTATGTTCACTATTAATATTAAATAACAAAGTTCGTAACTTTAGAATTTACTGTAACCTGTATACATAGGTTCACAAGATTGTCATGATGGGACCTGGAATTGAATTAACTAAACAATTACAAAAGAGACATTCACAAAGGGCAATGGAAGTTTTAGGTGTATTTGAAAAAAGTGATGCAAGAACAGCATTATACAATATTATAGCAGCTATGGGAGATTTCTGAATAATGATATTCATAAAAAGATAATACATTGTTGATATGATTGCCCAAAAATCAGTTTAAGGACTCCGTCCTATATTAAGTTTCTCATTCTAAAGTATATCATGTGTAACTATAATAAAAGTTACATAATCCATGTATAATATAAAAAAATATTAAATTAATAATTTATATCTTGTTATATACAAGTAACAAAACAAGTTGTACTCATTTATAAATATAGATTGTTAATAACATGACAAAATTGATACATTTTATAATAAACGATATTTATAAATTTCATACTATCTCTGTGTCTTACAATATTTTCTAAAGATTTTCAAAAAATACAATAATAAAATGTATTCTCAAGCGACAGAAAAATTCAGATCAAAATCCCTAGATTCCTAGTTAATTTTAAGTAAAGAGTATATGAAGTGTCAATCATTATCAGTGCGGTATAGTAGTCGTGCGTGTAAACATGTCACGAACAGGCACGAAACTTGATTCAAAAAAAGTTGTAAGTACAAGTTAAAATCGTACTATCGATTTCTACAAAATATGTACATTATAAATTGTTAAATTGTTTTAAATTATCAAGTAATTATCAAAAATATGTATTAAATTATAAGTAAGGTTATAGATATAATTTGATATTCACTTTGTCATTTTAATGTATTATAAAAGTTTTTAGTGTATTATTCGTATTTATATGTGATTATAAATTCCAGAATTCTGAGTTATTCACATTGACATATGGTGCACTGGTGGCCCAATTACTAAAGGATTATGAAAATGTGGAAGATGTCAATAAGCAGTTGGAAAGGATGGGCTACAATATGGGAATTCGCTTGATAGAAGACTTTTTAGCACGTACTGGATCTGGTCGGTGTTATGATTTTCGAGATACTGCCGAGAAAATACAGACAGGCTTTAAAATATTTTTGGGCATAACACCAACAATTTCCAATTGGAGTGCAGCTGGCGATGAATTCTCTTTATGTTTTGAAGCAAATCCGTTAACAGAATTTGTTGAATTACCAGACCATTGTTTAAATTTAAAGTACTGTAACATACTGATTGGGATATTAAGAGGAGCTTGTGAAATGGTACAAATGGAAATTGCTTGCTGGTTTGTACAGGACCAACTTAAAAATGATAATATAACTGAATTACGTGTAAAATTTATTAAACGATTAGAAGATGCTATTCCAGCAGGTGAAGATTAAATAAGTTTCTTGTTAGAGGTACATATAATTCCAAGACAAAAATACAATATATAGAATTATAATTCTCATAGACATTTTGATGTTTATGTTTTATTACAATATTTATTAATAATATTAGTTTATTAATTATTTTTATAATTATTAGTTATAACAGTGTATTTACTGAATAAAGTAAAAATATTTAATTTGTACTAAGAAATGTATATAACAATTTGTACAGAATAATGTATTTTTCAAAATACATTGCATATATGGAGATGTTATTTGACTACTTCTTTAAAATATTGTTTGAGGTTATGTATCCCTTCTAGATGCGTATTCTTTGTTCGACAAGAAAGTATGAGCCTCGAAATATAAGTTTTCGATTGTGTCGAATGATTGTGATTGGTTTGCAAACAAGAGTAACTCGCATGCATTATAGTGGTGTAAAATACGCTAAACTCAATATACTCTCTCGTTGAACGGAAAATATTTGAATTCATGTAAGAATTTCAGTCACTAAACAAATGTGTCAATGACAAATTTTTTATCACATTTTCAGCTGCGCGAAAAAGGTATTTTATATACCTTGCTAAATATTCACACTTTTTTTTTGTTTTTATATATATATGTATATTTATTTATTTTCTGTATATCGATAACCTCTAAGTTTTTATTTAAAAGTCAAAATTATATACACAAATTTTGTGTTTTTTGTTTACCTAGTTATATAATTGTATATTAACAAATTTTATTTATTGCCGTTGTTAGTACTTATCAGATTAGTCATGAAGAAAGGATATTAAAAGTTATGTTTCTTTCATAGGTAATGGAAGTGAGGTGTAAGTATTGTAGAAAGAATCTTTTTAATGGCTCAGTAAAATTATTAACTTCACATGGCGAAATAAAAAAGGATCTTATGCATGGAGGGTGTGGAATAAATAATCCAGAACCATGTTCATTTATATCAGAGGACAATATGCCAGAATGGATTGCAGATGCTGTAAATAAAGTAAATATGTTGTGAACATTTATAATCATTTTGATAATCCAATTATTTTATTTATAAACATTGTATGTTATGTGTTTCATACAGTATAACATGTAAATATTTGCAGGAATCTTGGACAAAAGGTAGACTCCATTGTTTACAGTGTAATAATCGTATAGGTTCATTCAATTTTATAAATGTATTAAAATGTGATTGCAATGAGTTTGTAACACATCCTATTAGGATAATTAATAACAAAGTTGATATTTTATATAATATTAAATAAAACAGGTTTATTATTTAAACCTAAAGATGAAACATTTATATTTACAATTACAGTAGGAGTATTTTTAAACTTCTATATTAAATATTTATATAAGCATCTATACACATCTACTGTAATATTTATGATGTAATATAATATGTAAATATATACCAAATCTTACTAAGTAATAAGTTATAAGTTGCATGTAAATGAGATGCTGTGAGTAAGATGTAAGTATAGATATTAAAATAAGCACCAATAGGGATATGTACAATATATGTAAACATAATAACAAATTGCACTAGACAATAAACCAGTACTAGTAATAACAATAAGAATAATCTTTATTGCATGTTTAAATGTAGGTTACTTTACCAGCAAGTAATATTTATTTTACATGTATACATAGCAGTTAAATATTTTTTAATGAATATGTACATATACACAGTCGCGCACATTCAATATAAAAATTGATTGTGTACATTTTATATACTCAACAATTGTTGCTTTATACTACAATTATTAAATTATATACGCAGAATACTTAATACATGAATATATTTACAATTAATCATTAATGCATAGCATTAAAACTGACTTAAGTTAATTGTTATGAATTCATAACAAATGAAAACAAAAGTTAGACCATGTAACAGTGTTGAATACAAATTTTTAAATTTATACTTCCTACATTTAGCATACTCTGTTTTAAATAAATTTATTGTTTGTTTATTGAATGTATATTTCAATTTTTAATATACCTTTTATAAAATATATAATTTTATTACATTTAACATAATGTAAACAACATAACAATACTAAAATTGTGTACATAATATCAGCAAACAACATTATTAATATACTATCAAACAAAATATCAAATATAGACAATATTAACAGGTACTATTTTTTCTTTCATAAAATTTTTATTAATTGTATCAACAGTAAATTTATGTAACGTGAAAAATAATTACACATAATTTATATTAAATTAAGTTATAGTAATTTAATATTTACTATTTTTTGAAAATGAAATATTTCCCATAATCAATATAAACTGATTTTAAAATTCCATTGCTAGTATTAAAAACAAAAACTTTTATTGAAAATTATATCAAAATGATTTGTGCAACAATGTAATTGCAGTAGTTTTTGTTGCATTGGATTTTTCAATAATAATGGTTGCTACAGATCACAAAATTATTTATTACAAAATTAAAATTATAAATTGAGCATTTACGTTCTGGATAAACCTAACATTATTCTTCATTATAAACTATGAATATTTCATATATTTAAATTAATAATTTTTATGAATAAAGATAAGGGATTTGTTATCAAAGCTGCATTTATCTGCCTAATTTGGCATTTGATCTGTTTAAAATTAAAATAAATCATATAAGGAAATAATGTTGAGAACATTTCATAAGGAAGACAAGATTAATTTAAAGAATTAAATCGTATAATAGAATATCAATATTAAATTATAGTATCATTTTAAATTGTAATTTCTCTGAGCTATTTAGTCAACATAATTGTAATCAGAAAGTTCATAAAAATCATAAAAAAAAATATCATATAGATAACTCAAAACTTTAAACAAAAAAGTTAACTGTAAAATTAGAACACAATTGATTTGGATCAAAGGCACATACGGTTTACTAAGACATATGTTTGGAAATATTTTAAATATATGCTTGGACAATATGAGAGCTAATTGATTCATTGTTCATATAGTATTGAAGCTACGCGAATAGAAATGGTCAGTATTGTTCTCTATAAATATTTCCAATTAGAGTGTAATGAAAATATAATATAAAGTTTATGAAAAAACAATGAATATAACTTACATTAATACTGGATCAACAAATTTCAAATATGAAATAGTCTTCTACCGATTCCAGTACATTGTTCATTATTAATATATCTTTTCTTCAAATGTCTTAATGATGCCATTAGTTCATAACATGTTAGGATCTAGTAAAATTTAGCTGCTACAATTGGAATATTTCATCTTGTTCTTTTTGAAGTCTCTGTAATGATGTTTTCACTTTTCTACCCTGAGTCATAACTACAGCAGTTGGGAAGTTATGCATATCATTAGAAGATGACGATCTTAATGGTTCTGATGTAGACGGTGCTGTGTATATATTTGAAGTTACAGGAAGTGAATTACGCAATTTAGCAGATGCTCTACGTTGCTGTATATAGAGGTCATTGTCATCTGTGCAAAATCTGAAGTATAATTTATGAATAAATTCATGTACATGTCATAATAAAAAGTATACAATATAATTAATTAGTGATAAATAACTTACTCACTATTCCCCTGAGTACGCTTTACTTCTCTTTTAACACTAGCTATAGAACAATCCATTTTAGCTAAGAAGTCATTAACTGAATTATCGTCATCTATAGATGATGCTATTGAAGATGGACTAGACACCTAAAAATTATATTTAAAAATGATATAATATTAAGTGCTAATTCTGTACTTATTTACTTTAAAAAATGCAATTACATTTTGAATTCCACTATGTTCAGTTTCGTTAGTATTGTCCACTGGTAATGATAATGGGCTTTCTGGCGTAACAGGAATAAGTAAATGTTCTCTTAAGAATAAACTATCAGAAGCCCATAATCTGTTAACTCTTCTAATTTGTTCAGTCTACAAAAGACATAAAATAAAAAACTTATAACACTTATTACCTATCATAGCTTTTTGTCTATTAAATAACAATGTATATAAAGTAAAATAATAAATTCATACTGTGACTCCATATTTTAAAGCAATTCCTTGAAGAGTATCAGTTGCTGATACAGTATGTTTTATTAAATTTTCAGTTCGTGTAACATGCTTGGCTGTACTACCATACTTTTTCAATGCTTTTCCACTAGCTCTTATACACATTCGTTCTTCCATTTCTCTCGCGCCATTTCGTTCCATTCTTAATTTTTAAACTAATATTGGCGCTTAAGGAGCGCGATAAACATATTAGAAATTTTTGATATTTACAATAAAAAATCGTAGTTATACTTTAAACAACATAATCACATAACCTATTTAACAAAACTTAGCTCACATGTTATTAATATGTTATTGGCAAAAGTAATATTTATTATTTTTTTGTAAAGTATTATCATGCACTTTACCAAAATGTAAGAAATGAATAGGGTGTGAACTGTAGTTTGATTAGCAAATTGTAATAATTTTTAACTTGTAATTATATTTAAAATCATCAAAAGACATGCATTTTACTACAATGCATTGTTTTTTATAGCAAATATATTTTATAATCTCAATTTTAGTCACGATAAATAATACTCGCTATGTTAGAACAGTTGCACTGCGAATATCCACTCAGCTGATCAACGTGATAGTAATTTATAGATGTTCCTTTAACCTGAATGATAGTTTTGCTTCATTCTGATTGGATATGCAAAGGGCGTTACGTATACAAACAAAGTTACTGATATCTCAAATAAAGTCAGTTTGAAGTAAATTAGCAATATCAATGTGTTAAACAGAATACCAAATTCTAGATATACTATTCCGTTAATTGCGTTACATAAGTAGTTTGACTGTAAAAATACAGTCGCGTTTATATATACATATATAAACATAATGTTATGAATTTACTTATTTTATTAATTTTATTTGTAAGTTTACTTATGAAATACAATAATTTTTTAGATTTACCATTATTTTATAACTATAACTAGGGATATTGAAATCTAGAAACTAAGAAATATAATGTCTCGACAGAATACATAAATACACATGTTTCATTTTTATAAAATAAATTAAAATAAGGTGTAATAATAATAAGTAAAGGCTCGGTAGATGGTCCTGGGCGGGTCGCAGATCGAAAAATGGAGGAATGGGTCACATAAGCGAAAGTTCTTTCATGCACCTCTTGACAAAGTCCTACTGCCGGTGCTGTGACTTACAAATTATACATTTTTTGATTAAAAAATTTGTATATTAAACATATATAAATTTGATTATTTTAATATTTTTAAATTCAAAAGTTTACGTTCAACGAGGTATTTGTGATTATGTTAGTCAATTAAGAGAAACGTGATATCAAAACCTTTGAAATTGCGGCAATTTCCGCGGATCTACATACGTCACGCTGACAGGTAGCGCCACTTTACATACGCGGAATCTATGTGAAGAACTCGCTCGCTGGGCCTCATAAATGGGTACCATAGCGAGATTAGTACTGTACACACATATACACATATATTTTAGAGATATATACATATATAAATTTGATGAAGGAAAAATAATAGAAATGGAATTGAATTTTAATAAAAACATATTCATTATAGTACGTTACACAGTTCATCTATTTTTAAATACAATATATTACAGAGAAACACACAGTTATAATTTACTGTTATTAATATTATGTCTCTTACATTATAATTAACTTACGATTATTATTATTATTGTTGTTGCTTTTCTTGTTACTATATGCTAACCTCGACAAATACATAAGGTAGCACAAAAATCATATAATGGGAGACTAATTGATATAGGACAACTTTATCCTTGAGTAGTATGTACTAATTTCCAGTAGCTGTGCAACAGTAACTGTAATATTGGTAATAAATAGTTAACATAGGGATAAATATTATGCTACTGCGGCAGTGTGCTTCCTGGATTTTGGATAAGGGGTATTTCTTTATCTAATAATCAGAACTATATCAACTAATATGCTACAAGACAAACCCCTTCCGCTATCCCAATTAATGTACTTACTTAATGAAGATCTCATCAATAAGCAGTATTTATATTTAAAATCACTGTCTTAAGAAATTGACGCGGACAAGGGTTATGTGCAAATTTCGTTTGTATAAGAGGTAATTTATACGTCTGATTTGATTTTTTTTCTACAATGGTATTCCAAATGTTAGAGCAATATAAATTACAACGAAATTGGAAGTGTGACACGTACAAGTAAAACTATCTAGAAAGAATGAGTACAAAATCTGTTCCGTCTGATGTATGTTGATAGTAGAAATGCGTATCTTAATTTACATCTCACACATACACTTTAGCAAGAGCATCAGCTCCCGCACTTGCTATAAAAGGTCGCGAAGGATGAAATGCTACATCTAAAATACTTTCGTCAAACTTCTTACGATGTGCTGTTATTTCTTGAATACAAGTCTTATTATCCATATTCCATAATCTTATACTGCAATCATGACCTGAAAATAAAACATTGGTAGTCGTATGATTTATAGTATATATATACTTATTTTTTATCTTTCTTTAAAATGTTTTATTATTACTTACTTCCTGAAAGTAAATATAAACCGTGAGGATCTACTGCAAGACTAGTAACGGCGTCCAAATGAGCAACCATGGCATGGGCAAGTGTAGCTGATCGATGGTCATAAAATCGAATGTGTCGATCTTCATGTGCTGCGACAACAAGTGGTAATGTAGGATGCGCCACGACACGATTTACTCCCTTCGTTTCATTAGCCTCAAGACGAGCTACGCTTTCACCCGTTTCTGTATCAAATACCACACAAGCTCCTTCGTAAGCTACAACTAGTTTATGCGACTCGTCTCTAATAAAATCTACCGACGTCGGTATGCCATCTGTAAAAACACAAGAACATTTTGTTAATAGTTAATTCTATAAAATAAACATTGTCCGTCAATAAAATATAATACGTGTATATATAAGCAAAATTTAAGTATAACGCACGCACCTTGTTCAGAAACATATGTATGAAGTAGTGGTGATTGACTTTCTGGGCTCCACAATTTTACAGTACCATCAGCACTAAGTGATAATAATTGCAATCGGGATTCACACATACTTAAATCCCAAACTGCATTTGTGTGTCCTTTTAATCCTTTCTGAAGGACACTTGGTTCATAAGTTTCATACGGATCTACGTTAGCTGATGGAAGTGCCCAACAGCAAATCTTACCATCTAAATCACCACTATAGCAGTGACTGCTTCCATACATAGTTAAACACAATACAGGACTTCTATGAGATCTGAATGTATATAATGGTTCTACATCTAATGAAGCTGATCTGAAATCATAAAAATAATATAAATAAATTCTGATACAAAATGATTTAATAGGCTATAAATTTCTGAACTTAAATAACCTACTTTTTTGCTGGTAAAGTCTTCTGAAGATTCCATAACTTTAGCGTATGATCATCACTTGCAGTTATTAAAACAGGTTCAGTGGGATGGAAGACAAGAGCTCGAACAGCATCAAAATGGGAACGCAATGTATATTTTGCAACCCACGTTTTTCTTAAGGTTTCCTTAGCAGTAGCTACCATCTATGTAAAAACACAGATATTTAAAATATTTATTGTATAAACTTTAATATTATCTAGAGTCAAATTTCGGAAGTGTAAAAGTTATTTTATATCTAAATGATTTTAGGATTTTCCGATCAAATCATTCATATATGATGATTTAACGGATCAGGTAAATTGGCTACAAACATGAGGATCTGTACAACCTTAATTTTTTACAGATGTCTAGATATATAAGTAGCAATATTCAATAACAAAACTCACATCATATGATGTTTCTGCCTCATTGTTAACACACAACTGCTCTAGTTCACCCAATTCCAATGCAGAATCACCTTCTTTATTTGGACGCTTTGGATCTGATTGTAAACCTCTATGAATTGCATCTGCAAATTCATTAATTGTTGGAAGTACTATCAAAATATGTACAAGATTAAAATATGTTGATGAAATTATAAATATGCTTAATACTAACTCCATTCAGATGAATCTATCTCCAAATGAATGGAACCTGGTGGTGATTCTTCTATTTCTGTGAGAAGATTTAATTCATTTAATACTTCTTCAGCTTCTGCATCCACATCTTCTGTTAAAAGAATAGATGGCTAAAAATAAAAATTTAAAAAGAAAGGTGTATTATTTACCAGGAAGAATTAAGCAACTGAATTTATTATACAAGAAAAAAATGTTTGTTACTTTATTTGGTTTAGGGTCCATATTTGTATCAAAAGTGTCATCTTCTACATCTCCCTCTTCTTCTTCCATATCCATATCCGTATGAGCCAAAAATTCAAAATTTGCCATTACAGCTGCTTCTGTATCTAATATTATTGCTTCAGCTATAGAAGATGGTTGCTGCCAGTATAAAAACATTGCAGTATAAAGAATATGTCACTGTTGCCATATATTAACTAAATTAATATTGCTTAGTTCTACTATATTTATGTAATGAATGTGTAAAAATAAAACAATAAATTTATAAGAATAAAACCAACATACAAAAAATAAAAAAAATAAAACAAATGAACTCAAATAAGCTTATTTACCTCTACCTTTTTTCCTGGAATTCTACGAACACTATTTTCATTTGTTTGCTTATTTGATGGTTCATTGCCATTTAATGCAGGAGTATTCAAATCTTCTGAATCTGTATTATTGTTCAAACCAAGTAATGATCTAACTCTGTTTGATCGTACATCTATTATTGTATCGGTATAACCAATTTCTTGTAAATATCTAAGACAAAATTTGTAAATTGTCTTAAAAACAATTAACATAGCATCTATCAGTCATATTGATTATATTATATACATTTCCACAATGATATGAAAATTTATATAATTTATATTTTACATACTGTCTTAAAATTTGACGCCCTTGTCTCCAACTGATGTTGCTAACAGATGTAAATGGAGCTTCACCATCTCCACCACCTCCAACATCAGAATTAGCACAAGTACTACTACCTTCCTCATAAATAGGAGGTTTTACATCTCCTGGTATTACCAAATCAGTGCCATATTTTAATTTATGATACCTTGCTCTATAAGAATAACAATAATAATATACCTATACTCAACAAAAGTAGTTATTATTTCTGTAAATATAGTCACAAAAATCTTACCGTTCTTGTTTAAGTGCATATTCTAACATTTTTATTCTTCTTACTAAGTCATTTTTTAATTTTTCTTGACCTTTCCTTTCCCCTTGTAAAAAAGCTATCCTAGCCTATATAAAAAAAAGTTAAATTTACTCCTTTAATAAATTATTGTAAAAGAAATTGTTTTTCTGCAATGTAATTTAAATATATGCTTTTAAAGTTCCTATTACTGAATACAATATTAATCGAAGTACACATCATAAGCTTCTATGTAACATTTTATGTTGCTACTGAATATGTAAACAATTAAAATAATTTTCACTCTTCAATAACTTAAATATGAAGCGCATAATAATTACAAATATTGGCTATATAATCTTTGTCTATTAATTTAATCAAAATATAATAGTTTTTGCACAATAATACATTGACATTTTCTAAAGTTTAAAATACAAGATCATAGTACTGAGAATATTCTGACAAAACACACATTAAATTAAGTTATGATAATTTTACAAATTAAACATATTTACAAATTACACTGTAATATTTTCTACATCTTTAAATGTCTTAATGATGTTCTTGTCACATGACAGATGAAGTGACAATAGGAAGAAGGTACCTTAAAGAAAGATACATTGCTAAATATTGGAGATTTTTTGAACAAATCAAATTTATACCTGAAATTCTGCTCTATCGAGTTCCCACTGCGATCTTTCAAGTTCAAAGCGAGCCCATTCATGCTGAATAAAATGTAGAACGCCAGGCATAGAGTATTGTGGTCTTTCGTCCTTAGCATCGCCATTACTACCGTTGTCATTGCCCTGATGTTTATTAGTCAATGAAACATTTGAACCACTAGATAACTGTCCATTATGATTTTGAGATGCAGAACTGGAGTTGTCCTCCATCGTGGAACCACAAAACTGGCTCGGTACCTTCATTTCATGACACGGCAGCCATTACAACAACTTTTCTTTCCTCTGGAGCCCAAAGAGTGCTCTCCCGTCGGATAATGTATTTCGATCGAGTTTGCAAAAAGAAGTAATTAATACGCATGCGGACACGTTATGATTTCAATCAAATCGAGATATATTTTAAAGAAAATTGTACAATTCGGCGCGTGTTTATTAGGATTTCGTTAATTATTCAACTCTTCCGAAATAACAAACAAATATCTTCTTCTCCGCACATCTTTACAATTATACTTTCTTCCACCATTCTTGTATACTCTGTTCCACGAGAAATTGCATGAACTAGGCAACCAGATTCCCTTCTTTCTGCGCATCTCCTCTGTTCAATTCTACTTACTTTATAATCTATGGTAATACACATGCGCTCTTGATGAAGATCATGTCAACGACAGTATATACCTAATGGACAAAAAGTTTAATGACATCTAATTCTTGTTCATCACAGTACTTTGTTTATTAAGCAAAAGACGGTTTTTACGATATTTATACATTTTATGATTGTATTGTAAAACTTGAGTACAAATTTTTTTCACCTTGTACACTTATCATACTATTACCGGTTTTCCATGTTTGTTTTTCTCCACCATATATATGAACATTAAGTCAGAAACAATTTCTAAAGAGGTATCACTTTTACGATCATGAATTTTCCTGTTGCGCAAAGCGTACGTCATGTAGTTAAATTATTCTTTCGATAAATGAAGTATATATTATTTGTTCAACGAGAAATCATACCTATCATCAAATGATTTTTCGTTTATACTGTGCATGTTGTCTCTGACTGGTTCAAATTTCCTTCGTAATCAAGAACAATGCGCATGCGTATGATGCCAAATGCATATACCCCGTAATTTTTTATTTTGTATGCTCTATACATTAGGCATTACTATTGCCATATATACAGATTTAGGATTTAGAAATGTAGGAATTTAGGAATTTGAGAATTTGATGATACTCAAATGTAGACAGCAAGTCATCACTATATCATTACTTCATTTGCCTGTTCATATACTTTTGTCCACCGTGTATATCGTCGGTGGAGTAGAAAACGCAAGGTAGGTGGGGCAGCATCAACTGGTGCGAAGTTTACTGAAGTTAGCCACGTTGCACGAATTCAATATAATTCGTCGTTTAACGTACAATAAAATACATAAAAATTGACTACACTTCGTGAAAGATTACATTTTCAAGACGAATTTTCATTTATACTGCGCATGTTGGTTCTACGCTGCTTTCTACGCCTTTTGACACTTATATCGAGATCGCGTATAAACAGTGTTCCTTTATTTAGTATTTTTCGCATCATTATTTGTTTTCGTTATTCATATATTTCTATTTGCCGCATATATGATCATAAAGTGACAAGAAGACGATAGAGGGATATCACATTAGCGATAAAAACCGTTTTGAGCTTGTCAAATGCGTAAAGTATACATGCTTTCTCATACAATAAAGTGTATATTTTATGACTCATAATGGGTGTGTATGATTACCGATCGTATTTTTAATTTGTTAAATCTATCGATTATATTTTTCAATTTGAAAACTGCCTAGTATTTTTTCATTATTGTTACAATTAAGAGCTCTATTAGAAATTTATATAAAACGTGTAAAAAATATTTAACAGTAGTACTGTATATTAATCTATCTTCTACATTGACTGATAATATTAACTATTTTTAACATTACTTTGCAACAATAATCGTCATAGTTGTGAATCTAATTATTCTAAGTATATGACAATTTATGTAAAATTGTATCTTAAATAATACAGAAAATTTCTAATATAATACCGGTTTATAAATAACATATTTAATCAATATACTTCATACATTCTATGTATGCATCATACTCTGTGTATTATACATATAAAGTTTTATACTGCACAATAAATATATTATTTTTAGTTTTTATACAAGAAAGCTAATTTCGTGCGAAAAAATACAATTGATTTGCGTAAAAGTAGTAGTATATGCGTATGTTATTTACTTTTCTTAAAATTAGAACTATAATGAAGTCCTTTGTTAAGCGACGTCCAGTGAGATTGAAATTCTTAGTGCTATGTTTTGTATTCCATTTTGAGGGTTCGTTTCAAAACACATATACAACAGTGATGGTTAGTGCCCGTGGTGTCCACTGAACAACTCACAAGCACTAATGTTTATGGTGCGTGTAATGATTTAGTGTAGAACACAAGAAACAATACCGAACTTTCCTTCACATTCTTTGTAATCATACAAGTATAATGTCTATAGATTTCTACATACTATTATGATGTATGTGTCGGTTAAATTAAAAGTGTTACCATCGATTATCGATAAACTATCGATATCTTATAAGCATTTAACAATATATCGATTACGACTATTAGTAGTGACTGACATAAAATGCAATGTGTAATTTTATTAATTATATCTATTTATTCTTGTTTAAATTTCAAACTTAACCTAACCTGATAGATGACTTTATTATTTAAACGTAATAGGTTAGGTTAAGGTACGTTAGAGATTAGGTTAGGTTTTATCATTCAAATCCATTTATTGCACTTCCATCATTCATTTGTTTTATTGTTATTTAATGCCGTAATCGGTATATTGAATTATCGATAACATTCTGACACTATCGATCGAAAGTTTTTTCCTTCAGCAAGTTCCCTTATGTGTAAATTTTTACCTACCCTAATGCTGACACTTTGCGAAGTTGTACGGACTTGACCAAAGTTTCAAGTTCCTTATTATTCTTAAACTACTATTTCAGTAGATGTATTCCGACTTCTTAAGTGTTGCCCCGGGCCCAACACCCGGGCAAGTATAATTAAATAAACACATCGGAGCTCAGAACGACTGTTTATGGTTCACTGTAGGCATCTTACGTGAATCTAGTATGCTTCTAAAAACATGCAGTCTGGGGATAGGCATATACGCGTCATCAGGATCAACGGTTTATGTCATAAGGGTTAGATTTACGACTTTCGGTCATCATGAGTTAATTAACCGAGCAAAAACTGTGATGGCAGGTAATATTATTTGAGATTGAATTGTTGAATCAGTTTTTGATAAGGGTTAACTGCTATTACTGTCTGGGCCCTACAAATCCTAGTAGCTGCTATGATTACAGTTATAGACTGAAAGTCGTAAAACATTGTAATTCCCTTAATCGGTTAAGCATTAACCGATTTTGATCAAATTTTCAACATGTATATAGATCTAGAAAATCTTGGATCCTGTTATTACTTTTTTATTTATGATTTCCTGCTCTACAATATGTAACTACAGAAATAAATATATTATAACGAATTAAACGTGTTTAATGTATACATTACATTCCACTTTCATATACATTGATCTAACTATAAAAAAGTATATGTACAACTTTCACAATTAAGTTAATAGAAAGTTCACCAAATAAATGATTGCTATATGTATTATTAGTGTACAGTTTACTGCTAGTATTTTCTATGAAAAGTATTGTATCCAGATGAAAGAAATAGTATTGATATATATTCCTGATTTAATTTTATTTGATTAATTTTGTATATGTGAACTTAATATTGTTAATATAATTTTACGATAGTACATCCGTAATGTACATAAGTTTTAATCTAATAAATGTAATGAAAATGATTAAACACTGATATATTATTTTGCAATTAAATACAGTTCCACAAAATTGTGAATCTTAACCTCAAGTTCAGTAGTGATAGTATATTAGATTCTATCTTATTCTAATCTTTTCTGAAACGTTATATAACGAAATGTTTATCCTAACCTGCAGTTTGTTGGGAAGCGATAGGTTTCAGATCCTTAATAACAGTTTTTAAGAGATATGATATGGTTATGATGATATGCAAAGAAAGTATATAAATAATTCTGAACAGAATAAATCCTTAATATTTAGAGCACATATCACGAGTATCGCGTCATCAGTTTTAGATATCTAAGTGTATTCCTGTAGTATTTTGATTTTTATACAAAAGTATTTTGGATACTTTAGATCCATTATACCTACGTTCCCGAAGTATTTTACACCAGAGCGCATGCGTCAGAAAAACTTCAGATGTAAATTACACTATTTGTGTAGGTCAATAGTTTTTTTAGAGACATTTTCCCAATCAAACTTATATCTTATAAATTACCAATTTAATACACATTTCAAGTATAAACCACTCGAAAATATACTAGATGTAATCCAAACTCTGAGTTTGAATGCAGTGCATATACTAACGGTTACGAATAAATGTGGCAACATTGCTTGTCGCTTGTTTAGGTTGCGGTGTTGCGGCTACTCGATGAACGAGTATCACAGTGTATCTTCGTTTCGGGCATTTATTGTAAATATAACGTATTTTTGTAACACAAAAAGCATATACATCATTGATTGAAGACAACAACATTGTAACACAACGTAAGTTCATCATTGGTATGCACACTTACATGTCAAAATTTGAGAGTGGGTTAATTTCATTTTTTGTTCTAAATTATTGTATGATTGGAAGTATTAAATATATTTGTCCAAAATCGAGAGATAGAATGATGTCAAAAAACAATAATAATGAGTTCTATCAAGAATCACATTGACAATTTGACACTTTATTAGTTTTGGGAAATTGAAAGTATTCTTATCAAATTTGCACACATCCTGTTTTGATTTTTTATAAAACAGTAATAATATTTAAATTATAATTTCATATCATTTACTTCATGTGTAAGAATATGGGCCTCAGGTCCCAAACATAAAGACATTGTAGATGTCATACTATATACAATACGACTAGCTGCCATTTTATATAGCGTAGGCACGCCATTTTGTTGTTCCGATGTACAAAATGAAAGCTAACAATTTCTATCTTTGTACTGAAATATAACTTAGTATTGATACTTATGAGTTTATCAAAACAATTAACCTTTCAAAGGATTTGTGATTTTTGATTTTTATTTCGAAAAAATCATTCTGTTATGAAATGGTACGATATTTTCTTATCTATTATTCGTAAATAATATTGTTTATTTTGTCATTACATTATATAATTATAATATTTCTTTTACACGAAATATTGTTAGAGTGTTATGTACACTGGAACAGTAATATTAAAAAGCTTGAGAATTACATTATACAATTGTATAACGAGTTTTTTTTAGTATTGTACTAATAATAACTTAGGAATTAATCACTATTACGTAGTTACTATACTTTTCAAAAAATATATGCATATAATTGATTTGAATAACATATTAATATGAACTGAAAAAATAATTTAATTTTTTGATAAACGGTTTTATTTAATGAATAACAAAAATTTTGAAACAAAAATAATACAATTACAAATAAACAAATCAAGAAGTCAAATTTTGTCATACGATATTAAACAACCATGTATTATTGTATAAAAAATTATTTTGAAAAATATAGTTTTTTTAATTGAATTTCGGTAACTTGGCCTTTAACAAAAACATTTTTATTGTCATTAATTTATGACTCAATTAGTGCATGAAAACAAAAATCATAGACATATGACTATTAGAACAACCAGTTTCTTAAATTCTACATAGATCCATAAAATCAATCGTCTGGTGAGTTGTGAAAGTATTACGGTTCTCCCACTCGATGAATTCAACGTTGTATTACCAGTATGACGCATGTTGACCTCGTCGCTGGGCAGAAAAGTCCAAGGAGTGGGGTTATGTATCAATGATCTAATACAGCAATATTTAAAAGTTGTGTAAATTTCAACAAAATTTTGACAAATCTGATGTATAGTTGATATAAAATTAAAAATTAAAAATCAAATGTTAAATTATTTTTTTTAATTTTAATATATATATACATATGTTATTATATAAGTACATTAGCATATCAATGCAAATTTATTGATTTGTATTAACATTATAAATTTGTTTTCGTTTCTTTCTTTTAAAAATTAAATTAATAATACAAAAGTAATAATGAAAATGTGAAGTAGTCTTAAGTAGTAGAAATACAAGGACGGAGTGGGGGATAATTAAGTATTAACATTTTTTAAGTGTTAATTATTTTTGTAACTTAAAAGTTAAGAGTAAAACTTTAAAATAAAATTTTACATTCTATATGGATATTTTTAATGTAGAGATTTTATTTATTGATTTTTGTATCTATCATATTGTCAAGAATTGGCTTTGTTCGGAGTCAAATTCTGACGCCATATTGGACGACTTCGTGTATAATCGTTGAATTTCGTTAGCACACATGTCGGGGCCTATGTTCAGCAGTCTTCGCTCAATAGACAAGCTGGTCGAGAAGCCCGCCTTTCTGAACATAAATTTTTCGTAATTTAAATAACATCTACTACTGCTAAAATATTTTAGCATGGTTATCAATTAGAACTATTCGTGCTGTGTATATTTGTTCATTCTCTTTACACAAGTAACATTCTTTATTTTGATCGGTTTTAAAATGCTGACGGTGACGTTGAAGTACGAATTGTTTACTACTTTATTGGATAAAACAATTTTTTAATTATTATTAATATAAAAATTGATGTTGATTCTTTCAATTGTTTTAAATAATAACAAATTTTTGGGATAATACAATATATATTGGTTATTTGAAATATAACGGGTGTTGGAAATACAATTTCGATCCGCCATTTTTGTTAGTTGAGTACTTATGGGCCAGGGACGACTTATGTTAGCGCGTCATCAAAGGGCCCATATCCTCCTACCTCCCATATTTATTAAAAAGAAATTATAATCATTTATTGTAATATATTGAAATGAAAGACATATTCAGTATTAATCTTCATTTTATGTATGTGCTGTATGATAACAATAGTATAATTAACTGTAATATATCAAGTGGAAAATATTAATCTAAAGGAATTATGGGATTTTTAATTTTATACTCTTGATTTTGGAAAGTTATGATCGATTTCTCAACCGTGTTGTGATAGTTTTATCGAAAATGAAAATTCAAATAAAACTTATCCAACATTACATATATTACAGTGTTTTAAACTTTATTTGGTATTTTACTTAAACAAATACATTTATTTTATTTTATCAGTGAAAAGATTTTATGTAATAATGTTTAATGTTAAGTTATGTTTGTAAAATTATAATAATAAAAATTTGTTACAATAAAAGTAAACAATATTTTGAAACATTCAATAAAACTGATAGTTTTTATAGTGTTTTTGTTTATATTCGTTTTAATGTAATATTACATATTAAATAATTATACATATATACAATGTGTTTTAATTACTCTAACTACATAATTAAATAAATATGAATATATAAAGGTATTTGCTCTTTATATATTTATTATGTTATAGACAAATTTTATAGATGTAGGAAGTTGATATATTATAGTTTAAAAAAAGAAATAGATTTCAAATATAATCATTATTTACAGGTTTAAAAAAACAGTAAATGAGTAACTTGTGACATTATCTTAAGTATTTCATTCTTCTGATAATGGAAACTTTAAGAAATGATACTGTACATACTCCTGATTCCATAAGTTCCTTGTCTTGTATCAACACACATATTAATGAATTATCAAAAGAAAAAGAAGAGGAGCTTTTATATGGTGCTGGTGATGATGGAGATGAAGAGGATGCACTTTCCGATGATAGTATACGTCTGAGATTATCTGATGATGATGAAATTGAATCAGAAAATGTTTTAGCAGATGTTCTAGATAATCAACAAAATAAATTACAAGATTGTAATATTGGTAAGTTTATATATAAGCATTATGAAATAAAATATTGTGATGAGAAGCTAATTTTCATATAAACCAAGATTTTTGTGTCACCCAAAAAATAAATCATTTATCTTGTTTGAATTATAGACATAGCAAAAAGCGAAGATGTGAACCCTCCTGTTTTAGAAAAAAATGTAGTGAAAAATAATATGATTGTGAATGAAATAAGTAAAAAAGAGGATTATTCATGTGATGTTTCCTTGGATGAAAAAATGGTAACTGATCCTTCAAAGGATATTAAAACAAATGACATTGAAATAGCAAGATCACCAATAATCAATATGCCTCGTAGGCCAAATTATGAGCCTCAATGGAGATTTACAAATTCTCCTAATATGCGTTCATTTCGTGGTGTCAACCATCCTTCTTTCAACAGATATCGCTATTTGACACCTAGAGGACATTACAGGCTTCAGGCATATGATTATAATAGTAGATTTCATAATAATTTTCTTCCTTTTGAACAGGCAAGGAATTGTGGAAAATTCAATTCATATAACATGTTACCATATAATAATAGGCAGCAAAAGAGAGGTTTCAAACCAAGTATTATCTCAAGAAATTTTAATGGTTCACCTGAATCTTATCCAAATAATGCATCTTCTTCGAATACAAATATTTCAAAAACTGAAATTGATAATGATGTCATAGTTGTAAGTGCTAATGCTAGTGATATAAATGAAAAAGATAATGTATCAGATAATGAGTGTTTAATTATAAATGACAAGAATGATGATAAATCACATGAATTACTTGATAAAAAGGTAGACTGTATTAGCAATGATACTAGTGTTCGCGAAGGAAATCAGGAGGATACTACTTCCATCAATGATTCATTAGAATCAAAACAGGAAATAAAACTTAAAGAAGGAAGTTCATTACCCAATGATGATAAATGTACCAATGTTTCAATGACTGAGAATAGTACATCCAATGATACTTGCAAGGAAACCTTGCTAAGCTCTCATAATAGTAATGAACATACAGAGAAAATAAATACAAGTAATGCAACTGCAACTACAATTGATATAGATAAAGAAGAAATTCAACATGTTGATAATGTCTGTGCATCAGATAAGTCTGAACTTAATACCAGTGAATCAGTAGATAAGCAAGTAGAATTATCTGAAAAACGTGATAAAGATGTTTTAAATAACTTAGAAGAAAAATTGATAGTAAATAACGAAAAAATAATAAACGGAAAAGTAACAAATGATGAAGTAGAAGAAATATGTAAAAAACAGGATGAAGATGTTTTTGTACAAAATGAGAAATCAAACGAAGACGATAAAAATGTTATTAACACGAATTCTATTATAGTAAATGATTTAACTAATGATAAAAATGATAATGAAATTAAAGTCGTGGAAGATGTATCAGTTGAATCAGTTGTTAAAAATGGAGTATGTGATAATGACCAATTAAAAAATAATAATAGTACAAATTTAAATAAAGAAGTTACATCTGAAGATCAGTTAACTAATTCGGAAATTGATCTTCAGGAGCAAACTGTGAATACTGCTGAAGAGAATGCACAATGTAAAGAAAAAGAAGCTCCACAGACAAATTCCACAAATAGTACAATAAAATTAAGCGACATTATCGAATCTGTATTGGACAGAGATAATTTATTTAATGTAAAATCACAAAATGAATCATTAGGTTTTGCTACAGATGGAAAAGGTAATAGTGATAATGACAAAACAACTGATGAAGCTACAGCAGCTGCACAAAGAAAAAGGAAACGAACAAAGAAAACGATAGCTGGTGCTGCTGAAGACGCTACCGAAGAAGACAAACAGGGTAAATATAAACAAATTCATAGTTTCATAATTTTGTTTCTGTAGATTGTTCAGTTTTTAGTCAATTCATTGTTACAGCTAAGGAAATTGGAAGACAAAAGAGACAAACAGCAAAAAATGCTGAAGAAATAATAAGAAAGAAATTTCTTAATCATGACAGTGATGTAGAATCCAGTGACGATTCAGAAAAGTTTGTAGCTGTAAATCACAATAAAATGAATCAAGATGTACGTCCATTATCTCCTCCTTCATTGAAACGTAACTACGCCGATGTTGACAGTACAATTATGAATGGTAATGTTAAGAAAATTAAAATAAATTCTCAAGAGCAGCCCGAAGAATTAATATCAAAAGAAAATAATTCTCAAAATATTAAGAATCTTAATTACGTTCATAAATTCTTTCAAAGAGATTTGAAGGAAAAACTACCTAAACTGAAGCAGGAAGTATGTTGAAGATATAAATATATTAGATAACTGTTTAATACTAGTTTCAAATATTCTAACATTCCTCATTTCTTTAAGGAATTAGAGGAACTTTTAATACAAAAAATAGTTGAAACAATTACGATGCGTGGAGAGATTGGTAAACTGAGAGAACAAGCACGTATATCGGAAAGGAATCAAGAAGCGACGCGTCAAAAATGTCAACAATTAGCTAAACAAATCAAAGATTTTGAAATGGTGTTAAGTCGTAATGCTGCCGATAGGCGCGCGAATAATGATAAGCCTGTTCCACCAATTAAAATCAATAGATCAGTTGGATTGCAAGTTAATTTCGTAACGGTATGCATATATAACTATGTTACAATTATGTTAGAACTATGTTATAAAACTTACTTATTTCGTACAGGATCATGGAATTCAAAATTTGCGACAATTGCAACAGAATTCTAATATGAAAGCTTTACAAATGTCAAATAACAATACATCAAATATACCTAACAGTGAAACAAATAATGCAACCAGTCCAAGAAAAGGTATTAAAATAAGATCTCCTCGGCGAACAGAACCAATAAACGCACAGCCACCAGTGGTCTCGCAAAATCATACTCAGTCTCCAAACATTTTGCCTGCACTAGCGCCTGCACCTTTAGTTGTTACTAAGCCTGTAGATATACAACATAATTTAACATTACCTATTCAGTCTACTGTTCAAATGATATCAAATGTAAGTGCTACATCAAGATTATTATTTTTGTATTTATTTAATAAACAAATACTTAATTGTGCATAATTGTATAGCAACAGATGCAATCACAACCGACTCAACAAACTATAGTTTTAAATGGAAAACTTCCAAATCAAATTCCAAATCGTCAAAGTACTGTTGCAGCGAATATTGCAGCACAAACACGAACAAACGATCTTATTGATCTTACAGATGAAGAAGAAAAAAGCAAAGGTATTAAGTCTTGCTCGAGATATTTAATTTTGTATAAAATAAATGTTACCATATGTTAAAAAAAATTGAAAATTTCTAGCCGTCAATGCACCAGTTTCTACATCTACGATAAGTGAATCGCAAATAAATTTACCACAAAATCCACAACCTTGCTTCCAAAGGGTAATTCAAACTATTCCTGGAAATGTAGCTATAGCGAGTCAACCTCCTAGTATAAGAGTAGTACAACCAGCTAGCCAACCAACACCTACTGCCTTAGTGGTATGTAAATAAATATTATTCGTATATTTTTAATTAATATATATATACATATGTATAACTTCCTTTTTTTCAGAATAATATGAACGCTCCACGATTAACATATGTAATGCAAAGTAGTGTAGGGCCAACGAGGCAATTATTAATAGCGCCAAATTCTACCCCGGTAAAATGACCATCAAATTTATATATTATTAAAATTAATTTTGAAAATTAGTATTTTAATAAAAATTTATAATTACAGATGCGACCAGTAACTTCATGTAACAGAGCATCGTTTTCAACTGTAACCTACAAAACTGGTACGTAAGTTCGAGTACAATAAATGCTGCGATAAAAACCATGAATTTAAACTAATCATTTTGGTTATAGGGATATCAACAGTTGCAAATGGAACGGTGAGGGTTTTAACAACACCAGCTACTACAAATTTACAGCTACCTAAGGTATTAAATACTTTTGATTTATGTATGTATACACACAGTCTATATATATGTATATATCTATATTTATATATTTATTTATTTATTTGTTTTAGCATCCTGCACCACTCCCAGATACGCGAAATTACGTTGCAAATCCTCTTTGGAAACTTCCACCACCTGCACCATCATTAAAAATATCTAAGGTCGCGAATGGTAAGTTAGAAAATTGTGAATACATAATATATGTAGTTTAAGTTAAGGATGAAAGTACAGAATTGATTATAAATATATAGGTATAGTGCTATCGTGGAATATGAATCTGTCCGATAAGTACGCAGATATTGCTAGTTACCAACTATATGCATACCAAGAAATTACTGGTATTCCTCCTAATACATCGTTGTGGAAAAAAGTTGGCGATGTTCGAGCCTTACCACTGCCCATGGCGTGTACACTAACGCAAGTAAGTGGAACAAACGTTATTTAGTAATTGTAAATGCTATAAATATTTTCAATATCAAAATTTCGTTTCAGTTCTCTGAAGGCAATAATTATTACTTTGCGGTTCGAGCAGTTGACACACATTCCCGAAAAGGACAGTATAGTATACCTAGCAACATTTCTTTATAAAATGTACGATCATTTTTTTGATTATTTTAATTTTTTAAACGTACATTTATGATAAGTCTCGATACATATGAAAAGAAATTTCATGCAGTCTTCTAAATTATCATTTAATTTATTAAACCTATTACATGTAAAATATATTTACTGAAATGATATGAGTGTTTCTGATTACGGGATATGTTATATAGATGACGTATACAAAATAATTTGTTGTATAGTAATAAGTATTGTTTTTGATTGTAATTATTCGTACAATTTCTGATAACCGCGGTACAGTTATAGTTAATATTTCTCTTGTCGCCTTTTTTATATTTCTTAATTTATAAAATCAGAAAATATAAACTTATAATTTTTTATTAACAATATATGGTTTATATCCTATCTTTACCGGTAACGTTTCAGTGTAAAAATTTTATGTAGTTCTGTGCCATGTTCCGTAACGTATTCCTTATGTTGTTAGATAGTAAAAATTAGTTACTGAACATTTATAATTCTTTTGTATTTGAAGTAATACGTAAAAAGATTTATAACGGTAACGTGGTATCAGTAATCAAATTTTGTTTAAAAATGAACAAAACAAGGTATTCTAGTCACAAAAGTTTCTTTTATTAGCAATTATTTCAATATTCATTTTTCATGAAGACTGCTACAATTAAAGAAAAACATGAAATTGTTTAAAAGTCTGATGTTGATATTATTATTCACTAAAAGTGTTCACAAATGTTGCTTCCTTATGTTACATATACAGTGTAACATTCTATTGAATTTATTTCATTCTCATTATTACTTATCAAATTTGCTAACATATAATTTGCTCAATTTTGATACTATTGTAATAAATCTTGAATATTAAATAGTAAAATACTCCATAAATTTCATGATGTAAAAAACGAATCGTGAATCACTTCGAATTAGTATATATTGATGTCTAAATATACAGATTTTCAATCTAAAATGTATAGTATAATTATCTAATATCTTATTTCTAAGTTTTAATCACCTTTGTGTCATAAAATTGTATAATAAAATGATTGCTCATTTTTTACATGAGTTTGTAATGAAAAACAATGCGTGCTCACAGAAATCTAAAATTTTGTTTAAACATAAAATTTCTTAGGAAATAAAATACATTGGAAATTCGCTATATTAATTCGTTTTTAATTTTATCATCAAGTTCACAAATAATATAACATAAATAACTTAATAAAAATCAGAAACGATATGAACATAAAAAAATAAAGAAAATAGTATTTTGTAGTAACGCGGTTTCAAATCAAACTTCCCGCTTTTCAGTGTATAATTTACAGAAGGTAACAGGTATGTCATATTGCTTATGTATGAATGAGTAGTTACATTCATAGTATATAAAGTTTGTATCGAAATTTGCTATTGTTGATTGCGACGCAATTAACTCGCAATGTGCAAAGCGAATACGAAACATGAGGTGGTAAGAAAGCTTACATCATTTTTAAACTTCGTTTTAGGATTTAGATAATGTTTCGGTTTATACATATAATGTTCATGTAAAAGTTTTGTGATTTAGAAACTTATGAAGACATATACTCGATAAAGAATTTCTTATATCAGTAGATGTATCAAGGAATATAATAATTTTAAATTAAAATAAAAAGGAATATTGTCAAAATATTTAAAAACTTACCATATTTTTAAATTCCTCATCTATACATATATTAATATCGTTATATGTGTGAGTATGTACTGTCGAATCATCAAGAGAACGGGACCGCCGAACGACTGTTTTTCGTTTATTCTGCGCATGTCGTCTCTGATTGGCTGAATACGTTTTGTAATCAACAGTACAAGTGCGTAGGCGCACCTGCAACGATCTTAACGTCGAGCGTGCATACATAGCGATCTTTTATTTTGTATTAGAAACATAAAGAGATAGCGATTTAGAAATTTACAAATATTAAGATTGAAGAATATGGCGATATAAGGGCCAAAAATCCATGAATTCAGGAACATAAGTCTTAATATAATACATACACGTTTTGCATTTCAGTACTTTCACGATTAGTTTTAATATCAATAAATATGATCGCTTAAAAGTAGCATTACTTATCATTTTTTTCCCACTGTTCGTATAATTTGTTCACTATGTATATTAGTGATGAAGTTGAAAGCGAGATATAGAGGAGTGTGGTACAAATGGTAGGAGAGTCTTCTGAGCTCATTCGAGCTGCGCGAAACGATCTCGTTCTTTCGGTGAATCGACAATACATACACATGTATATATGCATAATGATGATATAAATCATAATGAGTAGAAAATAACCAAAGAGCAAAGTTTTAGTAACTTATTACTTCCTTTGTTGTCTATGAAAATTCACTCTTATATATAATGATACACAAATGATATATTCCAAATTTACTAGCTTTCAAAATGTTAATACTGAACAGTTCCTAATTTCATGCTGCACGATATTTTATCACTGTTCCTTGCGTCAAGCGTTAAGTGAGTTGCAGAAATGCAATATTATGTTACAAAAAAATAACGGTAATTTTTTTTACAAATATACGCGGTGATAATCTTTACTTTCGTTACTTTCCAAAAAAAAGTATAAGCAAGTGGGGGCGGAAATAGTGAGTAATTTATGTGTACATGTTTGCTGTACTTTGTGACATAGTACGTGAAAAGTCCGTGAAACTAGAAAGAAAACTATAAAATCGAATAATATCTAAACAGACTAAGCATACGTTCGCGAATATTAATATTCAAAGTACGAATAGATATGCACATTTTCAAATAATGAATATCTGCAAAATATTACGTAGCAATTTTCTTACTTTTGCGACATACATATTTTAAACTGACAAGTACAACACAAATAACGTTCAAAGCCAGCGATACCTTCTAGTTGTTTTATACATCAAAAAGTTTACTACTATATCCTACTAATTGAGTACCAGTTTATTTTTCTAAGTAGCTGCCACGAACTTGTACTTTTTTAAAAATCACATTAAAAATTTAGTGTGTTTAATAGATTTATATTAAAGTGTGGAATATTTGAAAATATAAAGCATAGTGTAATCATTTTTTAACTGATGTCAGTATTTTGTTCATTCACTTTGCAAATGTACAAAATCAAGCTTGAAAAATCTGAAAAGAAAGATACAATATGAGAAGTACTTTGAAATTATGTCAGAATGAGCGCATTCAAATACACAGTGGCAAATGTTTTTATGGGTGTGACATTTTCAAGTTTTATGATTTATATACATCTTTTATTATTGTATGGCAAGTGCTGTTGCAAACTGCTCAAAAAAATCAGTAGGCACAGTTCTTGCTTGTAACGGATAGTGAAATTTACCTTGATAATTAGGGGATGCCCAGCTTACATTCACTCGTCGTACGACGAACTCCACTAATGGATATGGGTACTGCCACCAGTTCTGTGACATCTGTCAACCCTTCTAATAAAATTACCACCAATCAGAAAAAAGTTGAAAAGTCCAACAAGCTTTCTGGAGTCAGATTACCTTTGCTACGCAAGGAAGCAAGCGTTGTGAATCTTTCATTAACGGAGAGGACTGCACTAGGAAAAGGAGTGGATGCACCTTTACTTAGACCTGAAAGTAGTGCAAGTTTAGAAGCTCGTGGTAACAGCTGGCTAAGTTTAGGCCCTGGAGTATTAAGAAAATGTGAAACTGCTGTGGGTTTAAGTACTTCTGCTCTAGAAGGTCGACCTATAAATCGTAGTCGAGTTTGTTCTCGCTGTTCAAGTTTGTTATCATTGGCATCTAGTTCGCGTTATAGTCTAGCTGCAGGCAACTTTGTTCCTGCAGGCTCCCAACAAACGCTTGGACGCCTTTTTTGTAAATTATGCCTTGTTGATACTTCTATTTCCAAAACATTTAAAATAGAGGGCTGTGGTTGTTCCTATTGTAAAGATGTATGTATTGATTGTTATTTAATGTACTTTATGTGTAAAAATTTTTAAGAAATAATATATTTTAATGTTGCAGTGTATGAAAGCATATGTTGAATTTGAAATTGAAGAAGGTGCATACGAAATTAGTTGTCCCGATGCACAATGTGAACAAGGAGCAATATTATCCATGAAGGAAATATCAAGTCTTGTTAGTCCTGAACTTGTAGAAAAACATCATAAATTTCGCTTGAATAGAGGTGGGTAAAGCATATATTACAAGGTTTAGTAATTTATTTTAACACTATTTTATATAATATATAGATGTATCCATGGACAAAGCACGTGCTTGGTGTCCACGTGCAGGTTGTGAAACAATATGTTCAGTAAATGCTACTGGATCGAATGGAACTCCTATTGGACCAGTTCATTGTCCTAATTGCTCTACAGATTTTTGTTCTATATGCAGAGAATCTTGGCATAATGGCCCTTGTTCAGATCTTTCATTAGGTATACCTTTAGATGGTGATCACATTAAGTGCTGTCCTATGTGTTCTGTACCTATAGAGAAGGATGAAGGATGTGCTCAAATGATGTGTAAAAGATGTAAACATATTTTCTGCTGGTACTGCTTGACTTCTTTAGATGTAAGTATAGTCATTCCTGATAGTAACAAATAATTTTGTTTTAAAAACTTTTTAATTTTAAACTGGTTTTGATAGGATGACTTTTTATTGAGACATTATGACAAAGGACCATGTAAAAATAAATTGGGTCATTCACGTGCATCAGTTATTTGGCACAGAACACAAGTTATTGGAATTTTTGCTGGATTTGGTTTGCTCTTACTTGTTGCGTCGCCGTTGCTTTTACTAGCTGCCCCGTGTATTGTATGCTGTAAATGTCGTGTATGTGGTTCGTCTAGACTTGAACAAGAGGAAGGTGATACTACAACATAAGAAAATTAAGAGTTACAATATTCCTTTAATTTTTCTTCAGTATGGTAAACAGAGTTAGAGTATTCAATATGTAAAAATAATTGATGATTTATATAGATATACATTGAACTTAGGGCATCAGATGTTGTATTGCAACAGATAGTGCGAAAGATGTAATATCTGTATTCCAGACATAATTCTGTAAAATCTCTTAACATAAATTACGCTTGTAAAATAGTTTTATGATACAAACTTAATATTTTATTTTGTTTTTAATAATTTTTAAAGGTGTTATTTGTAATCAAACAATATCTTGACTGTGTTAATGCATTATTTAAAATTTTTAAATTAAAATATCCATATATTTGTATATATTTATAATTCTAAAGTAAAAAAATTTACAATGTTTAATGAAAGCTACTTAATACCCAATTAACTGCTGCTTGACAGTTGTCTAGATCTTCAAAAATGAGATGTTTTTTGTTATTTGAAGTTCGTAATATTTCTACATTCAAACGTATATAACATACCGAATTATAAATACTCATGATTTGTGTTTGCAACATTCCAAGAAGTTATACTTATATTGCATTGGGTTAACTGGTACTGTAAAATTGTAATGTCTTTTGTAAATTATATACCAAATATTTACTTCAAGATTCTTGTATGTGTACGTGATTTATTTCTTGCATAATTATACGATATTCATTAACAATACTCAACATTCTTTCCATATATTTTTAATATTCTTTTTTTAATATTTAACGTAAAAAAATTCATAAATTAATATTTATTCATATACATCCAATAAACAATGTATATCTATATGTACGTTTGTTCTGAATTTAGTAAAACTGAAACACTTCATTGAAATTACTGATTATAGTGCATAATATATTATTTGTAAGAGCTTTTTTCTAGAATTTATTACGTGGTTACGTGGTTCATAAGTTCTTTCATTCTATTCTGTTCACAAAGAAAATTTAAATTTAGAACATTTGTAAATTCCATTACAAAATATATACTTAATAATATATTTACTATTAATAATATGTCATAAATACGGTTTCTTAATGTAAAGAAATATTATTAGTCTTAATTGATTGTTTGAATCTATAATACAACGTAGATCAAAATAATGAAAACAGTATGTTATAATGCATAAAAAAAAATAAAATTAGGCAGTTGTAAAATGTATCATAAATTATTCAATTTCTGATGGTAATTATCACGGTTGCTAAAATATTTGTTTCTAGGTAAATAATTGTACTATAATTGGCTTTAGTAAATAAAGTCTGTTTCTTCATTTAGCGTGCATAAAAGTGCACACGTACAGATATATATCGCTGAATATAATATATTATCACTTGCAATAAACTAATATAACAAAAATTAACAGAAACTACACCAAACATTTAAGTTTCTGAATAGGCATATTTACACAATACGACTAATATTATTAACTAAAGCCACGTGTATAAAAGCACAGATATGTATGCATGCGGGTATATGTACGTATTTGTAAATATATATACTGCATATGTATACTTATCCGTATATATACACGATCTTCGTTTTATTCCTATGTACACCAGTGCTGGGCTACTATGCTCATGAGGGAATGGTATACAAATATGCAAGCGGTATATTCTTGCGGGTACCGATGAATAACAGTGGACTCTTGCTATATTGCCGCGGCTCGGGAAATTATTAAAACTGGCAATATGGTAAGATGTCCTTCCATATAACATTTGTAAATTTATAGATTTGATATTTCTGTTTCTAAATTTCTGAATTTGAAATCTCCAACACGCTACACATGTGCAGTGCATGTCGGTACCCGTAAATATTGGCGGGCACTTAATCTGCTCATCACCGATGTACACCATGTGTATGTAAATATTTGTATTTGTTTGTGATGCAATTTTGCATAGAAGTCATTTTAAATTGAAAGTCATTTGCAATTAGTTGTATATTATCATATTAACAATAGAATGATGTATAAGTAATCGATGTTAAAGAAATCCTTTCTCTTTCACAATCTTCTTATGTTATGATTACGTTTATATTCATTCTGTAATACTTTTTTAATATAAAATATTTCTTTATTGTTTCATGAGCGTGAATATTTAGTACATGATTTAATATATTTATTTTTACATTTGATAACTAAAAAAGTATGAATAGAAAAAAATAGTTAAAATTTGTACCAAGATATAATGTATATAAATTTTACATTATTTTTGTACAGATTATTTGATATTTTTTAATTGATAAACTTGTTTTATTTGATATTTATACGATACATTTCTGTTCTTCTGAGTTAAGGTACTAAATAGTATATTTGTTCTAAGTATATGTAAATAAAGATAAAAATTTACTTATGTGCAGTGAAAAATGATAAATAATAATTCGTTTAGCTTTAGCCTTTTAATAAAATTATTGCAATAAAATAATGTTGTTTATTGGTTTTAACCAAATCCATCAAATAAAAATGTTAATAACATTATAAAAAAACAGTATTTTATGTTATACGATATATAATATAAAAAAAACCTACAGCGATTTATTAATATAACTATTAATAAATCGTATATGGCTCAAACTTTGTACTTCATTTCCATAATTCGATGTAGTTATCAATAATTAAACTCTAATAACAGTTTTGGATAACATTTGTGTGGAATATAAGTGAGGACATTTTTAACAATATGAATTTTTATTATATAATAACCCATTTATTATTTTCTAATACAATATCTTCGGTAAGAAAACAACTTGATTGGGTTAAAATTGGAATGAAAATATTTGCATCGTTAAGATGCATTAAATTATTTATAGAATGTTCGGTATCAGCAAATTTCCACTCCTATGGAGTTTCATAGGGCTGAATACTTTACAAATTCCATCATTATTTAATGCATCTTGATTCCTAATCTTTAACGGACCACAAATAAATTCGGAGATGGCAAGTACATTATGCATTATGTGATGACAGTTCTGTAGTCCTACTAAGAAGCTGTGATAGATTTTAGATAGTGTTTACATATGTGGCTAGTTAAAGAAAAGAAAATAATCGTATTCTAGGTCTATATGCTACAATACATTATTAGTATTAATATAAAAAAAGTTAGTGTCAAAAGTATGATTAATAAATTCATTAAAAATCAGTAAACATAACTGTGATCGATAGATAAACGGATTATTTGATAAGACCTTTAGCTTTGAATAAGTCTCTCATTAAACCCTTTAAGTACCCAATTTCTCGTTGCAAATCTGTTACTTGATTTTTTAATTTTGCATTATGTTCAGTGAGTTCGCGTTCCTCACCCAGTATTTCTTTGATTTCTTGCTTTTTCTTTTGTCTATAACGCGTAGCTGCATTCTTGTTTTGTTCCTTTTTTCGAACCTTTTTGTCCTCTACAGATGGACGGGAATAAGGTTTTTGACGAGTTTTAGTTGAAGTATACGTAGACTGTTTCGAGTGACTTTTGCCTGATTCTATAATCCAATCTGGATCATCAACAGAATCTTCTGATGAAGTATAACTACCGCCAGAACTTGTACACGGACTAGGCGGTGGAATATCTTCCGTATGCAAACGTACATATTCATCTACCACAGCTAAATCATGCGCAACGTCTGTATTTAATGGATCTAATGATACATTTTTTGTATTCCATTGCAATGATGCTTCATTCTCGCATGATTTTTCTTCAGGAATTACGACGCTGTATATAGATTCATGGTTGGAATACAATGGTTGTACAGGCTGTAAAGTAACAAGTAATTGGGTATTTACATTTAACGGTTTATGAGGAGGAGGTGATTGAGGTGGTGTAAGAGTGGAAGTTGATGAAGGGACTATCTGATGGCAAGCCTCAACGTCTCCCAATACAGTTTCAAATTCTTGCAATAAAGTTTGCGTATTATCTTGCTGAGGAATTTTTGTAATTTCGGTGTATGATGGTTTAATCTGTCCACTTTCAGAAACTGGCAACTCTTCAAAAATGGGAAGTTCTATCTTTTCCTCCAACCAATCCGAGAAAGGCTCTGCAAATATAAAATAAATTTATATTATAAAATGAAGACAGAAATGACTGTTTTGCGTTTATCAATTATGAAAAGAGATAAAAATGCATCTTTGTCTTTTCATTTTAATTGACGTTTTGAGGTATACAAATTTTATATCAAAGTACTGATAGCACATTATCAGATTCTGATAAATAATAGCATTCATATAAGCTTGTTGTTGAATACATTTTAAAACATTTATAAAAGTGTTATAATAAAAAAATATTTCTTTTCTCTTTTATAGTTAAATTTAATTTGTATAGAATTATAACATACAATATTATAAATAGAAATTCAAATACAATAGCTCAGACAGTTTTCTGGTGTATATAGTCAGAAACTAGCAGTACTTTTACTTATGTCTTGCATGAAGAATAAGTAGGAGTGGTACAGTGATGTATATATAATTTCATGGACATTACTAGTTTAACTAGAAAAACAAGTTCTTGATTTGCAATTTCTTTGGCTTCTAATACACTTACTGCAACTAACATTGTTATAATCTGTTATTTAGAACACAATCTGACGTCATTGAAGGTATTAGAATCTTTTGAAATAAAATCTGAAAATTAATTAAAGATTATAAAAAACATAGTTTAACTTCTAGATTCTAATATACAAAAGAAAAACAGCAAAATATTTTGTAGATTACTTTTACAGATTTTTAATATAATTCTGTATTAAACAACTTAGCCCTAACCTATTTCTTTGAGGAAATTTATCAGAGGCTAATATGAAATGTGTAAGTTATCTTCAGTTAAATACAAGGGGCATGGGGTTAGATAAGAATACTTTTTACTTATATAGATCTATATAAGTACAGCTATGTATATGTTCTTCATTAGAACTATTGAAGTAAAAGCCAATCAATAACTTTCAGAGCTTATTAGAAAATAATTTCAATTTATAATGTATCAACCATAGAAATGCTACTTGAAAGAAGAATATTGTTATTATACATTGTATGTTGACAATTAATTCAAATATGAAGTAAATAAGGATATAAAAACATTTTTGAATTATAAAAGCGTATTTTGCGGACTGGTATCCGCAATTTTTAAACTTCTATCAATAATCTGTTACATATACCTAATAGAATATTAAACAAATCCAATAATAATATATATTCTTCAAATATTTTTCGAACTTAGTCAAAACTGCATATCATTGGAGAGTCCCGTTATATGGCACTGGACGGGACTGTAGAAGCGGAAAAGTATTGTGGAGAAGGCTGTATAAATAGATCTGCTTTTATGTATTTGATTTCCAAAGCTCTGTCGCTAGTGCTTTGCCGCCGAAACTTTTCAAGTTTGAAAATATCTAAATCTTTATGTGCTGTAATAATGGCAATACATTATACAAAAAGCATAACATTATTTTTCATAAAGAATAATTATCCATTAACCCATTTTAAATTATATATCATTAAAGAAAAAAAATGATAGTGACTTGTTTTCCTTTTCCTGTCAAATGTTGGGAATTCCAATTATCGTAATTTATCGTGAACTAAAAACAAATCAATTTCATATATGAATCATGCTTAACAGACTATTTTACAAGAAGTTCAAAAATGGTGGATACCATTACTCGGAATACCCTTTAGACGCATAACAAATAAAACTGCACTTTGCGATAAAACGTGAATAGTGCATTGTATATAATCTGGAGCTTTAAAAGTGGCAATTTGTGACAGTGTTTGTATAAAATAAAAAAAAAAAAGAAAAGCAACAAAATTCATTATAACTATTTTTATAGACGATTCGATCCAATTGTGTTGTTCGATGATACGAAGAATGTGGCAACAGTGCTCTGATATGCGCAATAAAGATATTTTTCCATCGGAACGGGTGCTAGAAAGAGAGAGGAATTAAAGTAAGCGAAAGGAAACCTACCACTGTAACATATAGCAGCCATTATCACGTGCGTTTGTTTTCGCGTAAACCCTTATTAATAGAAGGTAGGCAGGGTAGTAAACACGTACGTTATAATTAAATAAAAATTAAAAAAATAGTTATCTTAAATATATATAATACGAATTTTTTTCAACGTGAAAAAGCCGAGCCCTTCTACAGGACCATAAAAGCTTTCATTCAACGTCTTTTTACGAGCTTTTGAGAATTGACAATTATTTCTCGGTTCCACGTGTAGCGATATGCGAACTGCATGCTATTATACAACATTAGCACACTCGAGCATCGAGACGCTAGGTCTTTTTCTTCGTTCACTTTTAAAGATGCCAATATTATAGATCTATACAATAATTGTTAATCACGTGTGCGATCTGTTATTTGGTTTCACCGTATTTCTTGTGTTTTAAATCAAATTTATACACATGGATATATCTATTACGCACTTCACCAATCACTTTTCATCAATTATCGATCAATTAAAGATCACCGTTTACGATCGTCTCTATTCTTGAAGTAACTTAACATGCTACTTGCAGTCGATTAAGTTTACGAGTCTTGCTGGTAACCAAAATAGATATCGGGAACACGTGTATCGCGCTAACGTATGTTACGAAAAAATCACGTTCAGAACAAAATTGGTTGACTTTCCATTAATGGAAAGTGTTTACGATGTATTAGAAATAAAAATTCGGAGCGTTACATTTATTTACGACAAAAAATTTGAACGTTCGTTACTTCGTTTAAAAGCACTGACACGATCAACACTGAAGTTCTGGATAAGACGAGTTTTATCTGGGATAGAATTTTCCCACTTGTATAACTGTAATCGAAGTATTTGTAAATTTAAAATGATGATAAACTGTATTAAGTTTATAGAATGATTAAACATCAACAGAAAGTTCACTCCTAATGAACAGTAATCGACGGAATCGTACGTTCAGTTTGCAATACTGTGAGAGACCACTCCTGCTTATCTTTGGACTTTCCCCTCTAACACCCCTACTCCAATCCTACTGAACGCACGTCACTCCCCTATCGGCCTTCAACCAAAGCCGTTTATATAGAGGTTAACCAGTTTGTCCCACTCTCCTTTCCAGAAAAAAAGAAAGGAAACTGAAATACACGGTGGAAGAAGTGAGAAGAATGAAAGCGATAGGAGTATTGAGAATGCAGTTGAACAAAATGTTAACATTAGTTTGTACCATTTTAATATGCAGATTTTTGAAAACTAGAGAACATTGATTTAATAGATGCATACACACGAACAACGAAATTATAAATATCCATTTACTTCTATGTATAATTTGACATTTAAAAGTATGTTTGTTTGGTCTACATGTGCTATAATATCTTTAATACTGCACTGACTCATTACTTAAGCATTGGGATAGTTACGGATACATTTATACATTTTGATTTGTATAAATTGACCTATAGCTCTATGTACATAATGTAAAATACATGCATTTATGCATATACAAACACAGTAGTATAGTGTTTAAAAGATCCTTCTAATAATTTTTTTGTTCCTGAGAGTATTAAGGCTGCTGTGTTTAATGTTAGATGTATAAATATCAAACGTAACAGTATAAAGCATAACAATTTGGAATGTCTTTCGGTTTGATAACATTTGAAATACCAGCAATGAAACAAACTACATATCTTTTCATCAAGAACAGGATAAAAATAATATTATCTAATAAAATCTTCACACATATACTTACCCTCTTTAATCCATTCATCTAGTTCTTCTAGAAGTTTTGTAGCTACTTGTGCACGAGTAGGATGGTCATCGTACATAACAGGTTCAACAGCATTTTTAATAGGATCTACAGACTTATCGTTAAACAAAACCCAATCATCCTCGATTTCATTGGACAGTGTCCCACTAGGGGAAACTGGTTCCAACTTCCATAACCACATCTCCTGGTCCTGATTGGATGTCATTATTGATGCGATCCCAATCAAGATGAATTAAAAAACGATGAAAAGAAATTTGTGTCGTCTCTGCGACAAAGCTCGAAATGAGCGCCATGTTGGCTCTGAAAATTTTAAATACATATATTACATTTAATATGAATAAATACAATATATACATAAATTAACAGAGTTTATTTTATTTACAAGTAAATATTTTGATGACACATCTTATTATATAAGAAGTCACTTATTAAGACTCTGATATATTAACAGATATTTCTAAATTATTTGTCAATTGCATAATTTAAAAGCAATTCATTATTGAAAAACATTATAGTTATATAATTTGAATTAAATAACTAATAACATTATATGATGCAACATTGTGACTACCACCTAGGAAAGTTTTATCGTTTGAAAGTTGGCAATTTATATATGTTTCAAAGCATTATAACCATTAAATAAATGTATTATTTTAATATATAAAAAAATAAATAAGTTGTTAGGTGAAAGCACTCTTTCAGTATGTAGGACTCGGTCATGACATATAATATACAAAATGGCTGACGTGCTGTGCAATAGCTTCTGTATTGCACATAAATTTATGGGACTTTTTACAATGATACGTATTACTTACTCCATGATTAGTTAGTTGTGTCGGCACACTTGCGTGTGCAAGCTGCTTCGTGAACTACTGACTCATCTTGCCCGTGATGTGAAGCGTATAGAAAATTCAAACGTCTTCCCTTTACGAAGCATGGGTAAAGAATGAACGTCCCCTTCTACCGGGAATTTGACCGCCGAGGTCACGTGATCCAAGAATGCGTACGCAGGGATGCTCCGTTTGAATCGTTTTTATGGATTTTCTGCGCAGATCCATGTCTTACCATTTAATATCTTATTTAATGTTTACTTTATATAAGAATTATTATGTCTCTAGGTCATTCAGTTATTGTTCGACATTCTATTTTATATAGTATAATAATAATTTTTCAATGATAGGAAAATATTTATTTACTTCTAGATTGGATACTTTAAGCGGGAATTTAAAAAGAGATTAAAATTGTTATTGCATCGAATTATCTATATCATTTACACCAAACAGTTTTTGTGATATTTGCATTCATTTTTTTATTTCTCTGCGATAGAATTTAAAGCAGCATGTTTAAAATGATCGCGAGTTTAGGCATTAACTTAAACAGGCTATTTTGAAACCTGTATACGAAGACATTAAGGTTTAATGACATTTCGTTTATTTCTAAAGTCAATAAAGACAAAAAATACAGGTATAAATCAAATTTGATCGTGTTATTTACATAATACGAAGTTTTTGTTTTGGTTTTTTCTTACATTCTAGTCCTCTTCCGCTTCAATCACCATACATAAATTATATGTTAAATTTCATTAAATTAACAACAAAATAAAACAATACTACTGACAAACAACACATGTACGATATATGTCAGAACATCTAGTCAACTTTTTTCTGTCTAAAATAATCTTGTCTTAAACTTTGATTCATGAATTCTCCAGCTTTCATTCTGACATGTTCAGGAACAAGTAATACGATTATTTGTTGAATCGCATGTCCCCAATATCCCACGCCCGAATTCATAATACCAAGCGTGGAAATCGCATTTTTCGCATAAGTCGTCGCGTTAGGCACAAGAAAAGTAGTTACCTGTAACCCAAAATGAAAAGTCATATTCGTTCATAAATCGATTAGATATCGCTCGATGTTTACCTGTAGTCGATCGCTGAACGCATTCATCTTCGTGTTTATGAAGAACGGAGCTAAGTGCTGTACAGTTATCCCGAATCTGGAGTATTCGATTCTGATCGCATCGGTGAAGCCTTTGTTGTACATTTTTGTTGCCGCGTACACAGTTAAAAGCGGTAATGGTTGCAATTCCGAACCGGATGACATGTTCACGATAGCCCCTTTTCCACGTTCCTTCATTTGCCCGATGACTAATCGTGTCATTAAAGTGGTGGCTCCGACGTTTATATTGATAATGTCCCACAGTTCATCCTCTGGAACTTCTCCAAGGTACATCGGATAGGTGTACTGCATGCCCACGTTGTTCACTGAAGATTTTTGTTGCATTCAAATATTAAATCACGGAATCCAGCGAGATGATAAAGGATTTATATTTTTTCTAAGATTAAATCTAAGCTTTCTCAGGTTTAAATTTCATCACCTCTAGATTTTGTTACTAACTAGCAATATATGAAGAAGACATAATCAGTCAGTTACCTAAGATTCCAATAGGAATACCCTTCAATTGTTCCGCAATTTTCCCATAGATTTCTTTTCCCTTGCTAAAGTCCGCCACTATAATTTTCACTTCTATCGCAGGATTCTCCTGCAGGATCTCATTTCTGGTTTTCTCTAATTTCTCCAGTGTCCGGCTGATCAGTACCAAGTTCAACCCTCTTGTAGCCAATTCTTTCGCGTAAGCTTTGCCGATTCCATCGGTGGAGCCCGTTACCACTGCAAACTTTAGTGTTAGTACGAAACAGGAAAAAGGAAAAAATCATTGAGCACACAATATCGTACGAGCATAAGACAACATCGTACAAGTGTTTGTCAAATAACATTAAACAGTTCTCACCTGCCCATTCGCCGAACTTGGAGCGCAGATCAACTGGTTTGGTACCGATCAATGGCAAAAAGATTTCCCACAAAGCGTTCACGAGTTTGCTGATGTAATTTAATGACAGCCAAACGAGAATCAAAACGATAACCAGCCATAATGCTAATTGCAGCAACATTTTCCTTCAACAGAATGTAAATTGGGTCATTTAATCTGTCGAACGATTTCTGGTCATGCTTCGTTAGATACTAAGTTTCCTAAATATCTGAATGATGTCTGTATGTACATTATGATTATTATATTTTTGGGTCCCAATATCTTCAGATTTCTTAGACATCTATGTTCCTAGAACCCTATATAATTCAGCACTTCAGCTACTTTCAGTTGTATTACATTTTAATAGATTAAATATTTGGACGATAGCGAACGTTTCGAAACGCAGTGTTTCGAAACGAAAATTTAATGACAGTCTCTCGTTACCGAACGTTTACTGCATATCTATTGCGCGATTAATAAACACAATTTAAAATAACTTCTTAATTGGTACAATTTGCGGATCTTCGATATGTTCTTACTTACACGTGCAAAACAATTACAATACGAAGAAACTATCAGAGATGTTTGCAACGAAATCGCGGCGAAAGAATGCGAATTATTTTTAATCGTTCGAGAACTTCGTCAAGTGTAAAGTCGACGACAGCACATGGAATTATATTTCGTCGATTCGTAAAATTTGTTACCTAAATCCTTTGGCAGATCTCCGGCTTCTTGATTCGCGAATGCAGCACAATTAGCTTGTGTTCACGAACGTGACATTGTATCGCGATTCGCGCCCCGATTTCTTTCTCTTATTATTTATTGGGAGATTAATTTTATCTCAGTACGATAATTTAATAGTCTCCTTGAAGTTCGATCACTTATTTCCTATTGATGGTTGGGTAACGAAAGCCGGAGCGAGACTAAAGTTGCCCGCAGCCCGAACGGCGATTGAAGGCTAGGCACTTTCTCCGGCGGTAATGGCACTTGTGAGCCAACGAATGACGATGATTTTCACGGAGTTCTAATAAATGTATAATATATGCGAAATGACAAATATTATTTTCGTTCGATTTTCCTGTTGCAGGACTCCAGTCGCTGTAACCAGGTGCTGATGCAGTAATTTATTTGCGAGGATAACGCACGACCTTCGAACTCTGATTTGTGTCAAAGATCACATACGGGAGGATCCATAACGCTTCTATAAAATCATAGCACGTTTCGAAACGATTAAGTTTGGTAACATCATATTTTATTCATTTGGTCACATAATATGTAATGTTGAAATCTTCAAATTTCGAATCATACAGCTTTCAAGTTTTCTTCGATGTTGCAACTTTTAACCTTTTATCAAACTTGTCACTTTTCACGACTCTTCTACTTTGCAGCCCTATATTTGCGAACATTTGCAGTTACGTTATCTCGGAGCGTTGTAATCTTAGAATTTTACAACCTCTGAAACGAACTTTGACTTGACTTTGAAATGAAAGAATGACTATTATGAAGTTCAACATCATACACAAGATAGTTATGCACGAGGCGAGGTAATTAAACTGATAGGTGTTGTGTTATTCATGGGTGTTGTAATCAAGATTCTGAACGATATAAATTTTCTACAAATAGCGTACAACTTTTAATTGAAAGTTTCTATTCTAATTTTATCTTGATAATTTAACTTGAAAAGATATCTTTGATCAGCTAAAGTTTAATGTCATTTTTGAATAACCACAATCGTTAATTACTTGACTTCCCTGAATAAGTTTCTCCGAGATAAACATTGTGAAAGCCATAAAGGATGTTTAATTAAATTCTGAGTGCCCGCTAACATAAGGATACCAAGGCCGTTTCTGAAATCTGCGTAGTTACGTCAACTCGAGGTGTAGGAATCTTATTTACGAAACATTTCGTTCAGTCCTAAAAGGATAAAAAGTTTGTATTATACACGGAAAACAGAATACAGGTAAAAGGAGTACCTGTATTCACCGTAACGTGGGACTTCGAAATTTTCTGGTGGAGAGTCGAGTCGAAAGTGGGAACAGGTGAAAAGGGACGATAAACGTACTTGCTAAAGAGGGAACAAGGATGGAAATGTGGTTGACGCGCGCGCACAGCTTCTTTCACTTCCACAAACGACCGCCAAGTTCTATCCTTATGTCAGAGAAGGTCTTTCGAGACGAGGCAATAGCCGAGTCTTCCACCGGCACACTATCGTTCCACTCCTCCTCAGTGCGTGCCTCGGAATCCTCCCGGTGCTCCCAGTGATTTTTTTGTGTCATTTGTTTATATCTTTCAACAATCGTGGAATAAAATTCATTGAAAAATAATTCGATCATCATCTCAGATCTGCCTACCCAGGATACCGGCGGGGCTTCATGAATTTTTGACCAGCATCTCAACACGTGTTTTCGGAGGTTCATGAGCTCATGGATTACGCCACGTAGATTTTTACTGTGCACGGGTCCATCACGTAACAGGTCAGTCTCTTTCAACACAAAGTAAATAAGGTTGCGATGTTCAAGCAGCATTCAGTGAGAGGGCTGCGTAAAATTTGGAGAGTCGGAATCCATTTTTGAGAATGGACAGTTTTCGTTGGACTTGGGACGTGTCACGGTTCAACGTTTCAAGGATCACATATTTAAAAATGCTTGACCATAGACTCGAATGTGAGGGTCTGAAATTCTACGGTAATAAAATTCGACATATAAACTATCGAATTTATGTCTTCTAATTAAAAAATTGTTCTGAAGACTCGATGACTAAAGGACTAAAATTGAGACCTGCAAAGTCTCAAAGATTTCAAGTCCCAAATAGGTAAGAGCTTCAAAATTCCAGCTTCTAAAATTTCAACTCCCAAAATTCAACTTTCGAAAGCTTCCAATTTTAAAATTCTTTAATTTCAAAGTCCCAAATTAATTCCAAAGTTCCACTTACAAATACAATTTTTCGCGATCCACGAACTTCTAACAAATTCCTGGTTTAATCAAATAAACAAATTCCGAGCTCGTTAAGTTGTATATATGACTAAAAGAATCGTGGCTGTATAAAATTCTACCCATCCAGTAGTCTAATTCGAGTCAGAACGATTAGTGTGTTTCCTCGATCGACAAATTGTACAATTTCATTGTTGTTCGATATTGTAAATCAACACGTGACTCGCATCAATATCAAAATTACCGATAAACTGTTATTTCTTGTTGTGCCGTTAATGTCGAATGGAAGGGGTATTGGTACGGTCAAGAACGGATTCCGATCTCGTTGCGCAACAAAACGCTGGATTTTATTGGCGACATTGTTCATTGTCCAGCAATTGTACTCTGACGCGTCAAACACTTACTAATTCGATTTACAGCGATGCTGGTGTTCCTTGCGTAAGTCGCATAATCGATACACTGAATGAAGATCGTATCGAAGCTGTCGAGATTTGATTTAATTTGTCCCGCCAGCGACGTTGTTCATTCATTAACGTTCGAACAAGGTCAGCTTCTGGGAAGTCTTTGACGATCGACTTTACTAATATCCATATTACAAGTTGACTTACCTGTTTCCTCCGCCATATTTCACTCGGAGATTATACGCTTAGTGTAACGGGTACTACAATTTCGACTCGCGATGACTTAAAGAGTATTCAGAGCAGAAATTACCGCTGTGTTTCCAGCCTTTACAATGTTACAAATGTAGCATCGCGTCCTCGTTGCAAAATACAACTTTCAATTTTCAGTAAATCGATAAACTATCGCGTTTAAGTTTTCTTCTAGTCACTAGTTTTTGCAACAGGTTTAATCGCATCAAAGTTGCAAAAATCCTTGTACCTTGCTTTCTAATACCTTTTTATTAAAACTTACGCCATGTCCCAAAAAGATTACGAGTTGCGAAATCGAGTAGCCTTTCCGAATGAAGCAACTCTTTATTCGTAATCCTGTCTCTTTCATAAAATCTTTTGCTCCATTAAAATAAGCTGACCTTAAATCCGAGTGAAACGTCGTGCAGCCGATGCTTATCGAAGGAAAAGTGTGCTCTACATATCTACATGTCAAATGTACCGTGCACTGGCCGTTCACACAACCGGCTTTAAAGAGATTTCAATTGGAACGGAACACGAAACGGAGACGCTCGACCTGGTTATTACACCTTCCGCTTTTCGTTCTGTGTCACACAGCTGTTTTCCTGGTTTCCTTTCTTTTCCGTCGAGATCGTTTCAGTGCCGAATCGATGAACTTTTAATTCCCGACTAAAATAAGGGCGATGAGTAAGCGCGACGCGGATTTCCCCGGACAAAAATGTCACTGGCTGAGTAAGCTTGGCAAAAGTGCATAAAGGGCGGTCTTCCCTGCGCGAGAAAGCGGATGACAGACGGATCACCGAGTGTATGGGAAGCGAACGATAGTCGAGCGAACTTTGCTCCCAAAGATAAACCAGAATCAGAGTAAGATCGCTCTTACTTGCTCCAGTCAAGCTTACAACTTTTTTTCTATCTTTTTTTAACGAGATTAGGTGCATTTAACTTTTTACCATTCTCGCAGTTTGTTTTCGGTCCACTTGCTTAGCGTTCGGAGATACTTTTAGTCTCTGCAATAATCTGCTCGGTGTTTGTTCGTTCTACGAAGCTAGTTTTAAGATTTTTATATTCTTCAATTTTTTATTTGGTAAATTTTCCAAATTTTTGATTATTCAAGTACAAACCTTAATCATAAAATTTCTAAACTCCTGTACAATTATCAGACTTACAAATTTCCTCTGAAAAATTAAAGGATCATCTTTTTTCGCAGATACGTTTAAAACGCAATTAACACTGAAACTAACTCAATGCCCCGGGTGGACGAGGACGATGACAGTATGCGGTGTTTGGGCGGCAGTCGTGCTTCTGCTCAATGTTTTAAGCTCGATAACAAAAGCGAATACGGTGATCGATGAGAAGAGAAGGTCCTTTGAGTCGGAAGGATCTTTGTACTCGTGGACAGGACCCAACGCTTTGGCGAGATCGGCGTTGGTCGAACGTCAAGAGAAATTACAATACAACTGCGAGGAGATCGTGGGCAACAAAGGGGCTGGGAACGATGACCTGAATCCGGAATCCTTCAGGAATATTCTCGTGGACGAACAGCACGAGTTACTTTACTGTTACGTTCCGAAGGTATTACTGTTTCTTTACGTCATCAAATTTCTCCAAATTAATTCATGGAAAAGTTAACAAAGGAATGTAGAAATCTATTACGTTGAAGATCACGTTACATCATATTTGTATTGGTTTGGACAAACTGGTTTGTCGTTTAAGATATTCCACAAACTTTACTAAAATCTTATTTTGTAACTGATTGCTTTTTAGATTGTTATTTATAGAAGTGAAATTTCGTAAACACAAAGTTGCAATCTACTGTAATTTTCCTTTTCGGGTTTCAACAGTGTTGACTTTATGAAAATTAATATAATATTAACAAAGTTAGAGTCAATCATATCATTTGCAATTATATCATTAGTATACAGACATGTCTAGAAATTGACACTATTTTTTAATGAATTATAAAATGTAAGCTCAGAGTATTTGAAGAGAAAGAGACACATAAATGTCAACCACCTTTTTGGCCAACGATTGCCTTCCGAATTACCGAGTAGGTGTAAATATCAGAATTAACCAGAAAGGTGTGAGGATGGGTAAATATTTTCACAGCACCGCTTCCTGTTTGCTGGACTTTTAGAAATATCACAAGTATTAGCTAACAAAAGTAACTTTCCCCTGCACAAGTGTCTGATATTTTATTGCAGTCGCGTATTTCGTAATTCATGTACTTTAAGCCGTGATTGACAGTTCAGAATTTAAGGAGAAAATTATAACCTTAATTGGCATTGAAAATGATTGCAGGTTGCCTGCACCAATTGGAAACGAGTTTTGATGGTGGCCACAGGGAAATGGCCAGGTAGCGACCCGTTGGAAATACCGGCCGACCAGGCGCATTCTTCAGCTACCTTTCAGAGGCTGAGCAACTACACCTTGCCCGAGATCGAGCGGATGCTGATGACCTACGACAAATTGATAGTCGTCAGACATCCACTCGAAAGGTTGTTGTCAGCCTACAGGAACAAATTGGAGGCGAAGCATGAAAGAAGCTCTAAGTACTTTCAGACTCGGTTCGGCAAGAAAATAATTAGGGTACATTATATCTTCGTTAAAAATGATATTATTCTATTATGCACTACTGTATCATTCTTGAAGGACGATAAAATTAAATTGACTGAAATGTTCCTTCGTAGAGATACAGACAGAATGCAACCGAAGAATCTCTGAGAAAAGGAGACGACGTTACGTTTCGAGAATTCGTGGAGTTCGTTACGGACGATTCTTCCAACGAAACGAGAAACGAGCACTGGAAACCGATATACGAGTTGTGTCAACCATGTTTAGTTAATTATAATCTTGTTAGCAAGTACGAGAGCTTGGTGGAGGATGCTACCGAGGTTCTGGAGAGGATGGGTGTTGAATCAGTCAGGTGACTGCTTTAAAATTTTTAATTTGACGATATAAAAATATGGCCCTGAAAATTCATCCTTCTAAACCAAGTTAATCTAACTCATGTGACTAAGCTACTGTTTAAGAGGTCATGTACCATAAAACGGCGTATACTTATCGTTAATCCGATTAACAGCTTCCCACCCAAGCCGGCAAACAGCGAGCCAACGTCGAAGAAACTGGAGAAATATTATTCAACGTTGACGTACGAGCAGCTCCGGAAGTTAGCCAACTTGTACAAACTAGATTTAAGACTGTTCGATTACTCGTTAGAGGATGTGCTGGGATTCTCCTTGGCGTGATCGAAGTCTGCGTAGAAACCATGAGAAGAATACGCTTCGAATCGCGAATAGAATAGTTAACAGTTAAATAGGCTTAAGTATTTTCAACGGCAACGATACCAGTCAAGCGATTTCTCAGTATGTACACAATTGTTTGCGTACTTCGTTTTATACGGCTCTATACCTATTGTACTTACACGCGCAGTGATTAATTAAGGAACTGACAATGAGTCACGTCGCTCGTGATAAATCGATTGTACATTCGTGCGAAGTATATTCACCAGGGAGATTGTTTCTCCCTACAGCGAAATAGGCTGTTTCACTTGTGCCAATACAATGTCTGCGGATAACTTTGTTTTTTAAGAAATATGATCTTGCAAAAGTTAGGGAGTATTGTTGAATGGTTACCCTTTATGATCTGGAATCTTTAGATCTGATAGTTTAGGTTTACTACAGTATCCATGCCATAATTCTGTACCTACTGTACGCGTAACGCGGTGTTATTAATCTGATCAAATTAACTGACAATTTTTGTATTTGAAGTTTTATTAACGAAAGTTTAATAAATGATATTGAACATGAAAATGTTGTGTTCGTTATTGATCTATTCGAAAATACATTATGAACATTAATAATTTAACGAATTGGAATTTAGTTTATATTTCTACTTACAAATGCTGTACTATTTGTAGGCCCAGGACTTTTTCTAATTTATGAATGCATAAAGAAAGTCAATATTGTGACAGAAATACACAATGTATCTATTAGCAATATCCTTGAAGAATCTTACGTAAACCACAACGAATCTCGGATAGGACATATCCGTGCATTGTTTATCAAAGTTAGTTTGGTTAACGAGTTAAAATTAGACGAAGGTCTGGAAATGATGGACGAGTTTAACGCGATTAGTTAAAGAGGAGCTGCTGTGCATAATCAAAGGCTAGAACTTCTCAAATGTGCTTTACTTCGAGTCTAAAATAGCTAGTCATTGATCAAAACGAAGGACTTTGTTAAAAGTATTGATTAGTCTGCTTTATTTCATATGAGGAATTCCTAAAATACATAAACAAATTCTTAGAAAGATAAAGAGATAATTGCAATAATTTTAAATTAACGATAGCATTATGCTACTCAGCAAATTCTCTGTTTACGAATGTATTTTTATTATATTCGGTTACGCAGAGAGCATCGTGGCGCCACACGTGAATTCTGTCACGTTTTCAAAATGGACGCGTGGGAGTTCTCGGAAACGTTTCCAATAAATTCGACACACAACACACGCAGTTGGCAGGTGGAAAAAATCGCGATACGCACTTCCATTACGTGGCACATTTCCAAAAATTAATATAGTAAAAAACGCAGCAGTATTTTATGAGTATTAAAAGATTGTTACGCTTGACATCTGCTTTTATTTGTAAACCAAATATTTTCGTTCAAAATTGAAATGCAATATGTATAATCAAAGTAACAGAATATCTCAGAAAGACAAAACTTTTTGATCAAACTTCCAAGTGTAATTATTTCAGAAAATACCTCGATGTCTTTGCAAGAAAATAGTAAAAATTTGAAGGACGCAAAATGGTTGCTGAAGATCAACGAACTTGAAAAGGTATTGCCATCTGCGACCTTGAACCCTTAACTATCGATGATCATGAATCGAATCTTTTTCCTTCGAAACTGTATCTAATATTCACGATGCTTAATATAACCCGAGGCGTCGGAACTCGTTGGTTTCGTGGCGGTGGGACCCGAGCTACCAATCCTGGACCAGAAGTTACAACGGAAGGTGCAACGGTGGTCCACGATCGAACGGGTGGGGATTTCACACGGTTCCTGGAGGAATTTCGGGATCTTCGAGTATCCTGCGTTGAGTGATCTAGTCAGAGATCGGACGCAAAGTGCTGCGGTGCTCATCCAGCGAATCGGCTCAGATTTCGCATCTCCGGTGACACGAATCTTTTTCACGAATCTCTTTGTCAGAATTTTTCTGATTTTTCGACATTTCGATTCGAATTAGTACAACGATCTTGGTAGGGTACATTTTTATTTAAATTACTCGGTCATCGTACTAATAACATCTGATTTAATGACTGCGATTAATCAGAGAATGAATGAAAGAGTGATTCAGAAAGAAACGAATGAGCGTGAAAATAAAAATTGATCGAGGCAGCATTTAATTGCAAATAAAATCATGCCGACTCATTACCTTGTTTCAGTATCGTTGGAAAGTGAATAAAGATTTTCTCTACGGTGTCGCAGTGATCTTTGTGTGAACGATAAAAAATGCCTCAACCAGCTCACGAGACAAAAAACATCCTAACGACCTACTTCATTCTGATTCTTCTGCTGATTTGTCTGTGGCTGCTGTATTCAGGATTGTTTTAACTTTCGAGTACATTCCTCGTCATGGTAAGTTTTAACCCTGTTGCGAATTTTTAACTTCGAAAGCAAAGTACTTAATTTTGTCATTAACATTATATTTGAGCATCACAGAAAGTTAACATTTGAATATTTTTTTAAATAAAAATGAGTTCTCGTATGACCCTTATGAACAAAATGTATGAATTCCTTATTAGGCGTATGAATCACTTGTTCATTAACGACGGAGAATAATAAGTATACACAAATGTCTTCAGATATGAGAAATATTAATCTAAGAGATCACATTGTCGCCTATTGTCGTAGAATCATTGAAGTCTCCACAGCAAAGTTGCAACTTTGCCACTGTATCTTTGTTGCAAAGTATTTTTTCTGATTCCAGGAGTGAAGAAGGACGAAGCACCCGTTCGTCAACCACCAGATATCTCCAGGATGTGACCCGCCCATTTTCTACGCCGAGTTATAAAAGAAGAAATCAAAATGAACGAAACAATCATCCGTGTTTCAGCAGTTTTGAACGATCTTCATAATTTCCTCCAGTTTTTCCGTACGACTTCGCACATACCGCGATCATGATCATTGACAAGGATGTAGTGCTATTTTTAATAAACACAGAGAACAAAAATAACGTAGTTTCAACAGAGGCAGAAACGAGATCGCGGAGCATGAGGTTCTCGTAAATTAGAAAAATTATAACGGAGAGCGCGTGTAATGTTGCTCTGGTAAATGTAGCGAAATGTTTTTGTTCGGCGCCATTTGCAACGGAAAAAATTGCGCATTGGCGTAACTGGGAGTTGTAGGAATTCCTGTGGGATGGGATGTTTGAGAATTTGGGATTTGGGGATTTGGGGATTGGGGGGTTGGGAATTTCGGAATTTTGGGATTTCTGAGAACTTGGGAAATTGGGGATGTGAAAATTTGGGAGATTGAGAATTCGGGGGGTTGGGAATTCGGGAGATTGAGAATTCGGGGAGTTGGGAATTCGGGAGATTGGGAATTCGGGAGCTTGAGAATTCGGGGAGTTGGGAATTCGGGAGATTGGGAATTCGGGAGCTTGAGAATTCGGGGAGTTGGGAATTCGGGAGATTGGGAATTCGGGAGCTTGAGAATTCGGGGAGTTGGGAATTCGGGAGATTGGGAATTCGGGAGCTTGAGAATTCGGGGAGTTGGGAATTCGGGAGATTGGGAATTCGGGAGCTTGAGAATTCGGGGAGTTGGGAATTCGGGAGATTGGGAATTCGGGAGCTTGAGAATTCGGGGAGTTGGGAATTCGGGAGATTGGGAATTCGGGAGCTTGAGAATTCGGGGAGTTGGGAATTCGGGAGATTGGGAATTCGGGAGCTTGAGAATTCGGGGAGTTGGGAATTCGGGAGATTGGGAATTCGGGAGCTTGAGAATTCGGGGAGTTGGGAATTCGGGAGATTGGGAATTCGGGAGCTTGAGAATTCGGGGAGTTGGGAATTCGGGAGATTGGGAATTCGGGAGCTTGAGAATTCGGGGAGTTGGGAATTCGGGAGATTGGGAATTCGGGAGCTTGAGAATTCGGGGGAATTGGGAATTCGGAAGCTTGAGAATTCGGGAGCTTGAAAATTCGGTGCGATTGAGAATTCAGAAGCTTGAGAATTCGGGAGCTTGAGAATTCGGATTCGGGAGATTGAGAATTCGGGGGGTTGGGAATTCGGGAGATTGAGAATTCGGGGGGTTGGGAATTCGGGAGATTGAGAATTCGGGGGGTTGGGAATTCGGGAGATTGAGAATTCGGGGGGTTGGGAATTCGGGAGATTGAGAATTCGGGGGGTTGGGAATTCGGGAGATTGAGAATTCGGGGGGTTGGGAATTCGGGAGATTGAGAATTCGGGGGGTTGGGAATTCGGGAGATTGAGAATTCGGGGGGTTGGGAATTCGGGAGATTGAGAATTCGGGGGGTTGGGAATTCGGGAGATTGAGAATTCGGGGGGTTGGGAATTCGGGAGATTGAGAATTCGGGGGGTTGGGAATTCGGGAGATTGAGAATTCGGGGGGTTGGGAATTCGGGAGATTGAGAATTCGGGGGGTTGGGAATTCGGGAGATTGAGAATTCGGGGGGTTGGGAATTCGGGAGATTGAGAATTCGGGGGGTTGGGAATTCGGGAGATTGAGAATTCGGGGGGTTGGGAATTCGGGAGATTGAGAATTCGGGGGGTTGGGAATTCGGGAGATTGAGAATTCGGGGGGTTGGGAATTCGGGAGATTGAGAATTCGGGGGGTTGGGAATTCGGGAGATTGAGAATTCGGGGGGTTGGGAATTCGGGAGATTGAGAATTCGGGGGGTTGGGAATTCGGAACACTGGGAATTCGGGAGATTGGGAATTCGGGAGATTGGAAATTCGGGAGATTGAGAATTCGGGGGGTTGGGAATTCGTGAGATTGAGAATTCGGTAATTTGAGAACTCAGTAATTTGAGAATTCGGTAATCTGAGAACTCGGTAATTTGAGAATTCGGTAATCTGAGAACTCGGTAATTTGAGACCTCGGTAATCTGAGAACTCGGTAATTTGAGAAATTGATAACTTGAGAATTCGGTAATCTGAGAACTCAGTAATCCAAGAATTCTGTAACTTAAGAAATTGATAACTTGAAAATCCCATAATCTGCTAATCTCCAACCAAAAAATTCGGGAATGTAACCTTAAAAACATCAACCTACCTAATCTAAAAATGTTCCAAATCAAAATGATACATCTGTTGCTCGCACAAAGTGTAGATTAACGAAAGGTATTTTAGGGGCGCCAGGTGCCCCCAGGTCCCTGCCTAATTACGCCAATGAGTGACACGGAGCAAAACATTTCGGGGTACACGTACTGGACGGGCAAGAAACACGTGGGCGTTTTAAAGTCGAAAATAGCGCGCGATGCTTCGCAGCTCTTTTCACGGCACACACCATCCAGAGGGAAACTAAATCGGTGTTTTCGATAGCACTTCCGAAAATAGAAGCGTTATGAACATATCTCTTTCACCTATCTGGATATTGGCTGGTGGTAAACGAGCGAGGTAAAATCAAATTTCCCGGTCATTACGCAATCGCGTTGGGATCGTTTGGTGTTCGTGGATCATATTACAGGTTCCTCCGATTTCGAGAAGCCTGGAATATTTTTACTTATAAATAGAATGTCACGGATGAACATTGATCGTTCTTGTATCGCGACTCTTTCGCCTCTTTTCCTCTTCTGTGATCTTTACCAATAATTATCAATAAATACGATTTCTCCGATATAACGAATTCTTGTATTTTATCTTCTCCATTTCGATATCGAAGTCAATTCCCGTCGTGACGAAGCAATTTTCGGAATCGATTATCTTAGCCGTCGAAGCGACATGTTAGAATTCGATGGTGATCAGTTACATAACCATCCTAGGTCCAAGAATCGGTTATTTCTCATTCAAATCATTTCCTGGTGTTTAATATTCGCGATTAATCATGCATGGTAATTAGTAAATGCGCGTGAGCCGTTTGATCTAGTTGACATCCTTGATAAATTATTAGCGAATTAATGCATATTTACAAGCGAGCTTCATGTAATCTTGTAACTTTTTATTAACTTCATCGGTGTAATTTACAACGACCATGTACTCAACAAGATTCGATAAAAGTAGCGGACAAAAATTCATACGTTTATTACTTTCGTCGTAAAATTACCAAAAGTTATCCGAAATGTGTAACTATCACGAGTGGACATTAATCCTTCAATAATGAGACATTCACTCACTTTAAATAATTTATTACGATCCTGTTTAACGAGCATGCAGCAACGACAAGCAACATCAAAGCAAAATCAGAACGTAGTAAATATTTTTACGAGGTTGGATGAGTCGGGACGTCAGGGCGCTCCAGTAATCGCTCGAAATAGATCTAATTGCTCCAGATTCTTGGTTGTTCTGTGTTGGTGGTCGGTGTTGCACAATTGATCTCGGCTAATTATTGACCGAATTTTTCACAAATAACACTGTGCTCCAAATATCTCACTCCGAAAAGAATTTCTGGACAATTTCAATAACCGCGTCTTTTTGCTAAATCGTTACGTGCTTCGTGTTCCTTCGACGACGCGCTTTTAACTTTACGACTGAGGATAATTGCACGGCAAAACAAGCCGAAGAAATAAATTACTTCCACTAGGCTCAAGAAGCTGCATCCCAGGAAGAGACTGAAGATTCCGCCAATCGATGCTGTAATAACAGATGGAGATGTTAGAACGAATTTTTGAATTGTGGTTGCGTGGATCTGGAGATTTGGGGATGTGGAGATTTGAGGAGGTGGAGATTTGGGGTTTTAGGGATTTGGGGACGTAGAGATTTGGGGAGGTAGAGATTTGGGGTTTTAGGGATTTGGGGATGCGGGGAATTGGGGACGTGAGGATTTGGGGACGTGGGGAATCGGGGACGTAGGGATTCGGGGATGTAGGGATTCGGGGACGTGGGGATTTGGGGACGTGGGGATTCGGGAACGTGGGAATTTGGGGAAATAGGGATTTGATCTGCTAATCTCCAACCAAAAAATTCGGGAATGTAACCTTAAAAACATCAACCTACCTAATCTAAAAATGTTCCAAATCAAAATGATACATCTGTTGCTCGCACAAAGTGTAGATTAACGAAAGGTATTTTAGGGGCGCCAGGTGCCCCCAGGTCCCTGCCTAATTACGCCAATGAGTGACACGGAGCAAAACATTTCGGGGTACACGTACTGGACGGGCAAGAAACACGTGGGCGTTTTAAAGTCGAAAATAGCGCGCGATGCTTCGCAGCTCTTTTCACGGCACACACCATCCAGAGGGAAACTAAATCGGTGTTTTCGATAGCACTTCCGAAAATAGAAGCGTTATGAACATATCTCTTTCACCTATCTGGATATTGGCTGGTGGTAAACGAGCGAGGTAAAATCAAATTTCCCGGTCATTACGCAATCGCGTTGGGATCGTTTGGTGTTCGTGGATCATATTACAGGTTCCTCCGATTTCGAGAAGCCTGGAATATTTTTACTTATAAATAGAATGTCACGGATGAACATTGATCGTTCTTGTATCGCGACTCTTTCGCCTCTTTTCCTCTTCTGTGATCTTTACCAATAATTATCAATAAATACGATTTCTCCGATATAACGAATTCTTGTATTTTATCTTCTCCATTTCGATATCGAAGTCAATTCCCGTCGTGACGAAGCAATTTTCGGAATCGATTATCTTAGCCGTCGAAGCGACATGTTAGAATTCGATGGTGATCAGTTACATAACCATCCTAGGTCCAAGAATCGGTTATTTCTCATTCAAATCATTTCCTGGTGTTTAATATTCGCGATTAATCATGCATGGTAATTAGTAAATGCGCGTGAGCCGTTTGATCTAGTTGACATCCTTGATAAATTATTAGCGAATTAATGCATATTTACAAGCGAGCTTCATGTAATCTTGTAACTTTTTATTAACTTCATCGGTGTAATTTACAACGACCATGTACTCAACAAGATTCGATAAAAGTAGCGGACAAAAATTCATACGTTTATTACTTTCGTCGTAAAATTACCAAAAGTTATCCGAAATGTGTAACTATCACGAGTGGACATTAATCCTTCAATAATGAGACATTCACTCACTTTAAATAATTTATTACGATCCTGTTTAACGAGCATGCAGCAACGACAAGCAACATCAAAGCAAAATCAGAACGTAGTAAATATTTTTACGAGGTTGGATGAGTCGGGACGTCAGGGCGCTCCAGTAATCGCTCGAAATAGATCTAATTGCTCCAGATTCTTGGTTGTTCTGTGTTGGTGGTCGGTGTTGCACAATTGATCTCGGCTAATTATTGACCGAATTTTTCACAAATAACACTGTGCTCCAAATATCTCACTCCGAAAAGAATTTCTGGACAATTTCAATAACCGCGTCTTTTTGCTAAATCGTTACGTGCTTCGTGTTCCTTCGACGACGCGCTTTTAACTTTACGACTGAGGATAATTGCACGGCAAAACAAGCCGAAGAAATAAATTACTTCCACTAGGCTCAAGAAGCTGCATCCCAGGAAGAGACTGAAGATTCCGCCAATCGATGCTGTAATAACAGATGGAGATGTTAGAACGAATTTTTGAATTGTGGTTGCGTGGATCTGGAGATTTGGGGATGTGGAGATTTGAGGAGGTGGAGATTTGGGGTTTTAGGGATTTGGGGACGTAGAGATTTGGGGAGGTAGAGATTTGGGGTTTTAGGGATTTGGGGATGCGGGGAATTGGGGACGTGAGGATTTGGGGACGTGGGGAATCGGGGACGTGGGGATTCGGGGATGTAGGGATTCGGGGACGTGGAGATTCGGGGGCGTGGGGATTCGGGGACGTGGAGATTCGGGGACGTAGAAATTTGGGGACGTGGGGATTTGGGGACGTAGGGATATGGGGACGTGGGGATTTGGGGACGTGGAGATCTGAGGACGTGAAAATTTCGTGCCGTAGGATTTTGGTGACATGGGGATTCGGAGATGTGGGAATTTGCCAACGTAGAGGTTCAAGGTTCTAGGGATCTGCGGATGTAGAGATTCAAAGCTTTAGTCATTTGGTAATGTACAAATTGGAGATTCTAGAGATACGGAGAGATTCAGTGTTCCAGAGATTTGTGGATGTAAAGACTCAAGGTTCCAAGGCCTTGTAAATCAAGAAATTTTGAAACATAGAACTTCATAGAATTAAGAACTCTAATAAATCAAATTAATTCCCACATCCCTGGATCCACTTACTCCAATATAGTTCATATTACATGAACATATAACATAAGGTTAACGGAGGGACACAGGTCATGTCCATGCGTTACTCTCATGTCATCGTCCACATTAATGGACCATCGTTAACTTATTTATATTAGATTATGTTTAGATAGTATAATCTTACGTTACGCAAGAGTCCACAATTCTAATTAATTACCCAAAAGATAAATCTCATCGGCGGCAGGCAACGTCTCCAGTATCATAAACGTCTGCATGTCCATGAAGACCTTCAAAATGGCGTTCGATCCCGACGCGTTATTTCTACAAACGAAATCTTCTCCAGTGAATGAAATATTAAATCGTACACCGCGAAATTCACTCACTTTTCCGACGGATCACCCGTATTCATCTGAACGATGGCTTTAGGTAAAGTTTCGTACATCACGTTATTGCAGGGTGTTCTGCAGGAACAGGTGAAATTTTCGTTTCGAGTGTCTTTCACGATGCTTATTCGTTGCATATTCTCTTGTATACAGCGTAATCCCTTTATATCGCATTGCTGAAAATTGTGGATAAGTATTTGGAGTTTGTTCGAATGAAGTTGAATTTGAGCTGTAGCCTATTTACATTGACCGAATGGTGCGACGCTAAGTAGTCAAAGGTGAACGGTATGCACCCGCAGATATGTAGCATGGCCTTGATTCTGCAGTTTGCGTAACAGTTCGAGTATCGATAGATCGGTAAGTATTCCAGTGGGTTTTGGTTGTCTGGTATGCACACGGGTACGAGTTCGTTCTCTGTGTTGCGATGGTACACTCCGGGCGCCATCGTCACGAGCATTGGTTTTATGGCGACCTGCACATAATTTTTATTTTCAATCATTTCTACAAATTTGTACTCCGTGTTGCGATGGTACATTCCGGCAACCATCACGAGCATCGGTCTTACGGCGACCTGTGCATAATTTCACTATTTCTAAAACTTCTTGATAGTGTAGGCATTTATTGGTTTAATATTATTTGTAAGACCCGTTATATGTTTATTATAATTTCTTGAAGTGTGAATGGAGTGAATGAAGGTGTTGCAAGTGGAGACGAATGATCGTTGGAAATGTATGAATTTTGTTACCAGTCCTTTGCCATCCTTGAATAGTAAAAGACGTGTTTTAAAAGATTAAATAAAATATTTAAATATTGTCCCATTAAATAAATGTTTAAAGCAGTTGGAAGTGCTATATTAGCAAAGAAAAAGTCCGAGCGAGCGGACTGAAAGTGGACCGAGCAAGTAAAATGTAGCAGTAAGCAAGTGAACGGAAAGTACAGTAGTCCAAATTAATATAAATAGTACGATCGACGTGTAAATTACAGTAATTTAGTATAATTACCTCTAAATTGTGTCCACGTTCTAAAGCGTATATGTTAGTATTGAGTCCTGGATAGTCCATGCTGTGATGTATAAGCAGCTGGTCGAGAAAAATGTATGAATAAATGATTAAAAGAGTTTGTATCTTAATTATTTAAATTCGTACCCCGACACCGTAAGCACGATTCACGGTACTGTTATCATCGTCCTTATCAAAGGCGAGTATTTCCTTCTTTATTACTAGTTTCAAACCGCTCCATGGACCAAAACTAACTGAAGTTACTGGCATTATCTTTGGTTGAGATCTAGATATAGAATAATGAATTCAATACTTATCGAAGATGTTGATCGTTATCGGTTTAATGATCGACACCACCGTCATTGGGGTTTTTGAGAACTTAGGAAATTGGGGATTTGAGAATTCGGGAGATTGGGAATTTGGGAATTTGAGAATTCGGGGGTTTGGGAATTCGGGAGATTGAGAATTCGGGGGTTTGGGAATTCAGGAGATTGGGAATTCGGGGGGTTAGAAATTCGGGAGATTGGGAATTCGGGGGGTTGGGAATTCAGGAGATTGGGAATTCGGGGGTTTAGGAATTCGGGAGATTGGGAATTCGGGGGGTTGGGAATTCGGGGGGTTGGAAATTCGGGAGATTGGGAATTCGGGAGCTTGAGAATTCGGGAGATTGGAAATTCGGGAGCTTGAGAATTCGGGGGATTGGGAATTCGGGAGCTTGAGAATTCGGGGGGTTGGGAATTCGGGAGATTGAGAATTCGGGGGGTTGGGAATTCGGGAGCTTGAGAATTCGGGGAGTTGGGAATTCGGGAGATTGGGAATTCGGGAGCTTGAGAATTCGGGGGGTTGGGAATTCGGGAGATTGGAAATTCGGGAGCTTGCGAATTTGGGGGGTTGGGAATTCGGGAGATTGGGAATTCGGGAGATTGGGAATTCGGGGGGTTAGGAATTCGGGAGATTGAGAATTTGAGAGTTTGAGAATTCGGGGGGTTGGGAATTCGGGAGATTGAGAATTCGGGGGGTTGGAAATTGGGAGATTGAGAATTCGGGGGGTTGGAAATTCGGGAGATTGAGAATTCGGAAGATTGGGAATTCGGGAGATTGAGAATTCGAGAGATTGGGAATTCGGGAGATTGGGAATTCGAGAGATTGAGAATTCGGTAACTTGAGAATTCGGTAACTTAAAAACTCGGTAATATGAGAAATCGGTCATTTGAGAATTCGGTAACTTTAGAATTCGGAAGATTGAGAATTCGGGAGATTGGGAATTCGGTAGATTGAGAATTCGGGAGATTGGGAATTCGAGAGATTGAGAATTCGGTAACTTGAGAACTCGGTAATTTGAGAACACTGTAACTTAAGAATTCCTATTGAGAATTTAGGAATTTGATAATTCGAGACTCCACAAACCCCAGCGACGGTTCTGATCTCGGTTAAATAAAATACTTGCTGATCGCGTCCCACGTACTGCTCCAGAACGTAATTAAAAGAGCAGCATAAACCGTAAGAGGTGTGAGAGAACTTGATGAACTTATTACAATCAACACGTTCGTTGTTCCACCAACAGGATTCGTATATATCCTCGCAGGGATGCAACATCTTCAAAAAATCCAATATAGTCCATTTATTCGTCTTCAGGAGCAGTTCCAACTTTTCGGTGTGGTTGAAAATGGCCAACCCATAAGGAAGCGTTATTTGATGACCAAATCTGTATCGATATTTATCATCATTTTGTGTTTATTCGATTATCTACTCTGTGTACCTACTTCAAAAAGTACATAGCGAGCTCTCTGCTCATGTTCGCGGGCAAAATAGTGCTGTCCAAAATGGCTAATCGCTTGCTCATGGACGCCGGCGTCAGAGGACAAATGGTTACTGCCGGAAATGGTACTTTGAATATCGGTGCTGTAAAATCTTTGATGAACGTATTCGTCGGATTTTCCCGGTAGCGAGTTAGAAATTGCATCACCATTAGACTCAGACCTGTGTTGTATAATTGTGGATGTAATTTGCATTTATTACTACTTATGTTAATTATAAATTGGATTGTTTTACAATTTTGGAAATTGATAATTTAGAAAGTGGGGAATATAGGAGGAATGTAGAATCTTTAGGGACTTAGAAATTTAGAAACTTAGGGTCCTAGAAATTTAGGAATCAGCTTTAGAAGCTTAGGTGTCTAGAAATGTAGGCACTTAGAAATGTAAAAATTTAGAGATTTGGAGATATAGAAATTTACAGATCTAGGAACTTAGGAATCCAGAAATTCAAGACTTCAGAAATCCAAGAATTCAGAATTCCAAGGATCCAGAAATCCAAGGATCCAGAATTCCAAGGATCCAGAATTCCAAGGATCCAGAATTCCAAGGATCCAGAATTCCAAATTCCCAATTCCAAGGATCCAGAATTCCAAGATTTCCAATTCCAAGAATCCAGAATTCCACGAATCCAGAATTCCAAGAATCCAGAATTCCAAGGATCCAGAATTCCAAGAATCCAGAATTCCAAGGATCTAGAATTCCAAGGATCCAGAATTCCAAGGATCCAGAATTCCAAGATTTCCAATTCCACGAATCCAGAATTCCAAGAATCCAGAATTCCAAGAATCCAGAATTCCAAGGATCCAGAATTCCAAGAATCCAGAATTCCAAGGATCAAGAATTCCAAGATTTCCAATTCCAAGAATCCAGAATTCCACGAATCCAGAATTCCACGAATCCAGAATTCCAAGAATCCAGAATTCCAAGGATCTAGAATTCCAAGGATCCAGAATTCCAAGGATCCAGAATTCCAAGAATCCAGAAATCCAAGGATTCAGAATTCCAAGAATCCAGAATTCCAAGAATCCAGAATTCCAAGAATCCAGAATTCCAAGAATCCAGAAATCCAAGGATCCAGAATTCCAAGAATCCAGAAATCCACAAATCCAAAAATTTGAAGACCCAGAAATTTCAAGCCCTCCTTAATCTCTGAATTCCCCAAATCTCACACCACAGAGTATCAAACTTCCCCAAAAGAAACCACGTACAAACAAATCCAGTAAGCATCGCACAAGTCCACAAGACTTTCCCCACAGCTCCAACCTTAATATCAATTTTCCCAAAATACTGTAAGCCATGTACAGACGTGCTCTCCAGGAAATCGTTCAGAACATCTCGAGGCGTCGCAATTTTATTCTCTTCTTTCGGCGATTGATCAACGATCGATTTCGTATTCACGTTAACAGTTTTGCTCATCAATCGTTTCGCGATTGTCGTGTCGTTGTTCGTATTGAAATACAAAAACTCTTGATTCTTGCTGCCTATTTTTCTGATCATCGTGAACGAGTTTTCTTTTTGAAATTTCTTTGCTTTCCGTTCACCGAAGACTGACTCCGCTACGCAAAACATTGCGTTTTATCTAAACTCGATCGTGTCGCATGTCGAGTTCCGGTGTAAATTATTCACTGATCTGTTGAAAATTTCATGAAACGAGGATTTTATCGCGATTTATGGCATCGATCCGTTGTACGCAGGAGTCTCGTTGCACGATCAATCGGAAAGGGTAGAACGGAAATATATTTTTAAGTATTTTGTGTAAAACTAAGAGGAATATTGTAGACATTTGTAAAGCTTCAATGAATTATCAGTCTTCCAATATGCAACTGCGTTGCTAATTACAGTGGGTTAATGAAAGTCGTTTTAATTCAACAATACCTTATATTCTGCTTTCTTCTTATAAAATTATAATAGTCTCTATCAACGTTTTATCACTTGTACGTGAGAAGGAACATACAAACATTTCATCACAATCGTCATCCGATGAAATCCTTCTATCCTTCGCTTTCGCTTAACTATTTACAGTAAAACAACGAACAAATACTATTCTACGCAATCGGTATTAATAAATAAACGAGCAACAAAATACAAAAAGACAGCTATGTACAAAATGAGAGAAAGAGAGGAAGAAGTAGGCGATGTTCAAAGCACGTTTCTGTACACTGGTGGTTGTTGAAACCAACCTCTCAACGATCGTTTGTTATCCTAATCTGGATACGTAAGTTTCTCAAAACGAGTTTACGTCGGCGAGAATCTGGACACGATCGTTGAACCATGTCTTCCTTTTAAAAATCTTGAAACAGGGCCAGTTGTTCCGGTGGCAGAGGGGGTTGAGAACGCCAGTCCGTTTCGGGGTAATCGTCGAAACAACTCGGGTCACCTGGTGCCTTCACTCGTGGTTGTATCGGTGGATTTAGAGCTCTTTGAGGTACCTGCTCACACAAATTGTCTGTTTTAAAATTTACTGATTTCATTTCAGCTTTTATAAACTTTCAAGGTGTCTTGAAATTTTCAAGGTATCACATTGTACATCTTTGAAATTCATTTAAATATACGTCTTTGCAGTTCAATTACACGTACATTTTTAAAATTCAATGAAATGAATGTTCTTGAAGTTCATTATAATACATGATACTTGAAATTCATTATAATACATGATACTTGAAATTCATTATAACACATGATACTTGAAATTCATTATAACAAATAATACTTGAAATTCATTATAACATATGATACTTGAAATTCGTTATAACACATGATACTTGAAATTCATTATAACACATGATACTTGAAATTCGTTATAACATATGATACTTGAAATTCGTTATAACATATGATACTTGAAATTCGTTATAATACATGATACTTGAAATTCATTATAACACATGATATTTGAAATTCATTATAACACATGATACTTGAAATTCATTATAATACATAATACTTGAAATTCATTATAACATATGATACTTGAAATTCGTTATAACACATGATACTTGAAATTCATTATAACAAATAATACTTGAAATTCATTATAACATATGATACTTGAAATTCGTTATAACACATGATACTTGAAATTCATTATAATACACGATATTTAAAATTAATTATAATACATGATACTTGAAATTCATTATAATACATGATACTTGAAATTCAACAAAATGTACAATTTAAAAATTCAATGATATAGACATGTTTGACATTCAATGAAATAAATGACTTTTGAAGTTAAGTTCTAGAGACTCACTAAGACAAACGTGCATGTAGTTAAAATTGAACGAAACATTACCATTGTCCACTCGACTAATTTGAACCAACGGTGTCTCTTGACATCCTCAGCCCCCTGCCTCATGTTCCCCAGCCTCTTGGTTCTGTCGGCGACCAGCAGCTTCTTAATTAGATCCTTGGCGATCGGATCCATGTGTTTTGGCCACTCGATCCTTCCACTCAGTATCTTCTCGTAGATGCCAAAAGGATTGTCGTCGAAAAATGGCGGAAAACCGGCCAACATTTCGTAGATCAGTACGCCCAATGCCCACCAGTCAACGGCTTTATTGTGTCCTTTGCTCTGAATTATTTCTGGTGCCAAATACTCGGGTGTTCCGCACAGAGTCCATGTTCTACAACATTATTTATAATAATTACCTTCATCTGTATAATTAGTAGGTTATTGCGTATTAAATTTCAAAACATAGAAAGTCGGACATGATTTGTTTCATACATGATTCATTTGAAACTCGGTTTTAAAATATGGTAAAAGTGATGAAATTAGATTTGGCGGAGATAAAATCAATAACGAAGATTTGTAATTCAAAGTATTGAAGAGTTATTTTTGCTTGAGCTGATTTACCTGTCGGTGAGTTTCTTGGAGAAACCAAAGTCGGTGATTTTCAGGTGGCCCTGGCTGTCTAACAAAAGGTTCTCAGGCTTCAGGTCTCTGTAGACGATGTGCTTGCTGTGGAGGTATTCTAAGGCGCAGACAATTTCGGCCGCGTAGAAGCAGCTGGTGGGCCCGGAAAATCGGCCAGCTGCTCTTAAATAGGAGAAGAGCTCTCCACCCGCAACGAATTCCAGCAACATGTACACCCTGGCCTCGTCCCTTCCACTCCAGAGCCTGGAACAGAACTCGTGGTTAAAAAATACCCTCAGGATATTCTAACTTTCGAAAATTTAAAAATTTGATAACTGAGCAACTTGATCACCTCGCCATCTAAAAATTTAGTTATCTATTTTACCGCCACTTAAAAAATGACTTCCTCTTTTACGTTTGCTATACCTTCACATCGCCCAAAGCTGTTCACTGAACCCTGCTTGAAATAACTTCGAGAGTTATGTTTCTTTAAATTCTCTTCTCACCTTTCTACGTTAAAGTTCTATAATTATAGAGGAAAGAATCAGGAACACGGTTATCGAGGAAAGGTATCCATCAATTGGTAATTAGTCGAGATCGAGGTAAATCGTTCACAATAGATCAGGAAAGTATCTACTATCGTTCTAATCGAGTTACGCTTTCTTTTCGAGAATTTCCTTCGACCAATAAACTCCGTGACTTTCTTAATTAACGAAACAATGTTGTGGATTTTCGAGAAATCGAAGAGGAGAAAGGAGAAAGCAAACGCTGCTTACATGTTTACAATAAAGGGATGCTTGACTTCTTTCAGGACGGTGATCTCATTTCGCACGTGTTCCACTTGTTTCAGCCTGATCACGTCCACCATCGAAAGAATCTTTAGGGCCATTGGCGTACCTTGATGCCTGCATAGCACGACTCTTCCGAATGTTCCTGTACCTGAAAAATAATCCTTACTTTACTTCATCGTATCAAACAAAAATGGATGACTCAGATCAGTTTGACTGCTCACAAATTTAAGTATTTGACGATTTAAACACTTGAAAATTTATATTCCTAATAATTTAATACACAAATATAAGAACTGAAGGCTTGTAGAATCAAAGATTTGCCACAAACCAAAAGATGGACGATTAGAATAACAAATCGCACGCAATTGCGCCTACAATCGGCAATTATCGTCGCATAAAATATTCAAGGTTAAAGCGCAAAAAAACTAGATGCGTATTATCGATCATTCAAGCGAATAGTTCAATATCAATGCACTGTATAATCGCTGCATACCGTTTCTTCTTCATAAACATTGGTGACTAAAGTTGGTCCGATAAACGAACCACGACCAATTAACGAAATGGCAAGTGTTACAGTTCGTGGCTTGTTCTGAAATTAACCGGTAAATTGGCCGGAGCACGTGTTGCTCGAAATGTGACAGCATTTTGCGAAAAGTAATGGATGTGGCAAAAATTGGCAGAACACGAATAAGGGACGAGACGAAACCTTTGAAACGACCGCCGATAATTGGCGTCAACAGCTGAGAACAGGTGTCAATGATGGAACATTCAATATTTCGCGGCCAAAGATTTGCGTCGTTGAATCACTCGAAGGTCATGAATTATGTATAGCACTTCATGGACAGCGAAACGAACGGGTCCAATGTGTCAGGAGCTTTCTTGAAGAAATTTGAGGAGTTTGGGAATTTGAGACAAGCTGGGGATTTAGGGATTGGTGGACTTAGGGACTTTAGAGATTCAGGGATTTAGAGATTTAGGGACTTGACGATTTGGAAATTTAAAAATTAGGAAAGAGTGGATCTGAAGATTTTAATATTTGCCAAAGTTGGAACACCTGAGCTTATAAGATTTATAACTGAAAAAATTAAAACATAAAATTTTGAAATAAACTTAAAGATGCGAATATTTGAGAATCCGCAAAGGTGTAATCTTTCCTAGTCATTAATCGTGCATCGAAAATGACAATCTAGAATTTCGTGCGCCAGACGTTTCTCGGTACAAATGATCGCGAGGATTTTGGTGTGGGTCCAAAACTTGTTCTACGTCTCGGCAGCAAACGGCACATCTGTCCTGATCGATCTTCGTGCGCGTTCTGTTTTATAGTCTAAATCGAATCTAAGAGTTCGGGTTTAACGTAAACGGAACGATAAAAGATAGATGTTCCTGAAGATTTATTCGAGCGGTGTTTACGCGCGTGTTGGTTGCGTGATATCGCGCATTATCCGGCGATAACCAGAAGCCATGCTGTTTCTGTATTATCGAGTTTCAGAAATTAGGATGCTCTGAAAATATCGTCCGCCATCTCTCGAATGTTTATCGTTCTTTTTGTTATTCCATCGTCGAGCAACATATACTGTTCTGAAAAATCATCGAGGAAACACCTGCACTTTACTGATCTTCCGTGTAACTCGAACTTAACGAGCAGTTAAATATACACCCGGTAGCCTCTCGTTCTTCGTTGGCCCACTTTCTCGCTTACGAGGGTGGTTTGTCTATTCCATGATATTTTCCTGTAACTGTAATGATTCAACGGACAACGACTAATTCCCCTCGTTTTTCAAGCGGACGTTACGTTGCTTGTCACTTTGTTGTTTTCGGGACATCAATTATTCCACTCATCGAAACCAGAGTAATTCGCATCGAACCGCTGTTAAAATGATTTCCCAATAAATCTACTGCAGAAATAAATAGGTGGAAGCCGAGAAACAAACTAGCGGATCTTTATTTATTTAGATAAAATTCATCTGTTTTGATAACAGTAGTAATGCGCTGATTGTAAATGTTCCACACAAAATGTTCGTGTTATAAAATTTTTCATCGCTGGCGATCGTTAACAGACTTTTCATTTGTAAATCTTATGAATCGTATTTTAGATACATTGAGGTAGACCTTCAAAGTGTTCTGACTTGTATTATGGTTTTGTGAGTTAATTAGAGATGCGAATTTCGGGAATTTCGAAATGTAGACAATCGTCAAATTTACAGGTTACATCTGCCAAAACGAGAGAGAAGCGACGACAGGTTGTTCTACACTCGTTCTAAAAGAAGTGTACCTCGGTAGATCGAAATAAACTCAGCAGTGAATTTTTGGAAACCCTCGATCTCCCTAAAGGGATACGATCGTGAAAGTCGCGAGTTCAACAGGTCGTGTAGTTTCTAAACACGGTGGAATCGCGACGGAATAGAAAGCCCGTTTCCAGTGAAAGGCTTCTGCCGGTGGTTCGTTAGATCGGTGCTCACCTATGGTCTTGATGATTTCTAGATCGTCGACGTCGTATCGTTGCGAATCCTCCTGGGATCCCTCCTCGTCGGACGTGGTGTCTCCCGACATACTTAACCGGCAACTGTCTGGTCGACGGAGGCCTCGAAGAAAGTTGCTTGATTTATCTGTCCGTGTGGACACGTGGAAAGAAAGGAAGCCCCGGTTCAACGTTCCACTCGCGGTATTCTTAGATCGCGTAGCAGCAAACGGTCGACCTCATATTTGCCTTTGCTGACCCTTCGAATATCGTGGTTGTTCCTCGAAAGCGGGCACAAAGGAGAAATGTTTGACGCGCGACAGGTGCTGGCACCGGATAGGTACGTAAAGTCGCGTGCCCTTCTTCCTGAAAGTTAACGGCGGAACACACCAGCACCGCGTACCGGTATATTTATCGTACACGGTGCGCTGTCAACGACCCTCTCGCTCGAAGCGGTGAAAATGTGTGCGTCGATTTCACAAGTGTCATTTACGGCCGCGAGCGCGCACCACGAGTAGACGCACGCCCGAACCAGCCACCGTTTTCCTCGTTTCCGTCTCGTTCCAACGCGCGTCGAATCACCGCCGTTGCGTTTGTTGATTCAGACGAAGTAACACGTGTACGTTACGTATCCACTCGGCAGCGCGAGTCCGAAGAAACTTGCCATCCTCGATAAGCCGTCGCGAAACGAGAGCAACATCCGATCACCGGATCATCGATCAGCTACCGAGCGCTGTCCTTCGATGCGAACGGGAACACCGCGTAATCGTCGAACACGTGACCGAGCAACACGTTGCGATCAGAGAGATTGGTCGACACCTCGATTCAGACTCCGATCGATCGACGAACTCCAATCGATCTGTGCCGTTCCGATTGTCAGATCCTGGATCCGAGGAGTGTCTTCTCTGTCACATGATCTCTCGTGTGGTCCGAATGCCAAGCAGAACTAAACTGGTCACCGAGGGGTTTCAAAAGGCTCTCTATCCTTCTCTTACCCCCCTCCCTCTTTTCCTTGACCCCTCCATCCCTTTTCACCACGTTTCTTCTCCCACCTATCATCCGGGAACTCTCACTGAACATTTCGTTCTATCTTTCTCTCTCTCGTGCTCGAAACCGAGAGAATCTCTATCTCGGTGAGTATCGTGTCTTTGGTAGCAGCCAGAGGATCCGTGAGTGATTTATAGACGACGATCGCGGAAGATTCGCGGCTGGCCGCGGGAAAAAAGGCGGCATTTAAAAATACGAGCCGTGTGGAGGATGAGATCGTGTCGTCATCCGTGGACCCGTTAGACGGTTGCGTCAACCACGGAACGCGAGATAAGTTGGTTAAAATTTTGTCGAACAATCACGGACACGTTTTGTGGACCTCTTGTTAATCGTTGCGTAGGCAGCTGCCCACTTTTAACAACTTTTTTATGTTCTCGCGTAAATATCGTAAAACCTTTACGCCGATTTATGTTTAAAGTCGATGGATATTCGTGTACTCAATTACATAAGGGTTGATGGACTCTAACGATGCTCCGCTACCTGATTTGTGTGTTTCTACTGATCATACATACCCGTGTCAAAATTATACAATATATTATTTCTATAGACACAATTTATATAAAATAATGATATCTAAACACTGGGGAAACTGAAAATAAATTCATTAAAATGGAGGTGATTTAGAATCATAATCACTGTACTTTGAATATTGCAGAATTGAACAGTAATCTAAAAATCGTTGCATTAAATCGGTTTCGGTGAGTCACATCAGAGGAGTCTGAGTAATGAGGCTGCAATTTTTTATAGACACCCTGTCATCGTTGCGCGAAATTCTGTTTATATCGAGGGGGATGAGCGTGGGATCGTTGCTTTATGAACGCGACATCGCGGAAATAGAGACGGTTCGGGGAAATCACGCGAGCATCCTTGATGACACGGTTTCTAATCTTTGTTATTCCAGTAATATGGATGGCCGCCGAGGAAAGTATGGAGGCGCGAAGTGGTCGCGTATCATCGGCGAATCCATCGAATTTCGGCTTATTTTTGACCCTGGCCGTCGTCCAGATGCACGTCGACGTGGAACGACTAGACGATGGAATACTTGTATCGGAATACTCGTGCGTCTTTGATTTCTGCAAATTTACTATGTTCTTTGTATGCGGAGCGTTCAAACGTGACGCGTTTGTGTGACAGTTCGGATGATCTGACGCAAGCTTTGACATTTAGCTGATTTGATTATTTGAGAATTTAGAAATTTTTTAGTACAGGAACATAGGAATTTGATAATTCGAAATGTAGGGATTCGGAGAATTGGGGAATTTGGAAACTTGAAAATCTGGAACATTGTGGATTTGGATAATCTAACATTTATTGATACTACTGAAAAGATCGCCCGAGATCTCCATTGCACTGTCAACAATCTTACCGTGCATATACCCTAAATGTCAGTCAAACCTAAATCTTTGCCACCTTCGAAAATGTAATTAAACCATTTCTATCCACATCTGTACAATTTCCGCGACTGCACGAGCATCGAAATTGGACCGAGCGGAGCATCCTTGACTGAGGACACGTACGTACAATTCATCGTGGATGCGATACGAATTTGTAGTTCTTACGAATAACCTACAACATGCTATAAATAACGATGATGCTCGATACTTTAATATTTACGTTGCTAATAATAATGTAGCGACGCGTTCCGTGTTATCTCGATATACTGTTCGTGAAACGCGATCGTGTTAGGATTACATAATTTCTCCACGTACGTACGAACATTCTTCTTTTCGTTTAGCCCATGGCTTCCGTAGCTCATGGTGTATCGTGTTGTCGGTATTAAATGAACAGTAATTATCGTGTCCAGAAGATTACGTGGCAGCGCGGCTTTCGCTATTGTGCAGCCGGTCATTAGCAACTAAAATGAAAATAATAGTTTCCGGGAGTCTATTTCACAGACTCATTCGATGCCAAGATCAGGTAGCCTCTAATTACGCACTCGTTGTATTTCCTGAAGTGTCGTTTTCTTTCTAAATACAGCAGATTCTCGTTATATTGCCACCTTTGTATGAACTTTCACATGAGCCAACTGCGCTCCACCAGTGTTATAATAGATCCACGAAAGATACTGTGGTATAAAGTTACGTGTCACGTTATCTCGCGTTATATTGCCACGCGTTATATTCCCTACGCGTTGTAATTTCATGTGCTGCAATTTTGTAAGTTGCAATAATATGTACTACAAGTTTACATATTGAATTCCGTGCATTACAATTTCACAGATTGCAATTCCTCTTGTTATATTGCCATTTGCGATATTTTTCACTCTTGTAATTCAATGTGTTCCAATTCCATGCGTTGCAATTCTGTGCGTTCAAATTTCAAGAGCCACGATTTCAATCTTTGCAATCCCATGCATTGCAATTTTACACATTGCAATTTCTCTTGATATATTGCCATTTACGATATTTTTCACTCTTGTAATTCAATGTGTTCCAATTCCACGCGTGGCAATTCCGTGCGTTCAAATTTCAAGAGCCACGATTTCAATCTTTGCAATCCCATGCATTAAAATTTTGCGCACAATTGTATAGATATTATATTGGCACATATGGTATAATATATTATATACAAATTCACTCTTGTAATTCCATGTGTTCCAATTCCACGCGTTGCAATTCCGTGCGTTCAAATTTCAAGAGCCACGAATTCAAACTTTGCAATCCCATGCATTGCAATTTCACAGATTGCAATTCCTCTTGATATATTGCCATTTACGATATTATTCACTCTTGTAATTCAATGTGTTCCAATTCCACACGCGGCAATTCCGTGCGTTCAAATTTCAAGAGCCACGATTTCAAACTTTGCAATCCCATGCATTAAAATTTTGCGCACAATTGTATAGATATTATATTGGCACATATGGTATAATATATTATATACAATAAATCTGCACGACTATTATGTGTTTATTATGATTCTACACGTCGCAATTCCAGACGTTGCATTACTATGCATCGCAAGTTCATGCGTTGTAATTCCACATGTTGCACTTCCATATGCTGCACTTTCATGCATTGTATTGCCACGTGTTGAATCTTGAGTTAGATAGTTTCGTGTCATTATTAGCACATGTTATATCGCCGCATGTTGCGTTATTATACATTAGATGGCTATATGTTGTTCATTATAATACGTTAGTTCGTTTCACGTTGTAGTATTACATATTGAACCGCTACTGATCATTACACTTTTCATCGCCATTCGTTACAGTGCATTATATCGCCATACCATGCATTATATCGCTATACTTTACATTGCTCTCCGTCATTATCTTAGGACATGAAGATGTCATATTAAAGAAGGAAACTATCCAGGTATTGCAACATGAAGAATTTTCTACTCTTACAGTGGCAGTATAACGAGAGTCTACTGTATGTAATTACTTCCGCAAATCTCCGCACAAGTTTTGCTCGTTTTACAATCAGTCTTTGAATAAAGAAAATATTGATTGAAATTGATTAAAATTAAGATATTTCGCGGGAGTTATTATCATGTACTATAATCTTGTACTTGTGTTCTTCCTGTTGCATGTTCAAAGTGATTCTCCAAGTATTTTAATTGCATGTTATTTTCTAATCTTTTAGTATTAATTTCGTTATACGTATCTTATGAATTACACATATTATCGGTTGAAGTGAATATGTATAAAATTAATATAACTGAACACGAAATTGAATACTAATATTATCACAGAATTTCTACAATAAAAAGACTATTGATTTCTATTAAAATAATTTACATAGATTACATCATTTCGAAATTTAACCTCACAAATAGAACCTTGCAACACCTACATATTATTCAAATTATTTAAAATTAAGCATTGCTCCTTTTTACCGTAATATATCAAATTTCCTGACCTTATAAAATCGACGAGCTTGACCTACCAGCCACAAAATAATTGGCCTTAGGTTCCACATTTAATATTACAAAATTTCGTTTTCCGTGAAATGTCATATTTTGCCGAAATAAACGGTCGTGTATTTTAGTCGAAGTTTCAGTATTTTTACGATTTGAAAGTAAGCATTCAACGCCGGTAGCTCCAGTGTCAAAGACAACGTCCAAGAAATATAACAAACCGTCGAATAAAATCGACTAGCAGTCTGAGAAGAGTTTTCTTCCCTCGCAGCAACGTCTTTTCGCGATTATTTTTACAACTTTCGAGGCAACGATGACACTGAGCATTGACACTGACGGAAGCGCGAACAACTAGTTCTCGCAGAAATATCGTTCGCTCGTTCAAGGACGAGTATCGTCGAGGAAGTTGCAAGCTCTAATGACGTCCGTGCTCGCCCACGACTTCTGGACGAGAATCAAACCGCGTCTAGAAGCTTAAAGAGACACGTATTAGAGATACATATACGTGTACGTCGAGCATTTCGTCTGGACAAATGTTTCGTTCACGTCGCATTTAAACCAACGGCGATCATTCTTCCTCCGCAAGGATAAAATTAAAATGACTAATACCAGCGAATCTAATTTCGAGCACAATCTAAACACAAGATCCACGAGTTATTCTCGTCTTTTAGGGCGATACTGTTTGATAAATTGTCGCGGAGTAATTTATACCAAGACGAGTGTTTTTGTTCGTGCGTGTAAACCTTCGCAGAGTTCTTCGAGTGACTTCGACGCTCATAATCGTGGTGAAAGGCCCAGCAAATGACTCGTTAACTTAATACGTGACAAAATGTTGTCGAGAAAGGGACAACGCGTTGCGTGTTCATGGTTGTGTAGAAGACTGGCAGGATTCATCTGTTGGCCACCTTTCCCCATTGTTATGGGACCGACGCGTTACTCACCTGACCATAAAGATAAGTTCCATGAATCATAGAGGTATAACCATCCTCCGATGGCATAACACAACCGTGATCGCGTGTAGGTTGTACACGTACTCGGAAGCGGATAGGCGCGTTCCTGAATAGTTAATTTCTGTTATTAACGATCGATATTCTGGCACTAACTAAAACGCTACGGTGATCGGTAAATAGGTAACACGCTGTGTAACAGTAACACTTGTACATACACTTGGAGGCAAACTATTCCTCTTCTATTCGGTTTTTATTTTTCTACTTGCATTCAGCTTAGGGAAAATCTACACACCTAATTTACTTTCAAAGTTTAGTGCAAAATTTAAATTTATATACGCTCGATTATTTACATGCCGTTTGCCAAATAAATATTTGTTCGACGACGCCTACACACTTGTTTGTTTGTATCAAAAATAAAGCTTCTCTGAACGGAAAATGTTTAGACATTCTAGGATTCATGTCTAAAAATAATTTCCTTGTTTCTTCACGATTTATATAAGTTTAAGTGGCATATTTATATAAGAAGCGCAATTGGTATGTAGATTACAGATCGACAGAATGTCAATGTGGTTACAGCAATTAACTTTTGTGGTAAAGCTAATCACTCACGATGACATCGTAACGCATTGTTGCAAATATTGCTCGTATTAACCGTGAGAAACATACTGATCACCTGAAGTCACCGTTACAAAATATCACTAAAAGTTAATCGAACGCTTTCTAGCTACATGCTGTTCACGTGAGATCACCGTTACAAAATATCGCTAAAAACTAATCAATTTTCGAACGCCTTCTACGCCCGCTACATGGCCAAGAATGTAGGTTGCGCAAGGTCACCGTGTTTAAGAAGAAACCGCGACAAGAACAAGCGCCGCGAACTCATTAAAAACTCATTTCAAGCATAATTCGTAAAAGGAAAGTGACCTTGCGCGGTTCGGCCATATAACACGTTACCAAACGAGCAAGAACAATGCTGCACGATTGTGTAACGCGATATCGATAATACAATAGAAACACGAATGTTTAATGGAAAACGGTTCCACTAAAAAGATCATGTTCTCACGATTCGCGCAAGTAAATTATGACGTTACAGTGAACCTCTAAGCAGGACCTCGACGTTATTACACGCAATGCGGAAAACACACAGGGAATCTTTCTAAGTGCGTGTCAAGCCGGTGGTTCCCATGGAACGTGAAGGCTGTATGCGATATTTTCAAGTATCCGAGCGGTCCCACGACGACTTCCGGTTCCCCGGGGCGCTACGGGTTTCCGGTACCACGACAGTTTTCCATTGACGAGGATAATACCGACGTGGTCGTCCGTGACTGTAAATGTAATTGCACCGGTCGTTAGTTGCTACAAACTTTTATTTCTTTTTCGTTATTAAATTGTAAATTGCGCACGGAAAATATCGTCGAGAAACAGTTACGCCTTGCGTGCGTATAAAGTGCTATGCAGTTTTTCTTTCCTAGGAAAATAGATGAGATTGGAGGAGGAAATTGCAGAATTTTCATATTTTTATTAGAATTCTCAAATTTTTTTATTTCAACATTCTTGTGACTCCAAACCTTATTCAGGAAGAGCTTCAGAATCTAGCGTTCTGTGGAGAAATTGTATAGAAAGCTTAAGAGGCTAGGGACTTAGGAAAGTCTCTGAAAGAACGAGGCTACAGCTAGATTTGCTGCAGAGAAGAGATTTTGCAAGGTAATTTTACCTGTTTCTTTTGATCCCTTTTGGCCGAGCTTCTCCAGTTTCATCGGTTCAGGAACGTGTCTGTAAAACACGCGATCGTAAAGTTACAATGGAATCAAAGAAGGATGTAACGGATCACCCGGCGACGGTATATTCATTTTCGACCTTGATCCTTTTACCCGTGAAATATGGCGCAGGTGTTTACCTGAACGTTGGTCGGGATGCAACCAGGCCTGTCCGTCGTGTACGAGCCAACTTGAAACCGGAAGCACCGCTTTCTGGCCTGCTGCTCACGAACAATGAGATCGGGAGATTCCTGCGAGGACGTAAGCACGATCAAACAGCTAGCTGGTTTATCGACAGGGAGGATCGAAAATATTCGTTTCGGGGCTAAAGACCTCTCGGGAGAGTCGTGCATCTTTCTGCGACCACGCTCCGAGACCCCGTTGGAACCCTCTTCCGGGTGTGTGCTTTGAAAATCGTTCGCGGTATCTTGACAAGTGGCCAACAGTTGGACCGACAGCTATACCAGCATATGTGACAGCCTGGAAAAAAGGAACGGGAATAACTGTCGCTCACGAAGGCGATATCGCTTGTAAATTCTGCGTTGCCTGCATGCGCCGATAAGTAACCCTAACTTTGAACTAGAAAACTAGATACCGACGGGCAAAGATTGGATATCTATCCCCTGCCCGCTTCCCTTTATCCGTCCTGTGGGTACTCTGGGTTCTCATTCACCGTTTTAGGGCTTCGGAGATAACCTGAACGCCCGAACTTTTGACCGAGGGATTTTTAAATTCACGAATATAAAATTTGGACATTTTTTTGTAACGCCCGACTTTGAAATTATGAAAGTTTCAACTACCGATTCTCATTCAAGGTTTAACGGAAGCCACGACATCCTAACACCTGCTCGCAGATACGAAAACACGTTATGTTTATGAACGCGGTGCGTCACCCCTATGATTTCATGCGCACGTGTACATCGAAGTATCGAATTATTGTGGTGTATTGTTTAGTTGCTTTCGGTAGACATCGACTGACCGTACGATCGATACACCACCTGCACCAGGACAATCGAGAAAATCTCTTCATGGCCACCGGTCACGTGGTTCAAGTATAGCAACAGGTGTGATGCAACAGGTAATCAAACGTCAGCATTGTAATCCCTTTGTTATTGTGTACGTCGATAATGCTCTACAGTTACTGAGTGCCTCATGATCGATTTACATTGATCTGATTTATGGTAAAAATGCAGTTTCCCTAACAAGAAGGATTCGACCTAAACTTACCTAAACCGCGTGAACGCGTTATTAAACTCGTTCCCACTAACCGGATGACAAGACAGGATTCAAATCCCCTAAACGTTTACTCGCGAGGAAAGAAACGCACTTACTTGGTCAGGGTGCGAGACAGGTGTCGCGTCGCGAATCGATCCGCAGACACTGTCGCAATCTTTTCCTCCCGACACTTTCTTCTTTTGCTCGGACGAGCTGCATTTCCGGTTGGCGATGTCCCCCTTCTCCCCTCTTCCGTGGACATTTCGCTCGACAAACGCGTCTTTCGTCCACGTTCGTGCAGAAGCGTGCTCGTCCGCTATGCCAGAAGGTCGTCGCTTGTTGCCAAGTCGAGGCCAATTGCTTACCACGTGCACCAGTCGCGCAAAAATCAACCACGGACATAAATGTTATCGCTAAAAACCGAGGAGGTTTTTACCTGTCCCATTACGCGTTTTGCTGCTCGGAACGAGTCGACGCCATTGCTGATTCACGATTTCAACCGGCTTACCGCTTATTTCCTGAGAAGTCTAACCAGAATTATTCAGATTAATTCACGATCCTTTCTAACTCATTTATGGGAGACTATCGAAAACCTTTTTTATCAAGACTTTATCGAGGAAGGCTCTCAAGAGGACTTGATATTTTGCGTCATTTTGGACTAGGAGCTATTAAGACTAACAGGACTGTCAAAATTACCGAGGCTAACGATATCAAGACTATATAAAGGCTGTTATTAGATGTGAGAGTCGAAAGATATATGAAGTTAGAACAGAATTGGAAAGTGAAGCAAATTTGATTTGGATAGAGACACGTAAGAAAATGATCGGAATATTCATCAGCAGTGACGTCAGTACGGCCCACGTATCGAAGCTTAACGATCTGTTATCTGTAGCCCGATTCTCGGGTCGTATCGCGTCGATACCGGTTACATAAACGCGTAGTCGTAGCACGATTTCCGGGATCCCGTGGTATTCGAGTGGTAGCTACAGATGCTCGAGTAGGTTCCGTAGCCGGTCGGTCGATCAGCTTCTTTGCATAAACGTTCGATGTTTAAAAATCGATAACCAGCCTGGCGAACGATCTGCGTCGGGCTTATCGCGTTGCACGGCCGGACGCTGTGTATGACACGGGAGCTCCACGGGCCCGTTTCATAAATCCCCCGTGAATTCTTCCAGTGCCATTTACAGAATCCAAGCTCGAACTTCACCCCTCGACCACGCTTATCGGTCATTAAAATCCTGTTCGCGGGCCGTCTCGCGCGAAATGTAAACCGCATGTACGCCGGTAACGTTAACTAAATATCCGCGTTTCGAGCGTTAACTAAGGTCGACGACCGCTACGGTTATGCAACTCGTCGGTGTAACGCCGATGTTTTCGGTGTTCGATCCACCGCGAAGCGTGACAGCCCGAAGAGAATTAGACAGGCCAGAAAAGTGTGCGGCGAATAGCATCGAGCAAGAAACCGAGGAAAAGAAACGGATTCCTCGAGGATAATTCACGGTCGAAGTATCGTCGGCTGTTACTCCCTCCCACTTTGCCTCTTCCGTCACGGAACAACGATCCTTCCCGGAAGCCGCGTCCGCCATATCTGCCAACCGCTGCCACGATTTGTTCTCCGAGCGTTCATCGAGCTCGTCCTTCGATTCCCAACCATTTCCCACCGTTTCTCTTCTCTCTATTTTCTAACCGCCCGCCGGGATTTCACAATTTTCTCTTCGGATCGTCCTGTCTTTAATTTACTTTTGATTGGTTTTGTTTTTTTCCGTCACGGACCTCCACTGCTTTTTCTGCGCTTTTTTGCTTTTTCTTCGGGGAATTAATTTTTACGGTAACGCACACAGCGCACTGTCACCGTGCCAGCATGAAATGTACACATAATTTGAAATTAAAAGCAGAGTAGAAAAGTGGAGGAACAAACGGTTGAATGTGATTGGATACACTATTTCCTTATCTCGATAAAGACATAGCTTTCGAGAAAAGTATTTTTGTAATTTAAGAGAAGACTCTCGTTATATTGCCAGAATATGGAAGAAGGAAAGCAGCGGTAATGCAATGAGTTAGCTAACAAGTTTCTCTTTTGATATTGCGACAATCTATGTAGATTGAAGGGTCGGTGGTCGGTGAGAGCAATATAACGCACGGTGATTTAACAAGCGGTGATGCAATGTGAAGCCTCCTGTAATACCCATTGTAATACCATGCGTGAAGATCCGATGCGATAGCGACCTAATGCGTAGCGATCTAACGTCTGGTGATATAACACGTGGAATTTCAACACTTGAAATTGTAACTATAATTGCAACACGCAGGATTGCAGCGCGTGGAAACGGTGTTGGAAAAATACAGCGCGTGGAATTGCAATGCTGTGAGACTATAATAATTGCGACGCATATGTAGTGGAACTACAGCGCTATTGAAGTAGCGATATATCAAATTTTAGCGCTGTGGAAATGTTACACTGAAATATTCGACACGTGGAATTGCAATATATGAAATAACGAAACTGCAGTGTTGTAACGCGTGGATCTATAACGATCTGAAACGCAGTAGAATTTGTTGATATTGGAACCATTTAGCCCTTGAATTCTCGTGCCTTGCGAAAGTGTATAGAAACGTCACGTGTCTAAAAGCGAAGTACAGATATGGCAATATAACAAGAGTCCGTTATACTCGCAATAGAAAATGTTCTTCGGTTAATTTCTTCGGGTTATTGAATCGTATTAAATTGGTGGTGCCAGTCACCGGTATCCCCACGCCGTTCAAGGCGTTAAGTAACAGATTATACCGCTAGATGTTTGAACGATTCCTCTTTTGTCCGTTCTTATTTCTTTTTTCTGTTCGTTCCACGTTTTAATTTACAAGCATTAATTCAATCAGCAAACGGTTTCCAGCGATTTGTTATAAAGTTGGCGAGGTCTGGTATGCAAGGGAACCCGGTCGCCGTGTTTTCCCGTCTGGTTCTCACGATTCGAATCTTCTCAGTGCGCCGCCGCTATATACATGTATATACCCTAGCGATTCTTCAACGACTATCTGCAAGTCTCTCCTCAGTTTCTCAAGCCGCTCTTCCGGTCATGCTATCATTCCGGTTCTCACGCCTGCCTCGAACATCGGGACACGGACGTGCCGCGGAAAATAACAGTCTCCCGATCGGTGTCTTTTCGTTCGTCCTGGCCTACGACTGCCAATTACGTCCATGTTCGAACGATTTCGCTGTACGAGACCGGACGGCAAATCTCCGGGATTTATCTTTATCGACTCGGCCGTCAGAGACAAGCGCTATCATCTCGAAAACGAAGAAACGTTAAGTGTGTCATAGCAGATTACGGTTAACGGCGTATTTTTCACGGACACGCCACGATTTTTCGCGAGTTCTCGCTGCGACACGCGGCTACGCAGATACGTCAAGATTTACGATCTTCGCTGCATTCGAGGCTCCTGTAGTTTATTGTCTAGATTGGGAAAGATCGTTCCGCCGATTCTAATAGTTGCAGCGCGTCCTCGTGCGCGCTTTTGTCGTTCATAACGAAGATCAGTTCCCGTGACTGAAAACAAATAAGGAAAAGCTGTAATAAATACGCTAGTTTCAAACTGGTTATATACGTCGCAGCCGCGTAGAAAACTGTCGGTTTCACTCGGTACCCCTATCTTTCAACCCGTTCCCAAGAGAATCGAGTCTCCCTCGATCGAGCTGAATTCTTCGACAGCTTCGACTGCTCGACCATCTTATTATCTCTTTGTTTAACCTTCGTCCATTGAAGACCCGTTAAATTTTACATTTAACATCGTCAAAAAATTAGAAATATATCGCGAGGTATATGTGTAGAAGGATGTAAGGGTATATAGTAGTTTGTACAAGTAGTGGAACTTTCCTTCCTTATACCGCTATTTCCTTGGCGGACAATTCTTTAAAGTATCTTAGATCGTTTTCCCTAGCAGTCTCGAAAATACAATAGTACTCGTTAATTCCGGATAAAAATCCTAATTGCGCGAACGGATTCACCGTTTCCATTTCCGTTAGACAATCAACCGATACCAAGGAAGTCTAATAAGACATTTGTTCAGCAACGATGCGTAGAAAGAGAAGAAAATGGTCACGAACAATAGTTGAAACACTACGTTCTCTAAATCGTTCTGTTCGCTTCAAATAGGTCAAACGTTGAATTCCTCTCTAGTCGCGATCAGCGGCTCTCCGCTCGTGGCGGAGTTACCGATTTGCCGCGCACGTTCCTGCACGTTTCCCGATTGACGGATCGAATCGAATCGAAGGTACGTGATTCAGAATAGAAAGAAAAAAAGGAAAAACCCAGAGGCACCGATAATAAACGGCCACGGAATATGCAGGCGAAGCGTTAGAGTGCATATTCTGGCGGTAGTCACGCGTGCATTGTACGCGTTATCCGCGTGCATTGTACTGACCTTCGTCAAACTACAGCGTTTCTTGTTCCTAGTGATTTTCCGTCGGTCATTGCGTAATGCTTACAAAATGCCTTCGTGTACGAACGTACCACGGGGGTTCCAACTAATTTCACGGCGCAACGCGTAATCCGTTGGAACGTCAACATCGAGAAAAACCGAATTCCCTTTAGCTTATCTTATCGAGCGATATCGATCGTGACCGACGGCGAAAGAACAGAATTGCACCGTGACCAAACCGTGCGATAGAAAGGGCAAACCGGCAGAGAGGATCGGAAACAATAAAATACCAAACAAGCCTGAGACCAACCGCGAATGCGCTCCGTGCCGCGGCGACTTTCGAAGCCGTTATTAAATCATGACATAGATTCGCCGTTTGAGAAACTCGGTCGTTACGTGGGTGAATTCTTGCCCGGTGATCAATCGATAGATAGATCGTCGCTCCTTGCATTCCGGGATACGCTCGCGTGAAAGCTAACGCGACGGTATGCAAATACCGATTAACTATCGATCTAGTAGCCATTGGTTGTTTGCGATCAATCCAAACCTAACCACGAATTATAATTTCTCGTGGTAATTCCGCGCGTCGATAGTCCACGTGCCGTAATTCTACGCGTCGATATTCCACGTGCCGTAACTCCACGCGTCGTAATTCTACGCGCCGAACTTCCATACGCTGTACTTCCACGCGCCGATATTCCACTTGTTGATAATTCTACGCGCCCAAGTTCTACACCGATAATTCTGCGTACCGATATTCCACGCGTTCTAATTCCACGCGTGGTAATTTCACGGGTCGTAATAGCACGCGAAAGAACGAAGAGGTCCTGTGGGTTTCGCTGGTGGTTGCGCAATCATCCTTTCTTCGATGTTTTTCGTCGGCGAGGACGGAGCCGGAGGAATAACGGTGACCGTAGCGAGGAGGACAGTGACCCGATGAAAATCTCGGGTACACAAGAAAGAGAAACCGCGTTCTCGAACCGCGCTCGGAAATAGATTTCACCGGCGACCGATGCAAAAAGTCTCGCGGCATTTCACGCGGGAACCTGCGTCCTCGAACAATAAACGGCTCGGCGGAAAAATATCCACGTACGTACCGTCGTCCGGTGCTGACCCATTCGTTACATAAAGCTAGTCTTTGCCGCTGAAACGCGGATACTCGTATTTCGCGTGACGTCGTAGTCGCGAGCGTTCTCGATCGACGTTTCTTCGAGCGTGACGCTCCGATGACATTTCCGCTCGAACATCGCGACACGTTTCTAACTCGAAATCAGATATACGAAATACACGCGTTATCCGGTCGATCGCGATACTTGCGAACAGAGTTGCTGATACCTCGCTTGTCGAACAAGCCCGATGCTGTGTACCGATCGCCATTGGTAACGACCTCTTCTCCGAT